GCGAATTAAAAGAGAAAACTGAACATAAAATTGTAGACGCGAGTTTTCCACGAGTCGCACGCCAACTTTTTTTTTCTTCTATTCTCTTGTTATACTTTGTAATCATTGAAGTGTTAAGAATCACATCTTGTATGCTATATAGCACACCCCTCAGATCCTTGAGCCGCAACAACCCTTTCCCTCATCTTATTGCCATGAACAGTGAGCAACAAATCTAAACACAATCTACTTCTCGCACCACAGAAACTTGTGTAGCTCTCTTGTAAAGTTGCGCAAGGGAATTTATGAATAAGTATTATGAGTAACCGAGCGACCATAAAAGAGGCAAAGTAAAGAAAAAAGTGAAGGTAAGACAGAGAGTCATTACACTGCAAAAATTCGGACTCTTTTTTTTTTTTTTTTTTTTTTTTTTTTTTTTTTTTTTTTTTTTTTCTCAAAAGAATATCTTTTTAAGAAGACTTTGTTTCTCACATGAATAATCCGGTTTTCGCAATATATACAGTATGTAACTTGCAAATGAAAATCTTACTTCAAAATGCACTAGCGTTAATTCTTTTTCATCCTTTCTTCATCTACATTCTTTCTTCAGCTTCATTCTTTCTTCATCTTTATTCTTTCTTCATCCTTAGAAAAATATGAAAAGAAGAAGAATTGATGAATAAAGAGAAAAATTTATATTTTTTTATTAAAATAGTAAAAAAAGATACTTATCCGAAGGCGAAACAAACGAATTACTGCGAGAGGAAATTAATAAAAAAAATGAATTGAAGTGTAGGTTTCTCGGGCATTAATGCAAATCTGAAAATGAGTGCACACTTGGAGGATAATAAGTAATAAGAGGACCACGCCTTTATACTATGTTTTATATTGTATACATATATCTATATATATATGTATATAAACGCTTTTATGTTCGACTCGAAAGTACCGTAAACCGCGACTCGTTTCCCACTACATGCATTCAAGCTTAGCTTTCCTTTTGACGATCGCTCTGCTTCTTACTTTCGACTGAATATATCTTTTTTGTTTGTGTATATGGTCGGAAATCGAGAATAGGATACTTACATTCACCCTCCGGAGGATCGGCAGTTTATACTTTTGCTTTACAATTTCAATTGCGAGCAAAAAAGGTGATAAATTAGCAGAAATTATTTAACAGCGCAAAAAAGTTAAAACGGAAATAGAAATGGACTCTTGTTTTACTGAAAAAAACATAAGTGTCTAAAAAGAAGATAATTTTCTATTCTAAAAGAACTACCCATATACTTTCAACTATGAAAAACCTAAAAAATCTAGTTTTCTACAAAAAAAATTCAATTATAAATTGTATATAAACTTCTTTATAAATCGTGGTTAATATATTTATGTAGTATACGTTTCAAGTTCATTTACCGCATTTAATTTTAGATTGTCATAAAAAATTGTAATTATAATTCGTTATAATTTAATGTATATAAAATGTCTGGAGTGTCTAGACTAATCGGTAAATTTATTGAATACTCAAAAGTGTATGCTTCTAAGCATGATTGACAAGTATTAGTATTAATTTTTTTAGTGTTTTAAAATCAATAAAAATCTGATAAATTTTCGTGAGAAAATTAAAACTTAAATCCGGATAGTATTAGTCGGTCAAGCATCCGTCTACAGATGACTTTCTAACGATAATTCTATCACTAAAACTCTGCATTGATACATAAATATATAATATGCTTGGAAAGGAATTTGTCTCACATTACATGAATAAATATGTAAAAGTAATAGCCTATCATTTATTCCCCAAGATGAAAGTTATCAACTTTTTTAAAATTTTATCTCTAAAATTTTTATTATTTTCATTTTTACCAGAATTTGATAGATTTTTCTCGATTATAATATTTATGAACTCTCTAAAAGTTTATGTTTGAAGTCAGACAAAAAGTTGGGAGTAAAAGTGGTAATAAAGTGCCAAATAACAAAAGCAGGTTTTTGATTAACAATTAATTTGAAATTGCTAATGGTTGCATTTAATTGACCGCAATTTGCATATATTTGGCGGCTAATAAACTTTATAATTATCTTAATTAAAGATATCATCACATGGATGAAACGGACAGAATTGAATCTGAAAGTGAAATTGTTACGGATGGTCACTCAAAAAAATCTAATGTGCGTAATTTAAAATTTCTTTTTAGAAAGAAATAGTTAATTTTTTTAAATAAATGCAAACTTTATCTCATTAAAATATCGACGAAGAATAAGGAATAACTTGTTTAAAGAGCGCATTTACTATTTTAATTGAAAGTAAAAATATGATCGAGACTAGTTTCTTTAATAATTGTGTCATCTTGAGAGTAATCGCTTTCAAGTCGCGCACATGAACTGCAAACTTGTTTACATAATATTCACATAAGTGAACACGAATATCGTGACTTTTTATCATCACATGACCCAGCAGTTACAAATCGATTACATCACCTTTTTGTCCTACACGAAAATTACGTAAAGTGCAATGTAACCACCAAAACTCGCGTTGGGTAAATAAAAAGGAAAAACTAACCCTTTCTATCTTAAAGAGTATAGCTACTGATGATGAGAAAATGAATGTTTATGTGAGTCTCGGCAATTTACATGCGACACACAAAGTGTCCTCCGGAGCACTCTGCAGTAGATCGACGTTGCATCGTGCACCCACGTTGCTCAAATAGTGAGTGTAGAGAGAGGCTCCTGAGATTTCTAATATATTGGTTATGGCGTTCTTGACTCGATTACAAGTTCTCCTTCTCATTTTAGAAAAGATTAGCTTCAACTCTATTGCAATGATCATTTTAAATAAAAATCGAAACAAACAATGGAAATAAAATTTGGAATTTAGTGATACGACGTATGATCCTTAAAAGCGTTGAAGAGTTGAAAAATATAGGTACAAAGTGATAAGTTATAAATTTTTAAACTTACAGTTGGTAGTCGACCTCCATCCTAGAATTGCACTCGTGTTGCATTCGAGAATCTCTCCTTTCGCAGAAGAAGAAAGACGAAACTTGGGTATTTCGAACCACGTGTTTGTTGATAAAATGGCAACTATTTTAGTTTAGAGTAATCTTATGGTTCTACTGTTAAAACTTAAAAGTATATCAAATTGCAACGAATTGATATTCTTTCTTCATCTTCATTCTTTCTTCATCTTCATTCTTTCTTCAACTTTATTCCTTCTTCATCTTCATCCTTTTTAAGTATATTAAATTGAGACAAAAAACGATCAAAATTGTTGCATCACAAATTGTTGCGATGCAAAAATTTTGATCGTTTTTTGTCTCAATTTAATATACTTAAAAAGGATGAAGAAAGAATGAAGATGAAGAAGGAATGAAGAAAGAGAAAAAGGAGAAGAAAAAGCACAAGTATTTGAAATTGCATAGAAAAATTTAAGATTGAATACAGAGTAAGAGAGATTGGTCCACTTGGCCCTAATCGAAATAAAGACGTCACTCCTCATGGAAATTTTAATCTCTAATTTTAATTCTGTTTACACACCAAATTATATAGGAAGAGAGAACAAAGGTTGACCGACTTGACTCGAATTATTGCCTTTTTCACCACATCATCGCATAAATATAACGGATATGTTCTTTGCATATATTAAAGTACTCTCAAAAAATAAGGTTGTACGACAATTTTCAAAGTCATATTTTTATAGCGCATCAATATCAAACCAGAAACCAGAAACACTTTCATTTTAAGGCCGAAATCGCGTCGACCAGTAGTGCAATTGAACAGTTTTCTTATTAGCAATAACTTTATTTATATAATAGAAAGTGTTCACTTATTTATACAGATTTGCAATTCTACTTCTTCCTTAATGTGAATAACTTTGTAAGTGTAGTAGAAAGTCTTCCTCTTCATTAACAGGAAATGGTTTAAATTACACTTGAAATTCCTCTTGCTTGAGATATTCTTCAGAGCACACAGCGGATCACTCGCGAGGCTAAATTAAATATGAGTTTAATTTCGAAAAATAATTTCACACCTACCTTTGAGTTTTCTTTGGTTGAATTTGAATTTTTTCCTTTAAAACAAAATTATTTTTAAAAAATCTTTTTTTTTCAAAATGACGGAATTTTCTAAAAACACTTGAAAATTTCGTAATGTACCGGAAGATAAGGAATGCGTGCAAATTAACTATAATATGCATTCTATGCAAAAGGTAGTGGATCGTAAAAAAATTACATGAATTTCTGAAAAAAGGAATAAATTAGAGATGTTTTTACGTCATATATAGGTCGAAGTAGCTGGAGAATTCTTTGAGTGATTGATTTTTATCTTTAAAGCGATATATATCTATTGGTTATCTTGTTGCTTGTAAATATAATCTTCTTACATGCCGGTTATGAACTCGGATTGCAAAACGGATTGTTTACTATTCAACACTTTTATCCTGTGCGCAGAAACATTGAAACACGTGTGATGGCATTTTAAAGAAGAGTCTGTATATCTTCTATAATTCTCCCTATAAGATAAGAAATTATTACGTAACTTCATATATATTTTGCTAGTCTATTCAATTTATAACTATTTTTTTAGATAATAGATAAATTAACGTTCACTTACCTACCGTATATTTCATATTTTAGTATAAAATTGTTAGTACAAAAAAAACGATTTTTTTCTACATATTTTTTTAACGAATAATGATGAATAAATTAGAAATTGATCTATTAAATTGGTAAAATCGGCGTTGAAAAATTGATCCTCGAAGAAGATAATTAGACACATATATTGTAAACTCCATTATTGTTTAGAAGGTATTTAAATAATAATTGTGGGAAATTGTGGGAAGTCTAAAATTGAACACCTTCATTACATTGTTTTCTCAGGAAACTGCTTTTTTGTTTAATCACTTTGAAAGTTTTGCAGAAATAATTAAAATCATCTTTTATAATATTGAGAGAGGTAAAGGAGAAAAGGAGAGTCTGCTTTTTGTGTAAACAATAATTGCTCATTTTTCTCTTCATTTTCACTTTCAGGTGACGAGAATTTCAACGACAGTTTTACTATGTTTCTTCGTACTGTGGATTGGATGCACCGAAAATGCAGAAGGTATAATTTTTTTCTTTAGTTCAATTATGAAAAATGATGATATTTCTGAGCTCTAAATATTATGAGAAAGTTTTTATTAATTAAAATAAAAAATAGGTGCAAGAAAAAGATTTCGACGGCCAACAACATCGAGTCCTTCGCTGACAAATGATCAAGAAGTTTCTGCGAGTGTTAATAGGCCAAAATTAACTCGAAATCGCGTCAGCACGAAGAACACGAAAAATGAATTGCAGCCTGGAAAGCCGATAGACGATTACAAGGTGATTGTGAAAAAAAGACAATCAGCATACTAGAAATTGTAGAAAAATATAATAAATGCTCAGCTTTAGCGGAGTAATCGATTGTAAATTATTCAGTATACGCAATAATATCTTTGTATCTTGGAATTTAATTATCCTAGTGCACTTATTTTCCGTTCCATGGTATTAATTATTTATTGACGTTTGAAAAAATTCTTCTTTTCTTTTAAAAATGAAATTGTGTGTGAAAGAAAAAGGATAGAAGAGTGTCAACAGTCGAGAATATAATTTTTAGTAATACGTAGAATATTTTTTTATAGATTGTGTGTTATTACACAAATTGGTCGCAGTATCGGACAAAGGTGGGGAAATTCATGCCTGAAGATATCCAGCCAGATTTATGTACACATATTATCTTCTCTTTTGGTTGGCTCAAGAAAAATAAGTTGACCAGCTTTGAATCGAACGATGAGACAAAAGATGGAAAAGTTGGTCTTTACGAAAGGATAATGACACTGAAAAAAGCGAATCCCTCGCTCAAGATTCTTCTAGCTATTGGTACACATATTTTCAATCATCAATTTTTCTAATAATTTCCTCTTGATCCATAAACGTATTTAAGAAAATATGGCAAATTTTCAGGTGGATGGTCTTTCGGTACACAAAAATTCAAGGACATGTCTGCGACTCGATATGCGAGACAAACCTTTATTTACAGTGCCATACCTTATTTAAGGGACAGAGATTTCGACGGATTGGATATTGATTGGGAGTATCCGAAAGGCGGGGATGATAAGAAAAATTACGTCTTAATGTTAAAAGGTAAACATTTAATTTTTATTTACAATCCGAATATATTTTTATTAAATCGATTTTTATTGAATTGTAGAACTTAGAGAAGCTTTTGAGGCCGAAGCTCAAGAGAAGAAGAAACCGCGATTATTGCTGACTGCCGCTGTACCCGTTGGACCCGATAATGTTAAAGCTGGTTACGACGTTCCAGCAGTCGCCAGGTAATTAAGCAACAATATAAATAACCATATAAGATAAGCGAGAGATTTTCCATATTTTACAAAAACATAAATTTTAATTTACATCTTCATTAGTTGTAATAATTATCGTTTCACAGGGTCAACTACTTATTTTCTTGTAAGCTTTATACAAAGGTTTTCAAAGGTTTCCAACCTTTGAGATTAAATTCAGTTGTTCAGACTCTCAATCCTTTTAAGTTCGCTTTGTTCTCTTTAAAAACATACGAGAATGTTGAATGTTATGACGAGAAGACTAATAAATAACGTTCATAGCATCAACGGTTCTAATAAATAAGAGTAATTTATTGATGATTTATAATGACAAGTAATAAATTAGAGAATCATTACATAGGAAAGGTCAAAAGCAAATATTAAACCAAATATTAAATTTAAATAATTATTAACTTAGTTAATTAACATAGTTTACTTTAAACTAAATTTTATACACAAGGAAATTGGAAATAGCGCGTTAAATTTTTTTCCAAGTAAAAACCGGTAATGTTCTATTAAATATTGAGCAATATTCTACTTGACATTTCGAATATTGCGTTGACATCAAGTTTTCTGACGTAGTTTTCCATTTTAAAATATCTAATATTTTAAAAATATATAAAATTTACATGAAAAACTTTAGGCAATTCAGGTAATTCCCGTAAACTTACAATAAAATTTTTCACAAATTAAATTTGAAATTAATATTTATGGGCGATTCTCTGAAAAAGGACAAATCATCCGTTCACGGTGTTTTTGTTGAAAGAAAAATTAAATTCATTTAAATTATTAAAACTTCTGCCAGGCGGACGTCTGTTCTTCAACTTAAAGTTATAGTTGTTTTTGTTTGCTTTTCTGTTTTATAATTTTATTGATAATTCTTCTTTCTAGATGTTTTGGATTTCAAAATTAATAAAATTCTAATTAATTGTTTTGAAGATTAAATAATATCAAAAATTACTAAGACAAAATTATTTTTAATTGCTAACTTCTTTCACCTTTGATAAATTCCTAGAGTAATAAATTCTTTTTTTAATTAAAATTATTTTGAATTACAGATCATGCTCCTAAAGTTCTGAACGTTCAATTGAACGAAATTTATTCATTTCTTACAGAAAACAAAATTGTGGGGATTATTACAGATCAGAATTTTATTTGTAAATTAAATTTAACATTTTAGAGTATAAAATTAGTTATTGTATAAAAACTATCATTCTCATTTATGCAAAATATGATTAAGGTTATTAATTTAAATGTTTTGTTCCATGTTTAAAAATAATTAAATTTCTTCGAGGAATTTTAATTAAAATTGTTTTGGAAATTATTGATTTCTTACACTGAAAAAAATGTATTTAATTTAAATAATCGCTAACTTTACTATTATCAAATAAATATTTATCATTTTTATTTGAGTCCAAAGTTTTTCAAAAGATATCAAATTGAGACAAAAAACGAATCAAAACGTTGCTTCGCAACATTTTAGATTCTTTTTTTTGACTTAATTTGATATCCTTTGAAAAACAGTGTCATTAAAATGGTAATTGCTTAAAATATTGAAATTACTGATTCAAATAATTAAATCAAGTAAAAATTATTTGATTAAAGTAAATATTTATATGATAATAAAGAAATCGATTAAAATCTTTGAAAAGAATTACATTTTTGACAAGAATTTTATTAAAATTATATTTAAAATGGTCGAATTCTTTCGAACTTTCTTTAAAACTTTTTTTAAAATAATAGAATTTCTGTAAAGAACTTAATTGCTTATAAAAAGAATTTTATTAAACAATTTAATTTAGTACTTGTGTTCTTTGACAGAATCACTCTTTTATATTGAACATCGACTTACTTCGAAATTAGACCTAATTTTGCCTAAAAGTGAAATAAAAATAATTAAAGAGAAATGTATTTTCCAGTTATCTTGATTTTATAAATCTGATGGCGTACGATTTTCACGGCAAATGGGAGAGGGAAACTGGACACAATGCCCCGCTTTATTCATCATCACTGGACTCAGAATGGCAGAAGCAATTGAGCGTCGATAACGCGGCATCAATGTGGGTTCGATTGGGAGCACCGAAAGAAAAACTTATTATTGGAATGCCCACATATGGACGTTCTTTCACTTTATCTAATCCCACCAACTTCAGAGTTCATGCCCCAGCCAGTGGCGGTGGAAAGGCTGGAGAATATACAAAGGAATCTGGATTCCTTGCCTATTACGAGGTCAATTAATTACTTTTTCTACATAAAGTATTTTTTTCTTCATGAGTTATTCATAAGTATTTTTTACTTGAAAAAGTGTTATAAACTGTTTTGAAATTTAACGTTTAACTACTGAATTTTTAAGATAGTCGCAAAAAAGTCACTCAATAGTCCATAAGACTAATTTCTGAAAAAATTTTAATTATCTTTTCTAAAAATAAGATTCTAAAAATAAGATTTTAAAAACTGTTTTAAAATGTAAAGTATAATTTTTGAAAGAAAGTTTAAAAACGTCTGACAGAAAATTAGTTTATCACTTGATTTTCTACTTGAAGGCGACTATATCACTGGGTCTGGATAAAATAATTGAGTCTTCGCTCTGACCAAAGTTGGTAATTGCACCAAATTTAAGAAATTTTTTTTCGTCAAAGACTTCTTTTACATAATATAAAACTCGAACAAGAATATTATTTGATTAAAGTATAGAAATTTTGCCTTCAATTCTCGTGTGACTTTCACAACTTTTAACAAGTGTTATGGTATTTGATGTCTTTTCTTCGCTAACAACTTCTTTCAAAAATATATTTAAGGAATTGAACTTCTGTTGAAATTACGCTGAAATTACATAAATAATAATAACATTACTTAATGCTCACTGTGTCAGAACAAATAATTATTTATCTATAAATTGACTAAAATCTTGAAACTTTGTACAAAACAGATATGCGAGTTGTTGCAAAATGGTGCAGCCTATGTCTGGGACGAGGAGATGAAAGTGCCTTACTTAGTGGATCACGATCAATGGGTAGGTTTCGATGACGAAAGATCCATCAGACACAAGATGCATTGGATCAAGGACAAAGGATATGGTGGAGCCATGGTGTGGACTGTCGACATGGACGACTTCAATGGTACAGTTTGCGTGGGAAATGTCAAATATCCCTTAATTGGTGCTATGAGGGAGGAATTGCGGGGCGTTTCTCGCGGCGTCAATACCAAAGATGTGGACTGGAGTGCAGTCGCCACTACAATCACTGAGACAATAGTGAAAAAACCCGAACCTTACAAGATTTCACTTGCCGAGGTTCTCAGTAAGTCAAAGAAAGTCCAAAAGCCCACGCAATTGGTCATCAGTACTCCAAGTCGAGGTAATTTTTCAATAACAAATATCAATTTTATGATCAAATTCTTTGCAAGAATTCAATGATTTTCAATACATTAATTTTAAAATTGAAAATATTCAAGATATTTTAGAAGAAAAATTATTTAAAAAGTTAGGAAACAAAAAATCAAATAACTAACTTTAAATTGCGAACAGATTACCGGAATACAAAGATTATTAATATAGAAGATTTAATTAGATATTCAATTTTTCAGAAAGGGAAGCTCAAACCATTTGTTATTTGACAAATTGGTCTCATAAACGACCAGGAATGGGAAAATTCCTACCTGAGGATATTGATCCCACTCTATGTACCCACGTAATTTACGCCTTTGCTACTTTGAAAAATCATTTGCTCTCCGAAGGCAACGACAAAGATGTGGAAATGTATAAACGTTTGATTGAACTGCGCGAAAAGAATCCCGACATCAAGGCAAGAATATTTCATTAAAATAGTTTACTTGATCATTAATCCATTGATCAATATTCCCGTTTTATCGCCGACGTCAAAAAAATGCAACTGTCCTTTCATTCTGAAGAAAAATTTAAACTTTCTAAACACTCGCATTATTTTACTTTTGAATTATCAAGTTCAATGATTTGATGCACCTCGTCTTCATTGATCCAAGCTTAATTTTATTGTTACGTCTCATTTAACGTCTTTAATTAACGAGTAATTTTCAGCTGAAAACTTTCTTTTGTTATAGATTCTTCTGGCAATCGGCGGCTGGGCTTTCGGTTCCACTCCATTTAAGGAACTCACTGGCAACACTTTCCGCATGAATCAATTCGTCTACGAAGCCATTGAATTTCTCAGAGAATACAAATTTGATGGTTTAGACGTTGACTGGGAATATCCGCGGTATGGAAAATGCATTTAGTTACATCATAAAATTGGCATTTCAACACTGAAATAAAATTACAAAATTAAAACACAGTTTCCGCAAATTCAATTCAATTTTTTATTGAAAGATAATAATTGAACTCACCGTTTAATTTTCAGTGGCGCTGACGACCGAACAGCGTACGTGAATTTATTAAAGGAATTAAGAATGGCTTTTGAGGGAGAGGCGAAAAGTTCTGGAGAACCGAAACTTATTCTTTCTGCTGCTGTGCCTGCTAGTTTTGAAGCAATTGCCGCGGGGTATGATCCACTTTTTTTAATTACCATTTTTTTTTTAATATTATTTAAACTTTCTAATTGGATGATTTTTCAAAATTTTGTTTGCAGATATGACGTTCCGGAAATATCCAAGTATTTGGACTTCATTAACGTCATGACGTACGACTTTCATGGTCAATGGGAAAGGCAAGTTGGACACAATAGTCCACTGTTTCCACTTGAAAGTGCCACGAGCTATCAGAAGAAACTAACTGTGGTAATTGTCATTATTTCAATTTCATTTACAGTTTCTCTTTGAACGAGTCTTTGATCAAGTTTTACACAATTTTAAATTTTAGACATAGTCTAACTGCGACTGCTGGGAAAGACTATGTACCTATTAATGTTTAAAATAAATTAAAAATTATTCCAAAATTATTAATATTTTTTTTTAGAATTTTTTTTATTAATTATTTGCAAATGAAATGATTGTAGAAATGAATTTCAGGACTTTAGTGCTCGTGAATGGGTTAAACAAGGAGCTCCGAAAGAAAAATTAATGATTGGTATGCCAACCTATGGTAGATCGTTCACACTAGTCGATAAGGATAAATTTGACATTGGTGCTCCAGCTTCGGGTGGTGGAACTGCAGGAAACTTTACCAACGAACCTGGCTTCTTGTCTTACTATGAGGTGAACTTCTTTGACAATTCACTACTATTTACAAAATAATAAAAATCTTTCACAATTTTAATTTTATCTTTTTAAAATTTTCCCACAATTTTTCACAAAACAATTTTCAATTCATTTAATTTTATCATTTTGCAAAACTAGGTTTGCAGCTTCTTGAACGAAGATAATACAACTTTGGTATGGGATAGCGAACAGCAAGTACCGTTTGCTTACCGAGACGATCAGTGGGTCGGATTCGATGACGAAAGAAGTCTTGTAAATAAGGTAATCTCTACTTTTCTAAAATTCTGTTTTTAATCTTGCGAAAAGTAAATCTATGGTATTTATGAAATATTTATTCGTCAGATGACATGGTTGAAAGAAGAAGGCTTCGGCGGTATTATGATCTGGTCAGTAGACATGGATGATTTTAGAGGAAGTTGCGGAACTGGCAAATATCCTTTAATCAAGGCCATGAAGAAGGAACTTTCAGATTATAACGTTAAATTGGAGTACGACGGTCCCTACGAGGCAAATATCAGAAGCGGAAAATACACAACAAAGGATCGTAAGAACCTTTTTGCCACTTTTACTTTTCTTTTCTTTTACTATCCTTTTTTTGAATTTACTTTTGAATAATAATAATAAATTAACTAATTATCATCGATATTGAAAAATAATATTTGAATTCTAGCGAATGAAGTCACTTGTGATGAAGAAGACAATCATATTTCCTATCACAAGGACAAGAACGACTGCACTATGTACTACATGTGTGAGGGAGAACGGAAGCATCACATGCCCTGTCCGGCAAATTTGGTCTTCAATCCCAATGAGAACGTCTGCGATTGGCCCGAAAATGTAGAAGGTTGTCTTGAACACACTCAGGCCCCTCCGGTCTGATTGCTCCTTTCTCAAAGAACACCGTAAAATAAGAAAATAAAGAGCCAGCTTCCATCTTTTGTAAAACAAACTCAAACTAAAATTCACTACTCAGAAAATAAAAGTCAAACTTTGAGATTGAAAATCGAAAATAAAAAATCGAAATTATTGGAAATCGAGTAGTTTGGTTCTTTCATTCAACAGAAGCAGTTAGCCAGTTTCTCTTTTCTTTTTATTAATGCGCTCATTAATGGATCCTACAACGTGCTCGCATTAATTGGCTATGAGTATTAAAATGAAAAACTCGACGATGGTCAGCCAGGTTCGAGCCATTCGCTCGTAATTTCCGGAACTGAGAGCAGATGCCTGACAGGCTGTGTGTGGTATTCCCAAAGTGAGAAGAACTTTATCTGACGACGACGAAGGTGTTGTTTCGGTGCAAACAGCTCGGCCTGCGATTGTCCGCAGTTGTCTTGCGTCTGACTGTGAAGCTGTGTGAATTTGTCGCGATTCGCGAAGCCAACGCCTCAGCCACAAACTCAGCCAGGCGATTTCGCAATCACACTCCAACGGATTTCCGGAAACTTGCAGACCACCTGCAATTAAACAGAAACAAGATTAATATTAAGTCAACACATTTTTTTGTCTTTTTATTTACATCAAATCTCGACGAAAAGAGATGCTGATAATGTGATTACATTTTATATTGAAATTTTCGTGAAGGAAATAGAATTTAAGAGAAACTTTATCAAACTATATCTATAATTATAAATGATTTTTAAATCATTTCTCTAAATCTGAATTAATCTAGACTGATTTCAAATCAATCAGTAATTCGATCACTGGATTTACTGAAATTAAAAAAAAAAGATTTGACGAAATTTTTTATCGATTCAGATTAAGAGAGATCATTATATATTTATCTAAATTATATATTCTAGCTATTTCTCAATTGCTTATAAACTACTTCCTACACATAATTTTATAATTATAAGTTTATTTTTAAAATATTCCTATTACATGTAGTTTAGAACATCCATTTTTTTTAATGAATATATTAATTTTTAATGGAAAAGTTAATTTTTCAAAAATGTTTGCCTAAACATTTGTCGCATTTAAATCAATAAAATTCGTGATTTAAATTATATAATTTAAATTTAAAATTTTGCATTTTGAAAAATTATGCATATTGTTATTAATGTTATTATTTTTAATGTATATATATACATAAATAAATTTAACGTTTTAAGATTATCATCAACATCTCATCAGTTTAGTGACTAAGACCTTTATAAGTGTAAGTTTTAAATTATCCAAGTGTGCTGACTTTGGCAATTTTTGGTGATTATGTATAAACGAACAATGATTATAAGATTAGATATAGTATTTCACAAAACTATTCCCTTAGGAATAAATGTTTTCTACAAAATTTCTTAATAAATTTTATAAATACTCTCGAAATATATACTTATTCAAGAAAAAATGTAAAGGATTTTTAATGAAATAAATGTTGTATATAAAAATTGCAGAAATCTTACCAGCAACCATGTTGGTTCCCACTGCCTCCCATGATAAATTTCCATAGATTGCAGAAGGACTTAATTCGTTAATATGATTGTTTCGAAGGTCAAGAGTGAGCTGGGAGAGATGTTTGGTTAGTGATAAAAAAATATCAGACTGCAATCTTCGGACGGAAGTGTCCTTGATTCTAAGAATGAGATCACCTCCTTCTATGGATGAAAAGGCATCGGGCGAAATTTTTTCAAGATTATAGCCTGTAATTGTTAACTCTCGTAACTGTTTCGTAAAAGTGTTGTAAATCTGATCCTTCAGATAGTGTTCCATCATTTGAATTTCTACTGTTTTTAGAGGCAAACCCTGGAGAACGTGACGGAGGTGAAATTCTGCCACATCGGGCCAAGATTGGACTCTTAGATGCTTCAAGTACTTGAGACTTCGTAGGCAATCTTTTTCAACTCGCCTCGTCTTATTCAAATTTTTCAAGTTTAACTTCTCCAAACGTGATAGGCCCAAGAAGGTGTCTCTCGTCAGTTCCTGAAAAAATGCATCAAGTTTTACAAAAATATTAAATATAAATTACTGTATTATTAAAATAATTAATGTACCTCAACTGGATTGCCCGATACGTCCAATTCTCTCAGCAGACCCAATCTAATTCGGCTGATGGAAGTCAGAGAATTGTTGACCATTAGCAAAGTCTTCAATGATCCTAAACTTTCAAAGTCCTTATCCGATACACTTTTGATATGATTCAAGGACAAATCAAGAGTACTTAGTGTTGGCAAGGGAAGAACTGGTATTTTTCGTAATCCACAATTTGCCAGATACAATTGTCTCAAATCCGGAAGATAGTGAAACAGCTCCTTAAAGTTAGCCTGAAGACTATTCTGAGACATGTTCAATGTCAAGAGTTTTCCCAGAGAGACAAAAGCATTGTCAGGAAGAATGGTCATGCGATTCTTGCTAAGATTCAACCAAGTCAACTGAGAAATTGGAAACACCATCGAGTCCAAGTGATCAATCAAATTATCCGCTAAATTAAGATGTCGAAGTGTATAACCAACTTCCAAAAATGAAGGCGAAGGTACCACGGTGAATTTATTATTACTCATGTCCAAAATTTCCAGTCTCGTTGCTTCAAAAACATCTCGAGACAATGAACGAAGTTTATTGTGCGACAAATTCAAAACTCGAAGTCTTTTTAGATATCGAAATTGTTCAGTGGACAGTTGAAAAATTTCATTCTTACTCAAATCTAATTCCTGAAGTGATTCAAGACCGTAAAAAGATTGCTTTCTCAATATTTCCAGACGATTCTCGCGAAGATTCAAAATCTCCAGTTGTTTTAGTGAAAATACACCTGAAATGGAAAAAACGATAAAATCTTTTTCTAATTTTTTGTAAATAAATATTTACCTGAATCCAGAGACGCTATGAAATTATTCCTCACGTCCAGAGACTTCAAATTTGGCATATTTTTAAAGACTTCAGCCGAGAAATGGGTAAAATTGTTGAAACCAAGATCAAGACGAGTCAAATTGTCCATTAGGAAAACGGAATGTATACTTGATATTGAATTATACGAGGCGTTTAGGGCAAATTCAAAATCTCCACTTTCGAAAATTGAATCGAAATCCAGAGAAGTCAGTCTGTTGAATTCCAGATGAAGAAACCTTAGACTTCGAAGTCCACAAAAGGAATATTTATCTATTTTCGATATTCTGTTGTAAGCTAGTGATATTGTTAAAAGTTTCGGACAATCTTCAACTGAATTGGCGGTGACGTGTCGAATACGATTCCCGGACAAGTCAATCGATCTCAATTCGGTAAAATTGTGAAATGTAACATCAGGAATAGCTTCAATGAAGTTGTAACCCAATTTGATGTCTCTTAATTCCGGATGAACGTCCGACAGGAAAATCATTTCTGGCAAATAGTGGAGCCTGGAGAAAAATACATATGTATACTCAATTTTCGGAATAAAATAATATTAATAAATTATTAAGCACCTTACCTGTTAGATTCGAGATTGACATATCTCAATAAGCGCAGTGAATAAAACGAAGTTGGATCAATGGTATGAAAATTATTGTTATCTAAAACAAGCCACATCAGATTCACAAGCGGTCTCAGAGCCTTTTGTGGGAAAACATCAGTGGCAAATGCAAAGCTCAATTCCAGAATTTCCAAAGTTTCACCTATTCCTAAAAATGTGTCATCCTCCAACTCCGTCAAATGATTAAACGAAAGACTCAATTCTTTTAATTTCGTTGCACCTTTAAAAGCCTCGGCTTCCAATTTTGAAATTATATTATTTCTCAAAAGAAGAATTTCCAAATTCTCCGCCCAATCAAAGCTCCCAGGTTCGACGCTGGAAATTTTATTGTATCCCAAATTCAAGTGTAAAATATTTGTACATTTCAATAACGCAGTGACTGGTATTGAAGTAAGATGATTGGTTTGCAACGAAAGTGCTTTCAAATTCTCCGAGAATTCAAGGAAACTATCATTTCTCACTAAACGAATGTCATTATTAGCTATATAGAGATATGAAAGTCTTTTTAAATTCATTACAGCCTCTGGAACTTGATTTATATCATTATTTTCAAGGTTCAAATATTCGAGACTTTCTTCCAAGCCACGAAATGCATATTCATTAATTGTATGAATTCCATTGGAAGACAAATAAATTCTTTTCACCTCCATGTACTGGAATATATCAGCGGGAAGATATTGAAGTTTATTGTTCGACAAATTAAAATCTTTGATAAATAGTGTTCGATTGGGATAACCCATAAATTTTATCATCTCTATGGAGTTCTCGCTTACGTCTATCAACTCCAAACTGGAGCTTTGAAAATAGGGCAATTCCAGTGTTTTCATGTCGTTTCCTCCCAAGTAGAGGAACGATAATTCTTTTAAAATTCTCACACTCGCTGGAAATGATTTCAATAGATTGTTATTCAGACTTACGGTGTGAATGTTTGGAGGTAGTGATGATTCAGAAATTTCTTCCAAATTATTGTTGTCCAAGTTGAGCCATACTAGAAACTCAAAATCCCCGAAGCATAAGGGTAATTCTTTTATTGAATTGTCTCCAAAGAAAGCACTGACTAGAGTATTTTTCACTAAACCCCAATCTCCATCTAATGACGTTAAATGATTGCTGAAAGAAAGCTTCTTTTATTAAAATATTTGAATATTAATGCTGAATGTTTGAATAAAAAAAATCAATACCTGTGCATATTTAGCCAATTTAATTTTTTTAAATTATAAAGAGCTTTGAATGGAACCTCTTCTAGGGCATTGTAACTCAAATCCAACGAACGAAGACTGTCGACTACTCCACTAAAATAAAAAATAGACTAAATTATCTTTTGAATTCTTAAATTTTATTTATTACTTTTATTCACTACCTGTTTTTAATTTTATTTCTCATTTATATTTAAAAGTAATGAAAATATCTTACTGCAATGCTTTGTCACTAATACTCATTAATTGACTGCTCATTAGACCAAGAGCTTCAACACTCGTCGAACTCGCCAAAGCATCATTATCCAAAATTTGGATTCCTGAGCCAACTACATCCAATTGTGCTATATAGCTTACGGAGACATCTGAAATAACAAGTAAATATATTTATAAGAGAAAAATATGTGCATAAACTTTTTGAAAAGAGAAAAAATTCCTATAAATTCAACCTGGAAATCTAGCGAATGGAACTCCTAAACAATTAATGTCCATTTTCGTAAAATCTGAATCATCTTGAACCCAACACAGGCACATGGAATTGAAGTCGCAGGGTACACTGTGACTCTCAAGAATACTTGCTCCCCAAATAAGAAAAAATAAAACATAGGAAATAGATTTGAGCCCCATCTGTAAATTTTATTCATTATTAGTGAATTAATTAATTTTAGATTTTAATAATTAATTTCTAGCGGTATAAAATATTAAATCTCTCTTTGCTATAGTGACTCTAAAAAAATTTTAAAACCCGCTTTTTAAAAACTGATAGTAAATTGATATAACACATAGAATTTTCTTTTCATTGCAAGAAAAAATAAATAATAGAATTGTTATAAAAAATAATAATTATTTTGATTGACCACAAAGCATAAACATGATATATTGATTAAAGTTCACTGACACCAGTTTCCAAAATATTTACCAAAAAACAGCGATATAAATAAATCAATTTTTCACAAACCTTTTTAAGGAGCTAATTTAAAAATGATTCTTCCATTGCATTTTATTTGTAAATTCAAGGTTGATTTAAACTGTTTTTTAGCCATTTTTTCATTCAATTCACATGTTTGCTGTGTCGAATATCACCCTTCATTATTATCTCACAGATATTGCAAGGGGCGCATGTTCTGAGCGCAAGCGCTTCATCTCTTCAAACAAGTGCATTATTTGCTGTGCGAATTAAAACGTTTGAAATATTCTGAAAAAATAGTAACTACAATTAAAAAATGTAACAATTTTAAGATAGAAAATTTAAAGTTAGAGAAACTAAAATTTCAAGATAGAAATTAACAGTAACAATTAATAAAGAAATTAAAATTAAATTCATTTAAAAGAAAAAAGAGTAGTTTATAAAAAGTTAACTCAATTACAAAAAAATAATCAATTTGAATTGTTAACTTTAATTTATTGAGTGTCTATATTTCATGATTTTAAATATTTATCTTTATTGTCTTTTATTATCACTGTTAACTTAATAGTATCAAATTGCAACGAATTGATACCAAAAAAGTGGATTAAATAAAAAATTGATCCAAATTTTCAACATTAATTTGATCCACTTTTGTACCAATTTGATACTTTCCAAAAAAAAAACTGTAATATTATTATATTTATGTAAATATATTTATTAATAAATAAATAAATATCATCAAATTCAACTATATAAATAAAATAACTTTATTATAGAAAGAATCTTTAAATAATATTTCTTGAAAGAAATTATTTTCATAAACAACATTTCTTTGTTCATTTGAAAATGTACAAAATGTAAAAATTTTCTACCCTAATTATAATACTACAAAAGCTCATCATTTCTGATAAAAGCACTGAAAAGACAGTAAAGGTTACTTGGAACAATTAGAATGCCAATAATTTTTTATTTTAAAAATTTGTTAATGCCATTAAATAGATAAAGTCTAACATGTGTCTTTGTTTAAAACAAAAAACTAACTATTTTGCAATACGCAATTGTGAACAAGAATATTTTTTAAATAATAAAAATTTGATATTTATTTATATTATAAAATGAGAAAAGTTGCATTCTTCATTGCAATATTATCAGTAAATTCCATTGGTAAGTTATTGCTTGTAATAAATTACAAAACTACGTGTATTAACATTGCTGTTTTTCTATTAAATATATCTTTATTAATTCTTTTAAATATTTATTTAGTAATAAATAGAAAAAAAGTAATAATATTTTCAAATTTTTATTTCAATATTTAATATTGAGCAATAAATTGAATATCATCGCGGCTAATTGAATATTTTTATATTAAAAGTTTTATTGTAAATGTGTTTTCAGTTCATAGTTTCAATCTTCAAAAAACTATCCAGAATGCCGTAGGACTTGGACCTCTGATAAATAATTGGAAAAGTATTTTATTTGTCAATAAATGAAAAAATAAAACTCGAAAATTTAATGAAGGATAATTGTTAAAATTTCTAATTTGTAGGTACAAATAACGTCAACAAGAGCAGTAATAATGTAAATGATAAGAATAATAACAAGGGTGATAACTCGATTAATATCACCAATAATAGAGAACTTAATAAAAATGATATTGGAAATGGTTTTGGAAACAACAATTATGATGCAGCCAGCAATAATGGAAACGACAGTAATAAAAATGATTTTACTTTGAACAACAGTAGCAAAAATCCCTCATCTGATAAAAATGGAAATTCAAATGGCAATACTGATGAACTAAGTGGGACCAATGACACCAAAAACTACAATAATGATACTAAATCAAACGGAAGTAATGACAAAGATGTTGATATTAACAAAAATGATACTGTATCAAATGGAAGTAATGACAAAGATGTTGATATTAACAAAAATGATACTGTATCAAATGGAAGTAATGACAAAGATGTTGATATTAACAAAAATGATACTGTATCAAATGGAAGTAATGACAAAGATGTTGATATTAACAAAAATTATACTGTATCAAATGGAAGTAATGACAAAGATGTTGATATTAACAAAAATTATACTGTATCAAATGGAAGTAATGACAAAGATGTTGATATTAACAAAAATTATACTGTATCAAATGGAAGTAATGACAAAGATGTTGATATTAACAAAAATTATACTGTATCAAATGGAAGTAATGACAAAGATGTTGATATTAACAAAAATTATACTGTATCAAATGGAAGTAATGCCACTAATGATAACACTAACAGTGATGATACTGTATCAAATGGAAGTAATGACAAAGATGTTGATATTAACAAAAATGATTCTGTATCAAATGGAAGTAGTGGTACAGATGGTGATATGAATAATAGAAATGGTAGCACCGAAGAAACAAATGGTACAAATGATCTAAAGAATAGTAACTATAATAATAATAATTTAGCCAGTGATCTTATGAATTCAGAAGACAATAATAATAACACTAACGTTACCGAAAATTCAAATATTGAAACTGGCGAAAATAGTAGTAATAATAATAATGCAACCGGTACTGGTGGTGCAGAAGACGATAGTGGTGAGTTATCAAATGATGATAATAAATTAAAAAATAGTAGCAATGGGGACATTTATAATGAAACAAACAATAACTCAAATAACGAAGAAAGTAATAACACAAATTCGACAGTTGATTCAAACGGAACAGAAAATAACAATGACGATGATAATAATGAAATAAATAGCAGAAACAGTGATGATACAAATTATAATCAAAATAGCGGTAATAATACTGACAAAGGTGGAAGTGATATTATTCAGTCAGCAGATATGAATGCATCAACAAATTTTCTTGATGATGATGATAATAGCAGTACTAATGATTATGATGGTGACAATGATAGCAGTACTAATGATTATGATGACGATGATAATAATGGCAGTACTAATGGTTATGACGATGATGATGATAGTAGCAGTCCTAATGATTATGACGATGATGATGATGATGATAGTAGCAGTACTAATGATTATGACGATAATGATGATAATAACAGTACTAATGATTATGACGATGATAATTATGATGATGAAGATGATAATATCGGTATTTATAATTATGCCGATGATGCGGATGATGATGAAGATGAAGATGATGATAAAGATGATAATATCGGTATTTATAATTATGGCGATAATGATTATGATGATGAAGATGATAATATCAGTATTTATAATTATGGCGATGATGATTATGATGATAATATTGGTATTTATAATTATGGCGATGATGATTATGATGATGAAGATGATAATATCAGTATTTACAATTATAATAATGATAATAATTATGATGATGGTAAAAGCAGTACTAATGATAGTAACAACAATAAAGATGCAGGTTCCTCAAAAATTGCTTTTGCTGAAGTTAATAATAATACAAATATTAGAACTACAAATGATAAAATTTCTGTCATTCAATTCCCTAATACAATCGATACTACAGAAAATAATATCGAAGACACTGATTCAAGTACTTTAACAAATGTTCTTGATGATAATAACAATTCTAATGTCAACACAATTGAAGTCATCAGTATTACCGAAAATTACATCGATGATTCTGCTAATAGTCCTCCACCATTGGTTCCAAGTGACGGATCTTTCATACCCATTATTTTCAAAAAAGTAAAAAAAAATAAAGGTAAAGAAATTACCAAAATTAAACTCAAAAGAGTAAAAGCTTCCAATAAGGCAGAAGACACTCCAATTCAAATAAAGAAGGGTCGCATAGCAGATCCTTACCAAAAAAAACCAGGTCTCTTTCGGCGGCTATCAAATAGAGTTAAAAGCTTCTTTGGATTTAGAAAAACAAATAAAAGAAATAAAACACCAATGGGTGAAAACTCTTCAGACTCTAAGAAATCAAAACCTGGTCTATTTCGACGTTTCATAAATAGAGTCAAACGTATTTTTGGATTTGGAAAGAAAAAGAAGACCACTGAAGAATCTAACAATAATAAAAATTCTAAACCAGGTTTCTTTCGACGACTTACAAATAGAATAAAACACATTTTCGGATTTGGAAAAAATAAAAATTCTAAAAGTGATAATCGGAGTTCTAAAGTTCAAACTGATAAGAATGATCCAAATGATGAAATTCAAGTTGTTAGTGCTATGAATTTCAAAGACGCAAGTAATAATAAAGATGAAGAACCAACAATTTTCTTCGATCTCACGAGAGTAAATAAAGAAATTTTAAAAGATGTTCTCGATATAGAAATAAAGAAATGGAACAATGAGACTTTCTACATTTTTAATGATGATCAGAAACCAGTTAAACTAAATTTAGACATGCCTGACTTGTATGCATTGAATTTAACACAGGATTTAGACGAATCTACCGTTCTTTTTCAACTTTATACTAAAAACAATAAATTTAGTTATGATCCCTTGGAAGTTGGTAATGATGGAAAATTCAATATGAGCCATTTTGATCCGTCAGTACCAACTGTTTTTATAACTCATGGATATATGTGCTCTAGCGAAGGACCCTCTGTAACCATGATTCGAGACGGTTTGTTTTTCGTTTTTACATTTTTCTGTTTTATTAATGTACCTAAATAATTTGAAATTCTAATTTAAATAAAATTTTGAACACAGCTTATATAAATACCAGAGACGTTAATGTCATTACTGTTGACTGGAGTAAAATATCCCATGAACCTTATATAACTGCGAGACTTTTAATACCTTCGATTGGAAAATATATTGGAAGAATGGTAAATTTTCTGGTCAAAAATCATGGCATGAAATCTAATAGAACAACTCTAATTGGTCATTCATTGGGTGCTCAAATTATGGGCTTTGTTGGACAATTTACTTCAGAAAAAATAAACCACACAATTGGTATGTATAATCGAATACAGAAATATAATTGCTATCTATAATAATTATTGTCCATAAAATACAATCCGTAATCGGTACTTCATATCTTATATAATCATTAATCAATAGATTGTTAAAGAATCATTATACAAAGCAAATAATAATTTCTAGGATTAGATCCTGCAAGAATGCTTTTCAGTATGGTTGACAAGGATCAAAGACTTTCAAGTGACGATGCGAACTATGTTGAAATTACTCACACCAATGCGGGTGTATACGGTTTTTCTACACCAATCGGTACTTATGATTTTTATCCGAATGGAGGCACACTTCAAAACGGCTGCATTGATCCAGAATTACGTGATGCATGCTCTCATAATCGTTCTTTTAGATATTTAGCCGAACAATTGTTAAGATTAGGTCCCGAGTATTACGGACTTGAGTGTGAATCGTATGAAAAATTTATGACTAAACAGTGCACTAATAATAATATAACAATAATGGGCGAATTAGATCGTGTTCCAGCAGCAAACGGAAAATATTTTCTTCAAACAAGAGCAAATTCTCCGTACGGTGTTGGGCCTAATTTTAGAAGACTTACACATAACTATTTTCCATAAAACATTTCTTTTACTATAAAAATAAACGAGAGAGAATTGTAGAATTTAGAAATATTGACAATGTTTAAGGTGGTGGAACATTAATAAAATTAAAAAATATCATATGCGATGAAAAATAAGTGCAATTGCTATAACTGCGTAAAAATTAGTTTTTGTTACTCCTAAAAATAAATTTTTGTGAGTTGTATAAATGATTACATTTTTCTGTTAATACTAATTTCATATAAAATACAAATAAGTTTTTTCTTGAGAAAATTCCTTTCTTTTTACGCAAATAAAATAAAAATACACGTCAGACAGTTATCAATTCAAATTAAGCACTTGCCAAAATAAAGCAATGGATTAAATTCTATTCAATATGTTTATCTCATTTTTTTTATTAAAGAAGACAAAAGAAATTTACTCGATAAACCCTAATAAAAGACAAGAAATCTTACTTATTTTTCGAAGTTTCCAATTTCCATTTCACATTTTTCATTAATTATTACGATTTGATAATATTTGGATACTTTTTTTTAGATTTGTGACACTGAAAGCTACTTTTTTCTACGTATGAAAATTTGCAATACTTTAAATTCGCTAATGGAATAGAAAAAATTATTTTCAAAAATTTTAATAAAATTCTTTCAAACGATTCAATTATTTTCAATATCTACTCTTTTACTAAAAAAATTTCCCAAAATAATTCAATTATTCAAAACAAATTTTTATAAAATTCTTTGCAAACATTTGCAATTTTTCGAAAACATTAATTATTTAATTCATTTAAAAAATTCTTTAAGAATTACATTATATTTATTTTATTTAAATAAAATTCGTTGCAGGAATTCAATTATTTTTACAAGTAAATAAATTTATTCACATGAATTAATTATAAAAGAATGTATGTATGTAATAAAATTCGTTGTAAGAATTCAATTATTTTCATAAAGTATAAAATCTTTTATGGAGGATTTCAATTATTTTTAATACAATTTTAAATGAATTTCTCATCAAATGCAATTATTAAAAATTATAATATAAATATTTATAAAATATTTTATAAAATAAAAAAGAGAATGCAGTAATTTTATTTATTAAAAATAAAACTTGACCTCGTCAATAAATAATTAATAAATATGAAATTAACTGATACATTAGTTGGCAGCCTTTTGTGCATTAGATTAAGATTTAAAAAATGATTAGCATATAATTGCATTTCTAGATAACAGGAGTCATGGAGCTCGGATGTTTATCGATTGATTTATTCATTTTCTATTACATGCAATGTTCGTTTATAATTGAAGATCACTTTAACTATAAATTATTTGAAACAAAAATATACAAACTATTATTGTTTTTACTCAATAATAACAGTAATACAGATAAATAGTGTGTACTTTACGTTAATTGTTAATACAGGACATTATTTTTTATGAACGTGAAAAAATGTAAGTATATATATTTGTCACAAATAATATGGCACAGATAAGAGACGTTTAGTTTTACATTTAAATAAATGCACGCACTCTATTGTTAGTGAACTACTTTCAATTAAATTACGACTGATAATAAAAATTTTCTTTTAAAAAGAAGTTTATTATAAAAGGTTTCAAAGCGCATTAAGTTAGTTTAAACTGTAACGTTTCATCTCTAAAATTGAAAAGTTGAAGTAAATTAATGAATTTTTTATTTGCATTTTAGTGAGAAATTATAGTAAAAATTTTGATTTTATTTAAACAAAACGATTTAAAAATTGAATTGAGTCAAAAACAAGATGAGGACAAAGTTACTGGTATTCCTTCTGGTAGTATGCGTATTGACTGCTGGTAAGTTTATTTTACCTATTTAACAATTTGTTATTAAAAAAATAGACAAGTTCATCGAATTATATTTATAATTAATTAAATTAAATTAATTAATTATTAATATTTTAGTAGTGGAAAGTAGGCGTTATCGTTACGGACGTCGAAATAATCGTTACAGAGGAAGAGGTTTATTCTGGAGACTAAGACGTAACTTGATTTAATAATTATTAATATAAAATTAATGAATTCTTATTCATTTTGTAAAATATTTTCTTGAATTTCTGTCCTTATGTAGATGGTTGGGGTTGGCGCTTTTGGAGAAATCCTTTTGCTTTCAGAAGAAAAAGCATAATTCCACCAACTATAATAGGAGTGGGTACAGGGGGTATTAACAAATTACAAGACATAAATCTATTGAGTGGACTTAATATGAGTATTATAAATGGAATGCTTAGCATGGACAATATACAAAGTGATGGATTTATTAAATTCGACCCCTTAACTCTCACCTTGTTCCTCACAAAGCAAATCAACTTTTTCAAAGATAAGATTCTCTTCATGTACGATGATTTTGAGAAACCATTTAAACTCAAGTTGGAACTTCCTGATATTAATTTGCTCAACATTCGACCGAATTTAGATGAGAAGGTGACATTTGCTTTGTTCGATAAAACAGATGGAAATAATAGTTTTGATGTGCTGAAAGTTGATAATGAGGATGTTTTGAGTAAAAGTCGATTCGATAAAAATCGACCTACCGTTTTTATTACTCATGGATTTATGGCATCCGCCAATGGCACATCAGTAACACTGGTTAGAGACGGTAAAAATATTGCATTCTCTGATGAACTTTGAACATCTAAAAGTTTTTTAATATTTTTTATACCAAGCAATATCCAATATTCCATTTCTGTATTATTTTTTTCTATAACTTTTTTTTAAGATAAAAACTAAATTATATGTTTAGCTACTTTGAAAGAATAATTCCTAGATGAATGGAATTATTATGATTAAAGTTTTGCAGTTTTAATTTATTTTAGTGTTAAATAATACCCCCAAAATTTTCTGTGTATGGATAAAGTATATTTATAACAGTAATCTTCATATTTATTAAAATGTTCAACTAATAAAATTTATAGTTTAAGGCTTATCTTCAAAACCTTGAATTAAATTAGACCGGTAATTAAGACTGTCATTGCAAAACATGAACATTTCTATAAATTTAGTTTAAGGTTTCTTTATTACTACAGAAAAAATTGCAAATTAAGACATTTTAACTGCACTAAAAACTCGAAAAAGCAAACAAAAGAAAAAAAACAAATATACAGAAAATTGTGGTAACTTCTCCAAAATTCAATTTTTTCCTGATTTCCCTGACCAATTTTACTTTCCCTGACTTTTCCCTGACCTGTGGTAACACTGATTGAACTCAATAATAAAACTTATATTTGATAATGTAAAAAAAGTCAACTTCTATTTGAATCAAATTTTCTAAAAACTAGTTTGTAATAAATTATAGCTTATTTGAATAAACAAGACTATAATGTCATCACCGTCAACTGGAGTCCTCTGTCAGTTGGGTCCTACACGATAGCAAGACTAATGGTCATTTCAGTTGGGAACCATTTGGGAAAATTAATCAACTTCTTATACAAACATGGAATGAATCCGAATACAACAATTTTGGTTGGTCACTCTCTGGGTTCGCATGTCATGGGATTCGCGGGTCAAACTGCGACTCCGAATGTCAATCATACGATAGGTAAAAAAGAATTTCAATTTAAGTTTAATTTTAAGAAATTAAATTCTTTTTATCATAATGATGGAGGAGATCATCATTTCTAATGATCTAAAATTTTTACTATAATTATAATTATATATATCGATGAACTATATTCGATTTTGGAATTCCCCTCAAGGATTAGATCCAGCTTGGCCTCTCTTCGTGGGGCTGACCAATAATCAAAGAATTTCTAATGATGATGCTCATAATGTGGAAATAATTCATACCAATGGTGGCCTACTGGGAACTCCAACAGTGACAGGTGACTATGATTTCTACCCAAATGGTGGATCCTTCCAAAATGGTTGCAGTGGCGAATATTTCACAGCGTGCTCGCATGGTCGATCTTACAAATATTTATCCGAACAAATACAAGGCGAAGGTAAAAATTTTCTTGCCGTGCAATGTGATTCCTATAAAAAGTTTAAGAAAGGCGAATGTTCAAATAATACAAATACAGCAATTATGGGTGCTTTGGATATAATGAACAATCAAAGAGGATCTTATTACCTCAACACAAATGACAAATCACCATTTGGTTTGGGTTTTTTGCTCAGAGGTTAAATATTAATTAATTCATAATTTTAATTCTTATTCTTATTCTCTTAATTCTATTGTTAGAAGAGTTGCTAATAAATGAAAAGATAAATAAAAAAAAATGTGGAAATGTAAAAATAAAAAAATGGAAATGTAAAAATTAAAAAAAATGTTCCTGTTTTGTAAAATAAGGTTAAAAATTGAGAAATACTGAAAATTACTTGAAAATGCGATCCTCGGGGGATCGCATTTGCGAGTAGCTAATGTATCATTTGTCCTTCAATTGAAATCAAGTGATTGAATCTCGAATGAGTCAACTCATATAAGACAAACCCTCAGGGTATTCCCCTATAATAGAAGACATGATAGTATTTACAATAAGTAATCTTTTAGTTACGTATTTTTTCTTCAATGAATATGAGAATTTTTTTCTTTAATATTAATATTATCATCTTCTATTATCAGTTTATCACTATATTATTTTGTGTAGAAGAAATAAAATATTTAATTATCAGATTTGGTCTTTAAACCTTTCTAAAAATTGCGGTTCTTAAATTCGACCTTCACGTCGTCTTGGCTGGAAATTCATTAAATGATGAATAAATTAGCATAAAAATTCAAAAGAAACGTGTATACTTTTGAAAGAATAAAATTTTTATTTTCGGAAGTGATTTTCAAGGCAAAACTAAACTAATTTTTTTCTTCTCTGTTTTTTGAAAATTGAAAGAAATTTCCTAAAATTGATGAAAAAGTCATCTTCATTCTAGATTAGAACTGCAATTTTCATAAATAAAGCAACAAAACAAAGTCCAATTAAGATTAACTGAAAAAACGTCGCTATAATCTAAACTTTAATGTATCAATAAAAATTTACCTTGAATAGATTAATTTTTTTAGACAGACAACAAAATATTAATTTTTAGTGTATAAATTATTCCTCGGCTGGCAGAGTGTTTGTTTATGGTCTGAACTATAAAATTGAGAGCAATCATCTCCTTTTAGTTTGTCCCATTTTTTTCCATCATGAAACATGTAATTCGAAAAATTTTTATACTGAATTGGGAAAAGATAATTTGTACCGACATTCATTTCCCAATGAAATAACTTGTTGATCGGTTGGCACGTCCTCCGAAGCGATCGAAAGTGACATGATCAACGCGTTTCGTGAAGGAAAGAGACGCGATCAGGACGAAGAGGTCGATGCTGCTGTCAAAAAGTGAAAGGTTGCCTCGATCCTCACGCAATCTAAATTCCCTTTAGTTACAAACTGATCTCTCCCCCTTGAAGTTCATATACCACCGGCCCATCGACGAGAGTGACAGTGTTTTTTATATTCTAATTTTAATATAACGAAATAGCACCTTCAAAACTAAAACAAAGAAATTAAATTAATCAAACGAGTAGGAGTAGTCAAAAATGTCCCAAAAATCCTAATAGACTAATAAAAAAATAACCTAAAAGTAAATATTTAAATTAAATTTAATACAAAACTAAATTTCCCATAGTATAAATTTTTTCAAATAAAATTTTTTTCTTTTTGGAATTTTTGCTTCTCGAAATACAAAAAAAGTCTGGAAACATGAAACAAAAGCCATTTTCAAAGAATCCGAGTTTAAGAAATAAAAATAACGGAGCAAATGTGTAAAAGTGAGAGAATTATTTAATAACAGTGAACTGGAATATTTTTAATATCCATTTGCAAACTGTTTTTCTTTGGATTTATTGCAATTAAATTGAAAACTGAAAAATCAATGAACAAATGGCATCGACAATGGCTGCAGAATGTGCAGAGACGAAGAAAAATTGTATGATGAAGATGAGTTCCATGGAAGAGGAGTGTATGATTGAGAGAAGAAGATGTGCAACACTTAAGGAAATCTCAAATATTCTTCAAAATGAACAAACTTCTAGATACAATAAGGAGGTTTTCAAAAAACTCTTTCAAGAAGAGGTATTTTTAATTTATAATTTATGATCCTAGAATTCTGAACGTATCTTTTTCTTCGCAATCACAATTTTTCGATAAGGATATCACAAATTAAGACAAAAAACGAATTCGCAACACTTTTGATTCGTTTTTTGTCTCCATTTGTGATATCCTTAGGAAAAATGTATAAAATTTTTTATTATAATAATTTTGCATTACTAATTACTATACAAAGAAAAATTAATTATAACATTTCTAAATATTTGAATTTTATATTTAGAAACTTTGGAATTAATTTTTAATTTTTATTACAAGCAGTAATTAATGAAAACATTTTTAACAAAAAATATTTTGTTCATTTGAACATTCAAAACTTTTGGATAATTATCTTTAATTACCTACTCTTAAAATTAGGCACCTATCTGAAAAACAGAAAATATTTTTTTAAATTCTTATCTATTTAAATTTATCATTTTTAAATTTTTACATTTCACATTTTTACTTTTTGTATTAAACATTTTTTTTTTAATGTTTTTACTTTACAATTTTTACTTTTATAATTATTTTTATCATTCATTATTAATTTTCTACACAGTTACAGAAAGAATTTTTATATTATTATTTATGAGAATAATTGAATTCTTGCGAAGAATTTTATTACAATTTTAAAAAAGACTAATTACATTTTTTTGAAGAATTTCTTTGAATTTCATTAAAATAATGGAATTTCTTTAATATTTTTAGTTGAAAATTTTGAAAGTAATTAAATTTGACGAACAATTTCTTTCTAGTTTTTAAAAGTAATTGTATTTCTTAATAATTGAAAATAAAAAATTTAATATTATTGAATTTTATTAATATTTTTAAAAAATAATTAAATTCTTCACAGAATTATATTATAATTTTCTAAAATAATTTAATTCATTCAAGGAATTTTATTAAAATATAGAAAATAATTAAATTCTTTCGAAGAATGCGGATATTATTAAAAATTTTGACAATATAATTGAATTTTTTCAAAAAATTTCTTTGATTTATTGAATATAATCGATTTTGTAAATAATTGTAATTACTAATTAATAATTTTACTATTAAAATTTCATTTATGGAAAATTAAACTCTTTTAAAAATTTTAATAGATTTTTTGTAAATAATTAATGTCTTTTAAAGAATTTCTTTAACTTTTTTGAAAATAATGTAGTTTTTTGAATAATTTTAATTGAAAATTTTGAAAATAATTACATTAAACAAAGAACTTTTTTCAACTTTTTAAATTAATCGTATCTGTTAATAATTGTAACTAAATCTTTGATTTTTGAAGTTTATTAAAATTGTTTTGAAAATAATTGAATCATTCCTGAAAAGAATTTTACTATTTTTAAAAATAATTGAATTTTGCAAGAAATTTTACTATTTATAAGAATAATTGAATTCTTCAAAAGAATGTTATTATATATATAACAATAATAAATAATTATGTACTTAATAAGTGAATTTCAAAAATTTTAATTGTAAAATTGTTCAAAAATTTATATTTGAAAATGAAAAATTTTCTATTTAATTAAATTTTCTTAGTATGTGAATGAACTTTTAAGTTTAAATGAAACATACAATTTTTAAACGTATATTTTCAGAATGTACTTTAAATTTAAATTTAAACAGAATCTATTTTTGAATTAAATATATTAAATTATTCAAACAAATATAATTATTTAAATCGAGACTTTTTCTGTATTTTGGAATTAAGCTCATAAACTATGACCTTAATTGAACGAAAGCATTAAAAACTATTTTTATATTTAAATTAAATATAATATTTTCTTAGTGCAAATGTAAAAAAACTTAATTTAATCTGTTTCACAGATTAAATTTTATAGCTTTTCTTAGGATTAATATATGCATATTTATAATCCACGAAAATTTTTTTATACTCTTTCTACCTAAATCCAGTGAATTATTTGGAAAGTTAAGTCAACAAAACTTATTAAGAATATAAATGCAAAATGAAAAAACGTTTTAAAAAAATTCTTTTATTTATAACTTTAACAAATACCTAAATAAAACAGAAAAAAAACGAAACTCAATTTGCATGAAATAAAATGTTTTTAAATGTAAAATTTTTTATTGCATTAATTTCTATAGACGAAAAAAATTGAAAGTAAAATTAACTAACATATTTTTTTCATCGTATATATCCGCATTCTTAACTTTAATTTAAAATAAGGTATATTTTGTGTCGTAATTGTTTCTCTTCCGCTTTAAAAAAAAAATCATTATTTTCATCAAGGTTAATTATTACTGGGCCTTTTTATGATTTAAAAAATGGTTTATATTTCATGGAATTTGTATTAAAATTATTAACAATTGAAAATATATAGCATATTTAAAATCGTATTTTCTACTTTGCTTCAAAGTGTTTGCAGATTTCACGTTATAAAGTATAAGCAATTTAAAATTGTTAAATTTCAAGTTTTCAAATTTTTCTTTTTATTAAGGTGAAAATTGAATAAAAGTGAAAATTTAGAGTGAAATATAAAATTTGTTAACGAAAGGGCAGTTTTCTTTGCGAGAAAATTGTAAGTAAATTTGAATTGACGTGGGATTTTCGTTACAATATGCCATTGATTTGCCGAGGATGTTGCAAGGGAAATCAAGGTGCGATCTATTCAGGGTATTTTCTTTAATTAAGGTATTCGATTGCCCGAGGCCCAAGACCTTGTATCGCCTCGAGTATTTTCAAATAAAGTGGGGAGAGCCTCCAAGCAAACAGATTTCTTTTAAAACTTTTTCTATTTTAATTAGCAAATGTGATGGGATAACATTGAGGGTTTATGGAAGCTTCGAAATTCCGCGCACTTGAGCGTTACATTTTTACTTTTATATTTATATATAATTAACGCAGAAGTCAGATAGGCATAACTCATGAATCTGTCATTTGATCTAGATTCTGAATCAACGTTTTATATGTTAATGAAACTGCAAGATATCTGATCCAATTTAACCACTGATTCCTTAATAGAAAGATAATGAGATAATTCGACAAGAATAATTTCATTTATAATTTAAATTGAAAAACCTTTTCAATTTGAAAAATTTAATTTCTTTTCAAGTAATCTAATAGGATTTTACTCATTAAATAACTTATTTACTTAACTAATTAAGTCGCAATTAATTAATTGACTTAAAATATTTATTTGTATGTAGTAATTAATTTTGAAAATTAAAAGTTGTTTCTTTACTAATTCAAGAATGAATATATTATCTGTAATGTTATTTTGAAAAAGGATTAACACATAAGAAGAATTTTGATGAGTTTTTGTTTTCAGTAACGCCTCAATTTAAACATTTAAATGTATAACGTTTCTTTAAATCGAACTTTATCAAGAAAAAATCTCATTAAAATGAGAGAGAAATGGGTAATAAATGTTACTCGAGTGCAATAATTTGAAAAGGCCAGCAAGTAATAAAATTTGCAACAGACGTTCCAAAAGTCTCTGATAAAAGTGAGAACAGATATTCAAACACCAAGATTGGCTTCTTGTATACATGACATTGACCCATTTTTTCAATAATATCGAGAGCAATAATAAACCGGATGTAAATTGTAAATTACAATTACACACGTGTCTCAATGTTATTTTCCTCTCTTTTTGATAATATAAATTTCTATTAATTTGTATTAATTTGTAGATATATTCAACAATTGTTATAAATATAATTATATAAAAAATAATTTTAGAGTTCATATTTCCAACTTCAGGTATTCTTGGGTAAATTATTCACTCTCTTTGATCAAAATCAAGATGAGCAACTCAATCAGGACGAATGGATTAATTTTTTGAAAGGAAGACTTACGTAAGTTTATATTTATCAAAAATTTCTTTTTCTTCACTCAACTTGAAAGAAAGTATTTCAAGACGAATTATATTTTACTATAAGTAATCAATTAAAAACATTAATTTTGCAAAATTAAGCATTTTTTTAAACGGACGTTGCGTTGTCTGTGCGTCATCACATACTTTTTTTAATTATAAAAGCAAACATTTTTTTTAAGAGAAATATAAAAGGATAAGATAATGTCCAATTTAGTTTTAAAGCATATAATTTACGAAAGATATACCTTTTCTTAATATCGTGACGCACGGACAAAAATCCAATTGTTCTTGTGGAAATACCCTATTGAACATAAATAAAATTTTTATATTTTTATTATTTCAATCTTTACCGTATATTTTTCTTAGATGTAAAAAAAATAAAACTTTATTAATAATCATCAATAATCTATTGGCAGTTTGAAGTTAGTTTTTGTTTGCCTCTTTATTTCCTAACATTTTGAATAATTTTTTTCCTTTTAAGCGTATTGAATTTTAAAATTAATGTATTGAAAATCATTTCATTCTTACGAAGTACTTATCAAAAAAATGTTAAAAGAATTGAATTCCTTTGAAGGATTTTATCAAAATTTTTGAAAATCGTTGAATATTTTCGAGAAAATTTACTCAAATTATAATTATTTATTTATTTCAATCTTACACGGGTTTGAAAGAAACCTGTAAAAGAAAATTTATTGAAAATAATTTAATTCTCGCGAAGAATTTTATTATTTATGAAAATAATTTAATTCCTCAGAAGAATGAATTATTATTTATAAACACAATTTAATTCTTGCGAAGAATTTTACAATTTATAAAAATAATTGAATATTATTTCGAAGAATTTTTTAAAATAATTGAATCCTTCGGTGAAATTTTATAAAAATTGTTTTGAAAATAATTGAATTGTCTTGAAGAAATTATTTGAATTTTTTGGAAATAATTGAATTTTTTTTACTAATTTTTATAGAAAATTTTGAAAACAATAGAATTTTATGAAGAATTAAAAAATTTTTTTAAAATAATTGTGTCTATTAATAATAAAATGTAATTAATATTATTATTAGATTTTATCAAAATTATTTGATAAAAAATTTAAATTCTTTTAAACAATTTTATTAGATTTAGTAGAAAATTAAATTGTTTTACAGAATTTTTTTTAAATTTACTGAAAATAATGTAATTTTTAAAATAATTTTAACTGAAAATTTTTAAAATAGTTGAAATTTACAAAGAATTTTATCAAAACTTTTGAGAATAATTTAATTTTTTAGAAGAATTTTATTACAATTTTTAAAAATAATTGAACCCTTTCGAGAAACTTTTTTAAAATTGCATTGAAAATGATTGAATTCTTCAGAAGAATTTATTATATTTTAAAAACAAAATTTAATTCTTGCGAAGAATTTTACAATTTATAAAAATAATTGAATACCTATTGTTTCGAAGAATTTTATCAAAATTTTAGGAAATAATTCATTTTTTTCGACAAATTTGATAAAAATTGTTAAAAATAATTTAATTTTTTCTTGATAAAATTTTCTTTCAAAATAATTGAATTACTGCGAAGAATTTTACTATTCATAAAAAATTGAATTCTTCCAAAGAATTTGATTATTTATTTGAAAATAGAATAATAAATTTTGTACTTAAAAAGTGAATTTTAGCATGTGAACATAAAAAATATAAACATCATTTAAAAAAGCAATGATTTTTAATATTTTAGCACAATTCAAACGATTTATCGAATGCAAAATAAAAATTTTCCAATTCGTAAATTCAGTAATCAGTATTGTCTTTTTCAGAATTGAATTGAGAATTTAATTGGAAATTCCATAAGATTCCTTTTAAGGAATCTTTGCACGTGGATGACCTATTATCTATACGGGTTATTAAAATAAGTCATTAATAATGTTTTGAAATAGTAATAATAGAGAAGTAAAAATATTTATTTCGTCAATTTACTTTTTTCTACGAGGAATCACTTATCCTTTTCTATATTCATCCGTCTTTGTCAAATTCATTGATGGCAATTAATAAATAGTTAATGTATTAATGTATATTTCAGGAACGATAAACAAAATGAGTTCGTCGATCAAATTGAAAGTGTCGCTTACGCTTTAATAGGAGATAGACCTGTAACTCCCACGTCTTTTTGTCAAATATTTCGAACAAAAGGGGTATTTAATTATCTTTATCTTAATTAATCTTTCAATGGGGAAACATTATTTTTACTTCCAACTTTACTTTTTTATTTTCAGGTGGTCGACAAATTATTTCGATTGATCGATCAAGAAAATACTGGCTATGTAACGAGACAGCAAATTATGGAAGTACTTTCAAACGTTAGCAGTATGAGGTACTATTGAGAAATATCAGATATAAAAAGAGAAAATTAACACAACACATTTTTTTTAATCATTCCATTTTTTTCAATCTAGTTCACCTCTTTGCATTGATCCAAAGAATCTTGTTTGGTTGGAGACTTTGTTTAAAGCAACTGTCGGCAATGAACGAGAAATTCATCGGGAGGAATTTAAAAAAATAATGGTCTCTAAAAATGTAAGTCGCAACTTAATAAATAAATTTTTAAATTTTATTATTAGAATAAAAATACCATACATTTCCCTGTAGGTATATTTATGAATCTTATTGAATATTGAAATATGTAGTTCTCTTAATTGCTTGCGCCTTTTTTCGGAGGGTAAAAGAATTTCGTCTCGTCAAATTAATTAGTTACTTTAATGAGCTGGCACTGATTTTCAACTTTCTCTCGTCTTTACAGCCTTTCTTCACGGAAAGGGTCTTTCAAATTTTTGATACTGATAATTCTGGTTCGATATCCTTACAAGAATTTCTTGATGCGATAAACCAGTTCGCCGGAAAAACACCAGATGACAAAATCAGATTTCTATTTAAGGTGTATGACATCGATGGTGAGCTACTATTTTAAAGTCCATAAACGAGATCACGTAATGAGAAATTACAATTAATACAAACTATTCACATAAATGGGATCACTTTGATTAGAAAAAAAAATAAGTCGATTTCACTTTTTTCTAAATATTCGAAATATTTTTAAGACTAAAATAAAGAGCCGTTTATTCCAAAATCCAAATAGCATAATCAAAAAAACATTTTTACAAAAACATTAAAAATTTTTGAAAATGATTGAGAATTGATTTTTATGAAAAGGGGACGGTCTGATTCAGCTTCGAGAATTGGAGCATGTCATGAGAGCTTGCATGGAAGAAAATGGAATGAAATTTAGCGATGAACAAATAACAGACCTGACGATGGCTCTTTTTGAGGACTCTGATCAAGGAAATCGTGGGGCAATTACCTTTGAAGCATTAAAAATGCAACTGGAAAAACATGATGGACTTTTGGAAAATCTATCAATTAGGCAAGTAGCTGATTTTAATTTATTATTTTTACAGGGTTACCACCAAAATTTTATTTTATTTTTCCCTGACTTTTCCCAGATTTCCAGACAAAATTTTATCTTTTTCCCTGACTCTAAAGATATTTTTATTGAGCTCTTGTTGAAATTTGAATATTTATGAAGATAGTAGGATAAAAATAATAAGAAAACACAAAATTTGTAAAAATACAAATTCAATTGTTTAGATAAGAAAAATTAAGTTCTTACGAGGAATTTAAATAAAATTGATCTAAAAATAATTCTTTTAAAGAATTTTAATAAAATTTTTAAGAATAATTGCATTTTTCTAAGAATTCATTAAAAGTTGTATTAAAAATAAATGAATTTTTTCGATGAATTTTAATAAAATTATCAAGAATAATTACATTTTTCCGAGGAATTTGATTAAAATTGTTATTAAATATATACTCAAAAATTTAAATAAATTTAGACGAACATGAATTATTAAAATTTTTCAGAAATCTATAAATTTTTTAATATTTCTAATAAAATTAATTGAAAATTGAAATTTGATAAAATTTGTAATTAAAACCTTTTGAAGATGACTTTTCCCTGAATTCCCTGATCTGTGGCAACTTTGTTAAGCATCATTTTACAAGATATGCAGAATATTATTTAAATATTCTAATCAAGGTTTAATTAACAGTATAGACAGATGGATGGTGCCTCCGAAACCAGAGCCAAAGAGAAAATCCTTCTTAGCGTTTCTATTATCTTTACGTCCGTATCAATTGACAAAACCGTACATCAAGAATAATTATGTGTACATTGCATTTTTGTTACTATTCATTCTAATAAATTGTATTCTATTTGTGTCGAAACTTTATGAATACATGAATAAAAATGGTTTTGTTATGTTTGCTCGAGCTTGCGGTGAGTTCATTTTTACCATTTGTCACTCACTCATTTATTAACTGATCAGATAGAAAATAGATAAAAAAAACTTTGATAAATTTTGTAAAAACCAATCGTTTTGTCCACAGGTCAATGCTTGAATTTTGATTTTACATTTAGTTTAATTCTAATGCTTCGACAGTGCATTACATTTCTACGAACGCATGGATTCAATTCGATACTTCCATTGGATCACCATATATATCTCCATAAAGTGACTGGAATATGTATTGTGATGTTTAGCTTTTTTCATGCCCTAATGCATCTTCTTAATTATGGTAAGAAACAGCAATTTAGAAAGATAGAGTAATTAGTTTTATAATTAAAATGTGTAAAATTTGATTTTAGGTATAATGGTGGTAAATGACGATCAATTGAATAGTTTGAATTATACAATGACAGAGTGGCTCTTAACAACTAGACCAAAGTTGTATGGATTAATACCTGGAGCGGCAAATCCAACTGGTTTAATTCTTCTCATTCTTTTAGTCATCCTAGCTGTTTGCTCAATGCCTTTCGTTAGAAGAGGAGGTTGCTTTGAGGCAAGTTTATAATTAATTGGCTAATTACTTCTTTCAAAATCAAACTAATTCCAATCAAACTAATTGTCGTTAAAACTTGTTTTCATTTTCTCGTATCAAGTTTAAATTGATTCATTCATTTATATCATTTATATGTAACACAAATTATGTTAATTTTTCTAATTTGCAGATATTTTACTGGACACATTTATTGTACATACCTATATGGTTCCTCACAATTTTCCATGCGCCCAATTTTTGGAAATGGATGTTTATTCCCGGTGCCATTTATCTTATGGAAAGAATTCATCGTCTGATGTGGTTGCGATCTCAGCGTGGAAAAACGTACATTAGCTCTGGTCTTCTTTTACCCTCGAAGGTCACTCACCTAGTCATTAAGAGACCACCGCATCTTGATTTTCACCCTGGAGATTATGTCTTCGTTAATATTCCAGTGATTGCAAAATATGAGTGGCATCCCTTCACGATCAGCAGTGCACCAGAGCAAGAAGGTAAACAAAGGCCTGAAAATGAAAATTATTTCATTATTAATTATTTAAATACTAAGAAAGAAAATTCAATTAATTATTTCTTTGACAAGTTTTTGAAAAATTAATTTTTCCATCTACTAGATTACATGTGGCTTCATATTAGAGCAGTAGGCGAATGGACAAGTAGATTGTATTCTTATTTTGAAAAAGAACAATTAAAGCTTCATCGAGGAGGCGTTATTCCCGATGGTTGCAGCAACGTCAGAAAACTTTCGTAAGTTTTGTTATTAGCACATATTACTTTTAAAAATGATGAATAGGCATTTGTGAATTGTGACGCGAGAAGAAAGAGACAATAACAAAATCTTATAGGTTATGTTTTGAGCGAAATAAAATCGTGCGAAAATGCAAAAAGTGGGTTAACTTTCAATTTAAACTACATAATTATATTTAAGTATTCATCACATTTAAATGTTCAATAACATTTTTTTTGTTTTACAAACATACAAGATTTTGACTCTTAAAACGCTTAAAACCGTTTCTTCGCAAATAAAATAACAAATGACATTTCTGCCATTTAACTCACTTTGACACTAGGGTGACATTAATTCTACCGGTTCGGCCAAAATCTACTTTACCGACAAAGTAACTTAACTAGTTTATGTTTCTTACCGGACAGATGTATATTAATTAAAACTTATTTATTTAATTTCTAATAATTAAACTTTATTTCACAGCTATCAAAATGTTATGAAAAAGAGAGCTGCTCTTTGCGACAAGAAGTTTTCACTAGATTCATTGGATGATCCTCGAGGACTTGATAATCCACTTTTTGTCTCGGATGAAAAAACATCCAATTCGAGTCCAACAATTAATTCTCCTGCAACTTTAACTTCATCAGCGGAAAGTATGAAAAATACATAATTTAATAATAATAAACTTTTAAATTCTTTAAAAGCTGGTTTAATATTAATATTATAATGAAGTATTATTATTATCTTTCGAGAAAATAAGTTAACGTACTGAATTATAAATATTTACAATTTAAAAAAAACTGAAGTTATTATTTAATTATAGTTTTCAATTAAATCTTATCTGCCACTTTAGAGAAAACGTCTCGAGAGCGAAAATTGCACCAATTGATGCATATCAATAAAATGCCCCTTGAAAAATCACATTCTGTACCTGATATGCAAATCAAGATCAAGAAACGAGCCCGACTTATTGCGTAAGTTCGATTTCTCATTAAAAGCACGAAATTTGGATCAAGTCTAATTTATTAAAATGAACTCTGTATTTCACACAAAGCTGCTTCATTATTTTGTAATTGGTTAGTTAATTAAAAAAGAATTAATTAATAATAATGTTAATAATACCACATTCCTCAATGATGTTGTGATTCATTATTGCAGTAATTGTAATTAATTGTCTCGTGTAACTGACCAATTACAAAATTTAATACACAGTCATTACTTTACTAAATATTCATTTTTTATTTTGAATTATTAATTTATTATTAGTTATGTAATTAAGGAAAATATTAACGATTTCCAGACTTCGCGATTATACGAGATCTGAATCGGAGAAGAGTTTCGACGAATGCAAAATCCGACGAGCACGACTTAAATCTTTGGGTTTAGCCTATTTAAGTCCACAAAATAAATCGCTCGCACAAAGTTTTCGTTACATGAGAACAAAACCGACAATAATTGCATTTAAAACACCAAGTTTGGAAAGTTGTGATAATGACAATTTCCTCATCAACGAATGTAAGTTTAAACTTTAAAAATTGAATTTTTATCCGAATAATATTTGAATCTTATAGCAATTTTTGAAAATGATTCTTTTTATTTTTTAAGCCACCTCAAATAACCAATCTACGATAGAATTGAATAATTCCAAAGAGATACCGGAAATAGCGGCAGAAGAAGGTCGAGTTGTAAAGTCTCCGGAAAAAGAAGTTAGACGAAAAACGTTACAGGATATAAATTACGAAGAACTAGCTTGTCAATCATCTATTACTTATCCAGTTGGGAAACCACTCGACGTAAGATGACATTTTTTTGTGAATTGAAAATACCGAAGAATTGTCAAGTTTATAATATGAATAATAAAATATTTTTGCAGATTTACATTGATGGGCCTTATGGAGCACCTTCCAGTCATATATTCCAGGCTCAGCATGCGGTGTTGATAGGAGCAGGCATCGGGGTCACTCCGTTCGCGTCAATTCTTCAGTCAATTATGCATAGATACTGGAAAGTCAGACACACGTGTCCGAAATGCTCCTTTTCTTGGGCCAGCGAAATACCGCCTACGGTCATGAACCTGCGAAAGGTATAAAGATATTTATACAATTATTTTTTCTAAATTTATGTTAAAAATTGTTTTAATTTTTATTTCTATTTTATTAAGATAGTAATTAATTTTAATTAAACTGTTTTAAATTTTATTTTATTTTTTTTTTGAAAATAGAAATTAAAAATAATTTACGAGTAAAATGAAATAAATTTTCAATCTTGATGGATTATAAATAACATAAATAATTCAAGATGCTTGTTGGCAATAAATATTCTGGAAAATGTTCTTCAATTAAGTGTTTTCTTAACGTGACAAGTTTCCAATTTCTTGTGATTTTTACACAAGGTCAACGTCATATTGCGTTAGAGTTAATTCCTTTTATTTGCTGAAAGGTGGATTTCTTTTGGATAAATCGAGATCAACGATCGTTTGAATGGTTTGTTAACTTGCTCTCACAACTTGAAATAGAGCAAGCCGAACTTGGAGCTACTATGGAGCGCTTTCTTGAAATGCACATGTACATTACAAGTGCTTTGCAGAAAAATGATATGAAAGCAATCGGTCTTCAACTCGCTATGGACCTTCTACATGAAAAGGTAATCATACTTTTTATAAATTAACAAATTAGTAAAAAAAATCAAAATGATATTTTTGTTGTTTTTAATTATTTTTTAACAACCGCAAGTCGACTTTTCTTCACTGCTTCACACATTATGATACTCTTAGTCTGTAATTTCTCACCTCTCGTTAACTCTTATTACCTCCAGGAAAAAAGGGATCTCATTACTGGATTGAAGACTAGAACCAATGCGGGACGTCCAAACTGGGACAAGGTCTTCAAACAGCTTCAGGAACGAAAAAAAGGAAAGGTGACGGTATTTTATTGCGGCCCACCGCAGCTAGCGAGAGTCTTGAGGTACAAGTGTGATCAGATTGGTTTTAGTTTCCGAAAGGAATCCTTCTAAGGGAGACATAATGCCACTATGGAATTAAAGCAAATTTTTCGATAATTTCCGGTAATTACTGATATTGAAATTAATTATCTACAAAAAATAAATCCTCGTTACCAAATTTTCACACATAATTATAAAAATTGAATTATTATTTTCAATATTAGTGACATATTTTTTACTATTAAACTAAAACATTTTCTATAAAAAAAACACAGACAAAATAATTTTAATATCATTTTAATATTAATTGTAAATAAGACTTTTTAATAGAATTTGACTATTAACAAATATTATTTTACTTTACACAAGTATTATTTACATTTTGTAAAAGTTTGATTGTAATTTTAATGTAATAATAAGATACCATCTTTGTTAAGTAGCAATTTTTATATTGTACATTGAAAAGTTTACTAAGTTTTTATGATGTAAAAACTGTTTTATAATAAACTTATTTTCGAAAGTATAAGAGAAGAATTTATACCAATTAAATATTATTTGTAACTCTTGAAATTTCGTGAATTAGCCAAAGTACAAGTAAATACGCGAGTATATCAATTTGACGATCTGTCATAGTAAAAATAAATTCAAATAAATTATAACTGAAAAATTTTGATTTGACAGAAATAAACCAAAACTGACCAAAACTAAAAAATAGCTCAGTGAATGTTGCTTCAAGTTTGTAACATTCATTTTTTTCCTTTTGTTATTATTAATTAAGTAAGTAGACTGCTTTAAATAGTAAAATCAGTATTATATTTAGATTTTATAATTTGAAATACAAGTACCTAAACTTAATTTGACTAGAAAATAAGTACCTCTCTTTTTCTTATTAACTAATTAGATTCATCAGAGTAGAAACTAGTTTATTTTTAAATAGGAATCTTCATGTATCACTTTATATTATAAAAGATAAAAAATGGTTAAACTATATTAAAATAAATATAAAAACTCTTACCTAAATTTAAATATTTAAAAATGCTATTTCTGATAACGTAAAGTGATGTATAAAAATTTGATTTTTATCTTTCAATGAATAATCAATCTTCCGAATTAAAAGAAGAATTCATAAGCATTGAAGCTTGATTACAGTAAGTAACATTAAATTCGCAAGGTTGTTGGCACCAAGGTTCACCGTCAACTTGCATCGCACAGGACTCTAAAAGTTTTATCTGTAAAAGTTAATTTTATTAATTGCAATTCTAATAAGTAAAGACCGAATGGAAAAAAATTGTTATTGTCTTTATTTAAGTTTACCTTAACTTTACTAGCCTGACCAAGTCGCAACGGTTGGGAAAGTCCCATTTGCAACTGCGCTATATGGAATGACGAAAAAATAGCAACAACTTCTAGTTTGCCATCGTTTATACTCTGCCTATCTACACTGTCATCTTGAAAGAAATGTATAATTAAAAATGTTACAATTTTTTATAAATTAAATTAATTCATAAAAAATTCCTTTCATAAAGGAACAAATTATAAACATACCTTCAACACCCATATTCCAGAGATCGACACCAGCTCCCCAGGAATTAATGTTTAAAATCACAATACTTTCTATTGAAGGTAACTCGACTCGTTTACCGTCCAGGAAAACCTCGATTCTTCGATCCAAATCTTTATATTCTCTTTCCACTACTTGTTGAGTACCGAAACATAAATAGAGAAGCTACATCAAAAGAAATTGTCATTTGGATTTTTAAATGTAATTTTTTATTTTCTAATAATAAGATAATTAATAATATTCACCTTATTAAATATTCTATGGCTGAAGAAGTAGAAACGACTTTCTCGAGTTTTGTGAAAATTTAACGTCACCTGAGCATCCACGCCGATACTTAAGTAATTATACATGAATAAATGCTTTTCAGACCCAATGAATCCAAGACTGCTCCCGGAAGGTTTTACTGCAACATTCCATCTGATAAATAAAGAAATTAGAATTATCTTCTTTACCTATTATTACTTTTTGTATTATGAATTATTTTTATTTACCTATCAAGTTTTACCGAACTCGCCGTTTGAAGATTCTGTAAAATTTCAGCTGGATCTAAATTCGAATCGTGTTCTTTTCCCCAGCCAAGAACTCGAGATAGATCATTACCGGTTCCTAAAGGTAAAATTGCCACAGACGGAACAGGCTATTAAAAATATAAGTATCAAAAATATCTGCTTTTACAAACTCACAAATTTGTTTTAATAAAAAATTTAATTACTTCAAGTTTAAGTTTATGAATTGCATTTAAAAGCCATGCGATTGTACCATCTCCTCCTGCGACAAGCACTTTGCAAGGATTCTTTCCCAGTAAACGACACCATTCAAGGGCTGCGACTGGATCTCGATCAGCCAGATCAACAACTTGTGCGGGATTAAGAAATCTTCTGAATAAAGATAAGATTTCTCCGCCATCATTATTGCCTGACTTTCTGTTAGCTGAAACGTAAATTAATTTTAGAATATATTTTAAACTTTAATTATTAATTTCTTTAAATACAATTTACCAACGACAATAAGAGGATTCCACTTCTCCCACAAAGGCGGAATTATAGAACGAAGACGCATACGACTTTTCATTGTACTTCGTTTATTAATTACTTGTAAACTTATCGGTGGAATTATCATCAGTTTAAATCTGCCAAAATCGCAAATCTGAAAACGAATAATTTAGTTATTTGCGAATCAATTTTAATTATTTTTTAAATATTTGTATCATTTTTTTCTTGGTGAATAATAATTTTAATTGAAGAATAATTTAATTTTGGGAGAAGAAATACTTTTTGTTAATATTTACCTCATTTAATGAACTTTTACAAACGTCGTGTACACATCGTTGACACCAACAACACCACCAGTCCTTTAAACCAGGTTCTGTGTCGCACTCCTCAGAACAAATATTGCAAATCGCAACAAGTGGTAAATTCCCTGGAATAATTTTTTATTTCAAGAAAAAAATTACTACTCGATTTTCGATAAAATTTATAAATTTTTACCTCTAATCCAATGATGTTTCATTGGTTCATCACTGGATATAGTTATAGCTTTGCATTTCAGAGTTTTATCTGCTACTTTAACACAACTATGATCTGCACAGACGCCGCAAGAATCGCAAATAAACCCATTCATATTCAGTAACAATGCTTCACAAATTGTACAATAAACTACCTAGTGAAATAAAATAAAATAACAATTACAGGACACAAATTAGAATTATGTTTCACTTAAATTACAATAATAGTAAAATATAAAAAAAAATAAACCTTTGATGCGCTACTAATCATTTTCCAACTGTGCTTCTTAGTCGAATCCCTTATTTGAAGATAACGATCTTCAGCAGAATAATATCTAACAATATTATAAGTGAATATAAAAAATATCATAGTCGATATTGTTTGAAATACAACCGTATTTACTTCTACATCCCACATGATGAATATTATCTGCAACAAAATATTATTCAAAATAATTATCACACAAAATTAATAATAACAATAAATTAAATGAATTTTCAACCAATATTATTTTGGTTGAAAAATTAAAATTGCTTTCAGAAATAAATATTTTAAATTAATTAATTTAAATTGATACTAACCTAAAGTCAAAATTCGAGATAAATAGAGACGACGTGTATGTAATACACTAATTATCAAATTATAAAACCAATCTCTCAATTCGTACAATAACTATCAAAATTTAACACTTTATCAAGTATTGATTCTCACCGCATTACCTATACAAGTTATTTGAATAAAATGCAAACATGAACACAACAAGCGTTAATGTTTAAAAAAAAACTATTCATCTTTCTTCATTTCAAAGAAATATATTTTCATTTTACTGACTATTTCTCATGTTAATTATTATTTTATTATTCTTTTAGTAATATCAATATGTAGTAGCATTGCAGTGTATAAACTGTTTTGACAATTTTGACAGATGACCTTGAGAACTAGCAGACGATATTTCTAAGCCACTAGTCTGAAGTTAATTCTTATTCATTTAAAATTTATTTGAAAATACATTCTACGTATCCTTACTGATAAATACATTTTATAATATAATACTTTTTTGAAAATTAAATTAATTCATATAATTAAGAGGATTATAAAAGTTTGTTAGACTTACAATATTATTGAAATGAAATAATTTAAAATTTTCATACGTTTTTCATGATTGCCAACTTGAATTTTATTAATAGTCTCTAAAAATGACTAACTTCACGAATTAATTTAAGTTGTATAAAAAAGTTCAAGTTCATATATGGACATTACGAATTTTATTTTGTAAACTATTTTGAAGTGATGTAAACTGTCTTACTGGAAATAACACTCAATTCGAATTTATTTAATAATAAATTTTATGTAGAACATAAAATAATAAACTTTTATTGCTAACGTGTACAAATAAATTTAGGTATCTCAAAATTAACCTAAAAAACGTATATACATATATATACTTTGGCAACTAAATAATCCGGGTTCTTTCGTTGATTGGGTGAAAAACATGTGTCAAAAGTGAATTTCCTGTGAATCTCAAATTTTGTTGATACTTGATTTTTAAAAAATTATAAACATGGCCTTGAGGCGACCGAAGAAGAATTTGAAACTTCAAGTTTCTACAGAAGCTCCTGTCCCTTTGTAAGTTTATCTTTTATTTTTCAATGTTATACTTGAAATTTTGTATTTATTTCATTTATTTTATATGCATAGAGATTAAAAATTTAGCCCTTAGAGGATCTTTTGGAAAAATGCTAATGATTGATTATTAAACTAATTTTAATCGAAAATGTAAACAATGCTTTTTCAAAGAAATTTGAATTATGAATTTTAGAAATTAAAAATATAGACTCGAATAACGTTTAAATTGACTGAATTATATTTTTTATTAACAGGACGCCACCAAGAAATCTAGATAAGAGAACAACAATAACAATAGATGAAAAGACATTTGTTGTTGAAGCTGATGACCTCGAAACGTTATGTACTTTGGGCAGAGGGGCCTATGGAGTCGTGGATAAAATGAAGCATAAACAGAGTGGCACTATCATGGCCGTAAAGGTGATTTTCAAATTCAGTAATTTCAAAGTTAGTAAAAACTTTGCTTATTGACAGAAAGTGTAATAAATTTCCTATTTAGAGAATTGCAGCTACTGTGAACACACAAGAACAGAAACGACTATTAATGGATCTAGATATTTCAATGAGGAGTTCGGCTTGTCCTTACACTGTTCAATTTTATGGAGCACTGTTTCGAGAAGGTGATGTATGGATTTGTATGGAAGTGATGGATATGAGTCTTGACAAATTCTACATGAAAGTCTACCAAAATGGACGATCAATTCCAGAAGATATCTTAGGAAATATTGCCTTTGCAGTGAGATTTATATCATTTTAATTTTCGACTGCTAACAATAATTGATTAACAAGAGGGATTTTACAACCTGTAATTCAGGTATTTCGGAACTATTTTTGATAATTTATCTTTAATTTAAAAAAAGAGGACTTGCTGTATTTTCGGAATATTTCATTCTATTTTAAGGAATATTTCAGAATAATTCAAGATCAGGGTTGCCACGCAATCTGAAAACCTGGAAAAGTCAGGGAATTTTAATTAGAATCCTGGAAAATTGTTGTTTTCTAAAGTTATTGTGTTTATTCTTGAAATGTAATTACTTAAATATTTCAAAATTAATTTAATTTTAAAAGAATTGCGTTTACAATTTTCATAAACAGATGAACTTCAAAAGATTTTGATTTGAAATTTTGTCAAATTTCAATTTTAAATAAATTTAATTAGAAATATTAAAAAACTTCAATTTAAAAATTCAAATTTAAAGTAAAATTCTTGGCAAAATTTTAATTATTTTCAAAAACTTGACTCAATTAAATGATTTTTAATATCTACTACTTTAATAAAAATTCCTAAATGAATTCAATTAGTCAATGCCGAATTTCAATTATCTTTAAGACAATTTTAATGAAATTCCTCGAAAAATGTAATTATTCTTATTGATGTTTTCGAATAATTTTCGTTTTAAAAACCTGGAATTCCGTTTTTTAACCTGGAAAACCTGGAAAAGTCAGGGAATTTGAAAAGAGCAAAAGCGTGGCAACCCTGAAGATGAATCTACACCTTAATTTACGAGTTGTTTACCCCTCGTATTAATGTTAGTTTGTGTTATACATAAATAATATTTTAATGATCTTTTTTAGGTAGTAAGTGCACTACATTATTTGTATTCACAATTAAGAGTTATTCACAGAGATGTAAAACCTAGTAATATATTAATAAATAGAAAGGGAGAAGTGAAAATCTGTGACTTTGGAATTTCTGGATATCTAGTTGACTCCGTAGCAAAAACAATTGACGCTGGTTGTAAACCTTACATGGCTGTAAGTATTGACAGAATAAGTTTTTAAAACACAAAACATTCTTTTTTTAATATTAATTGTTTTTTTAGCCAGAGAGGATAGATCCGTCAGGAAATCCTTCACAGTACGATATTAGATCTGATGTCTGGTCTCTAGGAATATCACTTGTGGAATTGGCGACTGGGAAATTCCCTTACAAAACTTGGGGAACTCCTTTTGAACAACTTAAACAGGTCGTGAAGGACGATGCACCTAAATTACCCGAAGGACAATTTTCCGACAGTTTTGAGGAATTAATTAACAAATGGTGAGGATAAACATTTAATACAATTTCATCAAATTTTAATAAAGAATAAAGAATTTCAATTTCCACATGAATGAAATTATAATAATTTTAATTTAATTTTATTTAATTTGAATTTTCGTTTCAGTTTAATGAAAGATTATAAATCACGACCGAATTATGATCAATTACTGCAACAGAGTTTTATAATAAATCACGCCGAGAAGGAGACGGATGTTGCAACATTCGTTGCGGAGATCATTGATTTACCTGAAAAAAATGAGACTAAATAGTAAAATATTGTAATAATTTTCACCTACGTACGTTGAATTTACATCACCACATTGTCACCTCATTTGATTCTCACCTAAATTAAAGTTTTATTTGCATCAGTCAAATTTACGTAGCATTAGAGATCGCCAAGAAGATCAAATCAAATTCTGATCCTGTAATCAAAATATTTAATTATTCGTTATATATGTATGTAGTTAATTTTCTTTTGTGAAGAAAGAGTTTTCTCCCCGGTTATATTACATATTTAACCCGAGAGAAAAATTTAAAAATGCATGACCTAAATTATTTTGATACTGCCAACAGGAAAAAACTTAATTTTCTGCTCAAAATGGCCTCCGAAAGACAGAGAAAGAGTCTTGAGAAAATTTTAATGAAGAATATTTTATCAATAATTTTTGTCTTATATTCTGTAAGCTGCGTAGACATTTATAATTTTTTGTAGATATAGCATATTTACAATCTTTGATATACAAATATGTAATACCTTGATTTCAATAAACGAAAAATCAAAAATCGAATCTCTTCTAGTAAATAGTAATTTATAAAACAAGACAACAAGTTTGTGATTTGTCCCGATTGCTTCTAGGGAAATTTTAGAAGCAACTAGTCTTCACTATATAGTTTCTGCTACATTCAATTCATTCAATTTAAGATAATTTTGATCTATATACTTTTATTTCTTTTTTGTTTGTGCCGGTCGAATTTATCAAATTGATTATTAAAACTGGGCGTTGTCGAAATTGCATACGATTGTTCAACATTAGGTTGACATTTAATAATGGAAAGCAGCATAAAAGATAGTTTATTAAAATCTTTATCACAGCTCGAAATGAATAAAGAATCAACGGTTTCTGTCAAACTTGAAAATGTAATGTATACAATTATAATTTGTTTCAAATATCTTATGAATTTTATAAGTTTAGTTTAAATATTTGTTTAATTTATTGATTCAATTATAGATCATTCCTCCACTGAAAGATCGTGACTCACAAGGAAATCAAGTTGAGGATTTTATCAAAATGTAAGATAATTAAGATAATAATAATTATTATAATTATAATACTATATTATATGTAATATTTAAATTTTTCTTCATATTTTTCAGACTAAAGCACATTGTCGCGTGCATTGAACGAAATAGCAAAAATTTCACAGCTCTTAATCCTCCAAGTAAATATTTTTCGGAAGACCCACAAACAAGAATAACAAATTTGAGAGATTATTGCTTTTTTTTTATTCGAGCTATTCGTGAAAATATACTTTGGAAATATGCAAACGTTGGTAAGTATGAACATTTTTTTTTTGTAAAAAATATAAAAATATAAAATTGGAATTTTTTTTACAGAATATGGTCTGTGGCCATCGAACGGCATGTTTTGTGCCTGGAAAACATTATGTTTTGCTCTATTTGACAATCCAACTTTCTGCGATACTCTTCTTCATGATAAACTGTAATTATACTGTAAAATACTGTAAATATTATAATCAGTATAAATGTCTTTAAACTTTAAATTCATTTTAGGTATTATCCAACAATAGTTCAAGATTATATTACCGAAAAAGTCCCACTAGTAATGAGTGAGTAGACTAAAAAGTTAAAAAATAATATTCTTTTTTGTTAATAAGTATTTAATTGATTCCTTATTAATTACTTTTTCAGAGACTGTTGTAATTATTCTGTCAGATTCGGACTTGGATACAGTTGTTTCATTTTTAGCATCAGTTACTGAAAGACCTTGTGTTTGGAAAATATCCGCTGTTTATATCCAAGAGTCGATTGAAAAAAAATTCGCACAACTCTACAAAGAAAAAAAGACAAAAGATTCAGTAAATATTGATAAAATTCTGACAATATTTCGATTCAAGGAGGAGATTTCTTCGAAAATCAAAGACAATCATTGGGACGCGATTTCAATTTGGACTGAAAATGTTTTATCTGCAAAACATTACGTTATGAATATGATGGTATGTAGATAAAATATTAAACTTTTAGAAATGAGAAATAATATTTTAATTCTTTCGTTTATTTTCCAGGTTTCTCTTGTTTGGATAAATTCATTCGGTGAACTTGGTCCAGGAGTTGCGCTTCGAACTGATTCTAAACTCAAATGTCCAAACGTTAGCAGATTTGAATTGAAATCGGGATTTTTCACAGGATCCGGAAAGAAATTTGATCTTTTCTACGATGGTTTATGGAAAGAACCGAAGAATGGAAAATACTGGACTGACTGTAATGGAAATTCTTGGGCCTCTGCGTCACAGTATGTAAACAAAAAGTAAACTCAAATGGGAATAATATAAATTTTTAAATATTATTTCTTATTTATATTTCAGAGAAGATGTTGATAGTTGTGTGCAATCCGCGAAACGTGGTTTTGAGAAATGGCATTTAACACCTTTCAGTAAAAGGAAAACAATTCTGCAAAAGTTTGCCGATAGAATTCACGCAGATGGGTAGGTTGATAAATTATGTTTTAGTTATCAAATTGAAATGATGGTATGTAATTTAATAATATCAATGAATATAAATTTAAAACTGGAAAAATGTTTACAGAAATAGACCACTTGCTAAGTTAGTGAGATCCCAACTTGATAATCCAATTCTATACGGAAGTTCATCAACAATTATTCGGGATGGAACTGTTGAAGTTTTGACAGTCAGAGATCCAAAAGGAGTCATTGCAATTGGTAGAAAAGACAGTAACGATCTGTTTCTTCGCGTGATAAATGCTTGCATCGCTGGAAATGCGGTCATAGTGATGTATGGTGGAGTTTTATCTCCGATCAATGAGTACTGTGATATGATGATTACTAGTGGAATTCCACCTGGAGTTATAAACTTTTTAAGTTTCGAAAATCTCTTTAGCGGATTCAAGGAAGTCTACAATAATTCTGCAGTCGCTCATGGATGTTCTCCAGCTTTCGAAGAATTTGACGTTTTTATGCTCGACTTTTTCAAGTACTGGATCGATCTCGTAACTGATGACAATGATTGCCGATTTAAAGAAATGCTGTACACAAAGTACACTCAGCCAAAATCTATTTGGCTCCCTTTTAAATAACCACCAATTTTTACGATCAAGAGAAATATAAAATCTCAAACACAAATTCTGAAAAACTTCAACAGAAGTATATTTTGATCTATTTCAATAAAATACATTTCTTTATTTGAATCGTCAAGACTGACATAAAAGCATTTATTGTATTTTTATAAATTTTCTTCATCTTAAAAATATTTTATATGACAAAAAAATAAAGAAATTTACATTTTGACACATTCCTTGCGTTTTTACTTTTTGTAAATAGTCACTATTGATAAACAATAAAAAAATGTAGATATAAATGTAAATGTGATAAAATATTCGAATATGCTTTATAGAATAACAATCGCATAAAAATATAATTACAAGAAATTACTTAATTTTGTATTAACTTTTTCGTTATAAGCTTTCTTTTTTCATTGTGTTATTGTGTTTTGTACTGCAAGTTTCCTTTAAACATTAACTTCTATTCGATATAAGCACAGCTTTATCTTTTAAATATTTCCTTAGACATTAAGCAAAAAAAATATAATGGACATTTTTTGTTCTGTGATATAATTGTAAAATGACATAAAGTAAACTTGTGCGTGTAATAAATACTATTTGAACAGAGATAAAATTAAAAATTAAAAATTTTTAAAATATAGTTTCAGTCATTGTATAAACGGAAAATATTCTTTTTTCTATCTAAACATTAAAAAACAAATTTCCCCCTGCGAACGTAAATATGTACTCATTTCACAGAGTTAAATTTCATGGAATGTATAAGAGTGGAATTTCTCCTGATTATCCTTAACAATATTGTCACACATATAGCAGTCGCGCAGCATTTCACTATTAAACATTAATAACAATAATAACTTATTTCATTTCATCTAAAATATTACTCCAAATTCAGGAGAATAAATGCTTTTGATAAAGTCACATCAAACATGATACATATGAGGCATTCCATGTCAAGTGATCCGGGTGGAGAAAAATTTTTCTCCAATCGTAGCAAAACTTGGGGCTTTTGTAGTACTAATAGATAGTAATTTTTCGTGAAAATATTTTTTTACCTAGTCCAATATTTTCCGAGGGGGAGGGGGTTAAATTTTTGGGTTTTTCAGTACAATGCTTATTTCGATAATTTTTTACTCTTAAACTATTAAACATAAAAATTTGGCAAGGTACATTTTGGAAAGGTTTTTTCATGCTCTTTCGATTGAAAATAAGCATTTAAAAAAAAAAAATTTTTTTGACCCAAAAAAATCAAAATTAAAAATAAATTTTAATTTTTTGGAAAAAAGGTCCCATTTTTTTTTTTTTTTTTTTTTTTTAAACGAAAGCTGAGGTTTTTTCCTAAAAGGACATATAAATGAAAAAGTGGGACAAGAATGTTTAAACATTGAAAAAATGAAGTTTCTCGTAAACAGAGCTAAAAACCGGGTTTAGAGAGTAGAAACCTCTGTTTTTCAATGTTTAAACATTCTTGTCCCACTTTTTCATTTATATGTCCTTTTAGGAAAAAACCTCAGCTTTCGTTTAAAAAAAAAAAAAAAAAAAAAAATGGGACCTTTTTTCCAAAAAATTAAAATTTATTTTTAATTTTGATTTTTTTGGGTCAAAAATTTTTTTTTTTTTTAAATGCTTATTTTCAATCGAAAGAGCATGAAAAAACCTTTCCAAAATGTACCTTGCCAAATTTTTATGTTTAATAGTTTAAGAGTAAAAAATTATCGAAATAAGCATTACACCGTAAGACACCTGGATCACTTGACATGGAATGCCTCATATTTGCTAGTTATGAAGAATAATTTTTTCCCTAGAGATTATCCATAAAAATTGTCCTGTACTTAATAAAAAATGGCAAATTTTGAAAAAAATTCCATTTTTAAGTCGATTTTATGCTTTGTGGCAGAAAACCGAAATTTGTTCTAAGTTGCTCCAAGAAAACAAATGTTAAAATTGTCTGTGGTGCTAGACGCACAAACGCAGGTACGTAACCCTGAAAACAATTTCAAAATTGTACGTGATATAATTAAAAGCAAATATTTATGACTTATTTTAAAAATATCTCACCTTGAAGAAACCTAGTGGACCTAATTTGGCAGTGTAGAGAATCAGTTGTCCCATACTCTATAAAAGTACGAAATTATTTTTCTATTTTCTTAATATTTCAATTCGAAAATGTATTTTATTACCTTAAATTCTCCAGGTTTAGCATTCATTGCACGTGTTTTAAGTACATCTAAAGGTTGTGTTAAAGTTGTTGCAATAGCTCCCTATTTTCAAGAAAAGGAATAAAATTTATTTTTAAAAATAAACATTATTAGGAGCATTTGTTACAAAAAAAAAGTGAATATAAAGATCGCTTACTGCGAACAAACTGGAGAGAAAATGCGTTGTTGGATTATCTTCAAACATCTGACTTTGTAAGAGAATTATTTTAATTTGATCATAAAAACTTAATTGTCCGATAGTCATAAGTACCGCTCGTCCCGTGGCAGTTGAACAGCCATTAAAAAGTCTTAAGAAACCTTCTTCCCTCCAAACACGAACCAAACCATCAAGAGCGTGCTTATAACTGTAGATTACAAAAATATTAGACTAAAGAAAAAATAATTTACATAGAAAAAAAATCACTGAATTTTGCACTTACTTTCTTCTTAGTTCAGGTGCAATTTTGACATCGTTTTGCATTCGTACATTAATTAAATCTCCGGGCGTTCCAACGACACCGCCAGCGGCACCGGATACTCCAGCCAGTACTAACTTTTGATAAAATGGCATATTTTGCCCAGGAGATTCAAAATTTTGTTTTCCAACCTGTTCAGGAAAATTAAACAAATGAACAATTATGACAATTCATTAAAAAAAAACAAACGTGAACAACAACTAATAAGGGTTTCTTCTATTTTTTAATACCTCATAGAATGCAAATCGAGTTGTTGAGTATGTTAATTGCCGAAGAAGAGAAGCTGAAAGTCCATTATATAATGCAAGAACACCTTGTTTCTTCACCACCCGTACAACGAGTTTTGACATTGATAGTTTCCCTTCTTGTTGTGTTTGCAAAAGAACCTAAATAAAACATTTTATATATAATATGAAAGAAATTATAAATTCTACAGTAATTTTCTTTTTTACTTTTTAATAATAAATTTCGAGATTTTAAATATGTAGTTTGTATCAATTGAAATAATTCGATAAAAAAGGAAAGATAAGGATTAAGAATAAAATGAAGCCAATAAATAGTTGCATAATCCGCTTTAGTTGAAATAGAAGAGAAGCAGATAAAGTACGTTGTTTATTACACATTTTAAATGGTCACTAAATTTATAGTGCAAATTGTCATTCTAAAATGTTAACAAAAAAAATTAGCAGAAAGTAAAATAATTTTGTCGCACCGATTAACTTTTACACCGCTTGCGAAAAATCCTTGAGACTTTACGCAAATGTTTATTTATTCTGAATAATTTAAGTGTGCAAGGTTCAATCAAATTATTATTCTTAAAACTTCCAATATACGAATCTTCAAAGACAAAAATAAAAATGTACCGAACAATAAAGATTTGACGTTTTTGATAAATTGCCGCATTTAGAAATCTAAAAAACTAATTCAAAATTTTATATTTACAATAATTACGAGAAAAACCCTTTACGCAATTCTTACATATTGAACTTAAATATAGACGTTCTATTTTTAAGACTATTGATTTGTGAAAATTAGAGAACTTTTATTGGAATAGTAAATGAGATTCAAAATAGAAACTGTTATGTATTAAGAAAAGTGTTTCTAAAAGTAGGAAAATAATCACTATTGCACTTGATTTAGAGTAGAGGTTAATGTTTCTAGTAGATTAATTTGTTTTACTCTTCGTTTAATCTTCTTACTTATAAAAAAAGATTATTAACTTCAATGTTAAGCTGTAAATAAGGGATAATAATTATACAAACCTTCAGCAAGTCAAGAGGATGAGTGACACATGCAGCACCAGCCGATGCTAAACCCCCAAAGTACCATCGAGAAAGTTTCTTATTCTTATCAGTCATCTTCGATTTTTTGTTTGGGAATTTTTAAAGCAGAAAACGAATCTAAAAAAGAAAAACCTAATTAATTTCATTTAGAAAAATAAATTCATCTGCGACCAATAATTTGGCTAATTAATTATTATTAATTCATAAATTATAGCAAAAATACCTGTGTAGATTTTTTTGAAGCCCAATAATTGATATGATTTGTTTATTCTGAGTTATCTGTTTGAAGATTCCATTGCTGTTACCTTAAACTGGAATATAACAAAATTATTGTAATTATTATAATTATATTTTCATATCTATAATAAAAATTAAAGAAGTAAAATGAAAGAGCTAAATTTGCGTCAAATAAATATAATTTTCATATCTAACTTAATTGATTAAAGACGAGAAAAAGCTATAAAAATATTTTCAGAATTTACAATATATATATGAAAAGATAAATGAAAGATATGTCAGGAATTGCGAAATAAATTTCTAAACTTGATTCAATTTACGAAGGAAATCATGCCAACATTTTATTACATGAATATAAACTATTTCCTGAACATATGTTACTCTGTTATTTTTTAATAAATAATACTTTTCATCTAACATGGCATATTAAAAATTAATAAAAGAATCCGATTTTTAAAAATATTTTTTATACTTGAGTAATAATCAAAAAAGAGAAGAAAAAAAATGAAAATGTAATATCAAGTTAATTTTCCTGTTATATAAAAAAACTATTATTTTTAAAAAATAATGCTTTAATTCATTTTTCAACTTATTTCAAGAATAATTTAATTTAACTTAAATTTCCAAATATTAAAATTGAAGAATAGAAGAATTTAATTAATGCTTAAATCAGAACTTTCGGAGTATATTTGTAAAAAAAAATTAATAGAGAAAAGATTAGTGAAGGAAGTAAAAATTTTAATGATTAAATAAACTCACATTTCAGTGACGCTGGTCTGTCTCTGCGATTCGACTCCATCTCAAACACTGACAGTGGTTGATAAGTATTGCTAACGGAAAATTCTTTTATTGGGATTTCGAGGAGCATCCATAATAGCGCACCCTTGAGTGTCAGCTGACTTTACACGTGTTATTTTTCTCTTTAAAAATGTTAAAAATCGGCTATTTAATTCTTCATCCATTGCTCAGTTTAAAACAGAAGTAATCATTTTGTCTTGAAAATATTGTATAAATTCTTTCTCTTTTCGAGTAGAATCGATTGTATGATATTCCTTTGTAATAATACCCTATATACATAAAAATGAGAAAAATCATAATTTTCTATGATAAATATAGGTTATGTTTGATCTAATAAATTTCTTGACTTATACTTATTAGATACGTAGGGTATTATTTTTCATTTATAATGTATTTAACTGAAATGTGATAAAAATTAAAATTTATAATTTAAATATACAATATTCTAAAAAGTAACAATCAATAACAAAACAAGTCTTTGACATCTTTCATAAAACGTCAAAAGCACATTTTTAAGATGGAGCCACTTGCCAGTGTATCTTTTACCTGTATTGATTGATATATACATATATATATATTACTGAACCGATATAGAATTTGGTAGCAAAATTTACTTTTAATTTTTATGTGCTGTAATAAAATTAACAGCATTGTTCTAAAAAGAAAGTATTGGAAAGCATAAATTATACAATAAGTTGTCAAAAATAGCTTTTTATCGGTAAGTATAAAAATGATAAAATTTATTTATACATATTTACTATTGATTATTTTAATATTTAATACCTTTAATACTTATTTATACCATGATTTTTACTTTAAAACATATTATTTCTTGATTGTGAATCTTGTAAATAGCTTAAATTTCTTGCACACATATATTATACTGTGTCGCGCATATAAAAAACATTTTTTTGAGGTTAGAATTCTTTGTTTTCATCGTTTTCATTATTAATAATAATTTCTCTGAATTTAATTTATAAACTCAGTTTTTTAAAATAAATTAATAAATTAAAATTGTATTAAAAAACGGAGTTTTGAGTGAATTAAGCATTTTTCTATTATTATTATTATTATTATTATTATTATCATTGTTATATTATAAATATATTTATTCTTTTACGATGTTTTTAGATTTCCACGATGACGGACGCTGTTTGCAGTGCACTTGGAATTGACAGAGTCGATTTGCGAGGAAAATTGACTTTAATTGAAGAACAACATGGAAGCGATGCTAACTTTCTTGTAAACACTTTCATTTCATCTTCTTTACAAAAAAGCCAAGGAATATGTCTCGTATTGTTTCATAATAACTTCGGTCACTATCATAATATAGGTATGAAATTGGGTTACAATTTAAATGTTTTACGAGAAAGAGGTCAAGTTTCAGTTTTAGAACCCATGAAGCTAATAAGAAAAAATATTCACGATCTTGGCCATGACTCTGTGGATGCTGCAAATGCTGAATTCGATGAAACTAATTCGGAGGATGATATTAGTGGTCTCAGTATTATGGAACGTGGACCAACGATTGTACGTAAATTGATTGATCCATTGAAGAAGCAAATTTACGAATTACTCAAAAATCAAGATTCTGTTATGGTGATTATTGATGATTTGAGTCATCTTTTTGATCTTCAAATGAATATCAGAGACGTGTGGTTTTTTGTGAGATACATAAGGAGTTTCGTTGAATTCGAACAATCGCTTTCAATGTGCATTTTAACACACACCTATAAAGCTGATCCTGATTCTTGTCAACCGGATCTTATTGCAGTTGGTTTAAAACATATAGCACAATTGATTATTGTTGTCGAACCTTTGAGTACCGGTCTTGCGAAAGATGTGTCTGGAAAAATGAATGTTCGATGGAAAATGGATTCTATTAGAACAAAATATAATTGGCCTGAGAAGCTTTCGTATCTTTTCAAATTGTTGGATCGTCAAGTTAAAGTTTTCCCTCCCGGTAGTTCAACTCTTCTTTTCTAAAAATTACGGTTAATTATGAAAATAATTTCCTGTTTTGATTAATGAAAGAACGAGTGACTATTAAACAGGTATTTTAAAAAAATTAAATCGTATGCTGGATCAGCGTATAAGAAATTAAAAGAAATGCTTTTATAAGAACTTTTGAGATAATTCGAGTTTTAAAGACTGCGATATTTTTGTATATAATTATTTTTATAATAAATACTAATGTTAATACACTTTTAATATTAATGTTTAATAAATACTTATACAATAATAAATTTTTAAAGCATTATTAAGAAAGAATTATCAGTTATTTTTCTTTTTCGTCAAAGAGAAAAAGAACCAAAAAATCCAGGCATTGATAATTTTGTTTCAGACAAAAAATACAGTTTAAATGGAATAAATTTGTACCACAATTTGCTTAATTAACTGAAATAATTTATTTATAACAAAAAGAAGTCTATGTACAAAACGTGTGCTTGATCTTATTTTAAAGAATATTAAAGTATTCGTAAAACCGAAATTGATAAATATTTTCAGAAGCCTTAATTAAATAAAAACTGAAAGAAAATTTTAGGATCATCACACAGTGCAACTAGTTAAAGAACAGCTCAGTCATTTTTATCTTGTTTGCAATTTTTTTTCATGCCTTAGATTGGTATTTTACGACTGTTATGTCTTCTTATTGTGCCCTTGACATATTTCGGCGAGACCAGGTTTTCATCGCTAGCTATGCGTCGAAGTCTTTTATCTCTAGGTCAAAGATATTAAACATTTTATAATTATTGTTGTAGCATTGTCCTCTATTATTAAAAGAAAGTAAACTTTTTTTTCAAATATTCCGAGTTGTAAATCCACAGTAGTGTATATTTACATTCTGTATTTTTAAAATTGAAAGCAACTTACTTACTGGCTTTTTTTATTCGAAGGAGGAATTGGTGGAAATAATTCTGAAGGACTCAAAATTGGGTGGACAATCGGTCCCATTATTTTCTCTATTTCCGGTGGTTCTTGAATTGGTGGAAGTGGCGATTGTTCCCAGTCTGATTCTGCGGAACTAATTTAATATTATATATTATATAATAATTGATAGAAACGAAAAATTAGAATTAATCATGCTTTACTGTTATTCCAGCAAAAGAATATAATTAGATCTCTATAATAAAATATTAATATTCAAGGAGTAAATAAAAATCAAAATATTATCAAGACTTATAATTACGATTTTTACTTGTTAAATTAAAAAACAGTGAATACTTTACCTGCTGGTCGCCCTTAAATCGGAATTAAAATTGTCGAAACTAAATCTATTCGAAATTGGAGGTAGTTTGCCAACATATTCTAAAGTGGCGGATAAATCTGACATATTGTCCGTATAAGTTGCGGAATGTATTTCTTGCTGATACATGGCGTATAAATTTTGAAGATCAGGAGGAAGGGACAATTGACCGTCTGGAATTAATTTATTTTCATTCGATTATTATTTTCTGTGTTTAAAAATTGAAATATTTAATTGAGTTTTTACCTTCCATTATTCGTCTCTGACGTGTAATAATTTCGTCCGAAATTTGCCGCTGTCTATCGTATCGAAGCAGCATTAACTCTCGTCTCCTTAGTTCGTGTTGCTTGACTAATCTTTCACTCTGCAGCATCATTTTATCAGCCTCAAGCTCATGGACCCTCAACATTAGAGCCAACAACTCTCTTTCTTCATCGGAATTAATCCGCGATGGTAATTCCTGAAAATTAGTAGAAATTTTTAAATAAATAGACAGTTTATTAATTTCTTTGAGTCTTACATCCTCTAAAGTTGCTCCGCGTTTTCTGCAAGATTCGAGCTCTCGTTCAGTGGCCATTCGCATTTCGGAATATCTTTCTCTTTCTCTGCTGATTTCGGATAATTCCGCCCAAGCTTGTTCCACAGCCATGTCATCCTCCTTACCATCCTCGATGAAATCTGAATATATTTTTAATCAGAAATTGAATTTGAATCAAAAAAATGTCTAAATTTTGTCGAGAAAAAATAATTATTTAAATCCAATTTTTCAGAATAACAATATCGAGACATTGGGAAATGACAGCAGTTAAATTCATCATCAGGGTTACAACAAAAATTTAATTTTCTTTTTCCCTGACTTTTCCCTGATTTCCAGACAAAATAAAAGAATATTTTGATTCACTCTCAAAATATAATTGTACAATTATTCGAAAACATGAATAGTTTTATTTAAAATAATTAATTTTTAACCGCATTATTATTTTTCTATAGGAATTAAAATTCTTCAAAAGATTCAAATTCAAACCTTTTTGAAATTCAACAACTTTTGAGAATATTTATTATAAAACATAAAGAAATCGATAACTCCAAGTCTTCGACTCGGAGTGATCGATATCTTCATGTTTTATAGGTGACCAAATGATCATTCTTTTATAAAATCATTGTTTCTCTAACTTCTTCAAAATTATTTTCATCAGTTCAATTCAATTATTAATTTTTTCAAAAAGTTCATCTTTGAGAATTTTTAAATTTATTTCTTTACAATTCACTTTTACGTGAAATTAATTTTTTAATTAATTTAATTGAAACCTTTTCAAAATTCAATTATTTCTAAAAATTCACGCTATGCTTTAAATATTGAATTATCTAAAATTTTAACTGAAATTCATTTTTAAATCATTTCTTTTAGAAAATTCTACGAAAATTAAATTATTTAAATACAAATAAAATGCAAATAAATAATTTATTGAATAATTGAATGTTTTTTAAAATTGAATTCACACAGAGAAATTAAATTTTTTCCAGTACTTTTAATAAAAATCCCTGACTTTTCTGACCAATTCTACTTTCCCTGATTTTTCCCTGAGCATATATATTCGGTCGATTATGATTACAATCGGTGCGGTATTTTTTTATCGACAATATACGATATTTACAATCGATAATATTACAATAAAGAATTTATAAGAATATAAATTCTAATAATATTTGCAATTTAATTTTATTCAATATGAGATCGATTAATCAAGCTCTAAACTTGCACGAGGCTGAAATGTGGGTTAATAGCTTTCGAGCATACCCTACATTTCCATAATTATAGAAAATTTGAGTTTGAAATTAACTACTCGATGAAATATGGTGTCCATAGCATAGAAAAGTTGAAAGAAATGTGAGAATAAATATAAAGTTTTTTGACAATGAAAACTACAATTAAAAATAGTTTTGAGAATTTGAATGAAAGTAATATTGTCGCTTGTGTATACTATGTAAATCTAGTCTAAAGACGTTGAGCACGCGATTTCTGTCACGCTCTATCACTACTTGCCTGCGTCATCGACCTCTTCTATTTGTGAGACAGTTCCAGGGCGAGAGGATGTTGATTCCCGGTTGGCTTTATACAGTTTATTGTTCCTCGATTCCCAGTGAGATATGACCTGATGTTGTTGTTCAGCAGCAATATTTAAACTCAATAAATGACTGTCCATTTCCATCAACTTTCGTCTGTTTCAAACAGAAACAACAGAAAAAAGGAAAATCTTTTTAGACACTTGTGGATTTCTACTCTAGTAATTAATCTTATAGACATTAGTTCGTAGCCTCTAAAGTTTAAAAATAGGTTTCAATTATAGAAAAATTAGTATATCAATGAAAATAGACTTAAAGTTTGTTTATTTATTGAAACCTTGAATATTGTTCGAGTCAGGGTCTGAATTGATAAATTTCCAATAATGCTTCTTTTAAGAATTATAGGTATAAATACAAAAATAAAGAAATTCTAATTCTAATTCTAATTACCTCAGTCTCATTTGCTCCTTAAAAACGGATACTATTTTCTCTCGAAGTGTTTTGAAATCCGTTCCCCTCTGATTGTTTGTCTTTAATTCATCGAATCTTGGCCTATCGTCTGTCATCTTGGTTCTCAGTCTTGAAATTTCGTTTTTAAGATCGCTAATGATGTCTCGATATTGGGAAACGTGGTAGGAAACGTCAAGCACATTTCTTTCGACTTTATTCGAAATTCGATTGGCGCGGTCTGCGTAGATAAGAGTGTTTCGACTTTCGTCTCGATGGATTGTTGCCGGTGAGACGTGAGCAATCATTACAGTTCGACAGTTTCCACTTAGAGCATCTTTGAGTAGTCTTGTAAGTTTCGAGTCCCGGTAATTGACATATCGAGCTCCGCCGGATAATGCGTTTATACAATTTCCCAAGGCCAGGAGCGATCTGTTGATGTGAGCTCCTTCCTGAAGTCTCTTGCCCTGATTCTGAGGAAAAGTTTCATAATCTTATTATTTCATAGAAAATTAAAATTGCAAACAGAACCTAAAATTGTATCTTTCTTCAATTCTTTTTCCTACCTTTGTTTGTTTGGCCCGCTCGGATCCGGCCAAATCGATCATAAAAAGTCTCCCCTGGGTTATTCGGACCCTGTGTCGACTATCCCTGTCAACTGGTTTTGCGGACTGTTTTACGATGACACTCAAAAGAGCATGACTCCTAGAAGAAGTTTCATTTGCCGCTGTTGGTTCCACCGTTCGCGCTCTGTTCCCTTTGTGTAAAAGTTGCATCACCTGTAAAACCCAGTTTCTTCATTGATTATCATTATCTTTCTTCAACGTTACTTTTTTAGTTTTGAAATTTAAATATGGTTATTCACCTCGTCTGTGGAAGTTGTGGATACTTCCGTGAGACCTGCTACTTGACTGTAGCGACCTCGAGACTCATCACGCAATTCCAAGTAACCCGAGGAAGGATTCAACAGGTCTCGAATATTCTCATTATAAATTTCCATATAGGACATTGTTACCTTGGATAAGTATAAATCTCATTAGACAATAAATACTATTCATTAAGTCAAGTTTCTTCAATAAATAGATCTAAATATTTACCGAATGTTCAACATTTTCAGGAAGCCGACGAGTTGCAAGGAAGATATCGTTGAGGGCTCGAACCATGATTCCACGATTCGACGGACTGCCAACCATTGTGTGAGTTTTTCCTGCTCCAGTCGCTCCATAGGCAAACACTGTCGCATTATACCCGAGCAGTACATTTTGAACTAGAGATCTTGTTGTTCCTTCATAAACCGCTTCCTTTGAATTTTTCATCAAATGTTTAGTATAAAAATTCTATCGGTAAGTATTTGTTTTTCTGAGTTTATTTTAATATAGGAAAAAATCACTACCTCAAAGTCAATGCAATACTGTTACTTTATTCAAAAAGCGAATCGTTGCTGATGTTGAGAAGGTTTTTCTAAGGATGCAACAATTTTGATATTCTAACAATATGAAGTCAAAAGTGACTATAATTCACTTTTAGAAAATAAATTCAATTTTGACAAAATATGGGACTAATTAAAAAATTAAAGTCCCATTTTGTAGGCGACAATTGATTGAAAATATTTTGTTTATCAAATATTGAGAAAATTTATAATTTAGTTTACAGAAACTAATATTCATCATCCTTGTGCAATAATAGCGATATTCAAACATTTGAAGAAGGGCTCACGTGTAAAAAATCGATCAAGATTCCCTATAGCTTCACCTTGGTTGCCGTATATATGTGTTGAAATAAACTTCACTCGGAAAAATAAACAAACAGCAATTGATCTAATTTAATATAATGCAGTACAATATTATACTGACTGCGGAAAATTAGTTTTTGTACTACATTCAATTTAAGGAACAAAAGTGAATTTTTCTGTTTATCGTTCTTTTTATCAATATCGCTGTGTAGAGATAATAAGAAATGACAATATTGTTATTGTAATAATAGAATCGATATTTTATTATTAATATACCTGAGTGGAATCTTCTCCGAAAACCACGTCGAATAAATATTGTCGAGGAAAAGATCGCTTTTGTTTCTCGACATCCACATCTTCTATCATCACCATCTAAAAATTGGTTTTATCACAGATTAAATAGAATTAAAGGTAATTAGTTCTAATTTACTATTCTGTTTAAATATTTCGTTCAATTGAAACTGAACTTTAATTAATTTGATTTTAGTTTACTGTTATTGATTGTTATTGATTAAAATCTTTGTTATTTAACTGATTTTACTTCGTCAGAAGAGTCATTAGTCAAAGAGAGCGCAATTAAGTGTCTTATTCAGTAACACAAGCGTTGTTTGGTCAGACCGAACGACTCGGTTTTTTCTACTTGGAAATTTAACGTTTAAAATGCGCTAAAAGCGAAACCATCATTAAGATATTTTTTGTCACGATTAAAGTATTTCTATAAAATCCACAAAAAATTTCTTTATAATAAATTGTCCAATGTACCTTTTCATTAATGGCGTGAAGAGATCTTCCCGATTCAGCTCGACTGAGAGGTTTAATACGAACTGCAACCTATTAAAAGCATTTTGTAGTAATATTTCTGCATGTACTATTATTTATTATTTATTATTCTTTATTGTTATTTTCTATTTTTTATTTTTCAATATTATAATAATTATTATCTCAATATTCTTTTGATTCGGAATTTTAAGAAAATATTTTTTTTAAAATGAAAAACAATTTTGAAAATAGGTACGTTTTTTTTTAAAATATTTTCTCTTAAAAGTAAGAGAATAACAAGTTTGAAATAAGTGTAAGTGTTACTGACTCATGTTTCATTTTAACTATTGTGCATCATTCACCAAGCTTTTATGACTTTAACATTCTATCAGTGTCATCAATCGATTTTCACCAACGTCCTCGACTTTTACATATTTTTATTGCACCTTGTCTCCTTTTCATTACCGTTTTTCCAAAACAATTACCTAATATTATTATGATTGTCTCTAGTAAGATAAATTCATTTTTTACGTTTACCTTTTACTGCTATAAACAACAAATAATATTTGCTTTTTTCAAAAACTGTTCTTAGTCATTATTGTTTAATAAAAAGGCCTAAATACCGATTTTAGTCTCGACTAATATAGTTTCAAATCTTTACAATTCGTGCAAATAATAATAATTTAATCACAGTTTAATATTCTTATTTTTGACCATTTTCTATAAATTTCAAACATTTGTACCATTTTTTATGTTTACTAACAAATTAAAAACACAAACTTAAGGGTATCAAAAAGCGTTGCAGCTTAATTAGTAAATTAACACCAAAAATTATTAAAAGAATCAATTTTTGGTTTAATTTTTTCCATGAATAAAAATGTATCTAAATCAAAACCAAATTATTTTTAAAATCTTTTTAAAAAACAATCCTTCGATGGATTAATTTATTAATCTCTAATGGATAGCGTCACAGATTATTTTAATCCACTTTTGGTGTTAAAATAACACCCCACAATTTTTTGTTAAGAATCTACAATAGTTTGAAACAAATTTTTTTAACGCGCAGTTTTTAGGTAATAATTAAGAAATATTTAATTTTATTATATTAAAACAGAAATTTAATTCTTGATGGTAAACAATGATAAAATTAAAATTGATGAAAAAATAATGAATAATGATGAAATGAAATTAATTGATTAATAAATTAACATTATTTACTTGTTTAATATTCACTTATTACCATTAATTTTTCTTCAATAGGCCGCATCGATTGATCCTTAAAATCACGACCATTACTGCTAGTGCTAGTGCTACTGCTACTGCCACTACTACTACTGCACTGCGTCATCTTCTTGCAAATTTGATGAAAATCTTCAAAAATTAATTTTTATCGCTTCAATTTCAATCCCGGATTTTGTTCATTGAACCTTTTTACAATCATGTCATTGATTTTCAGTTGCTCTTGACATTGAAAATTATTAACATGATATTGAATTTATTTCACTATCAGTAGGTATATAATACGCTTTATCTATTATAATCATCATCATCTCTCTATAATTCACACTATACATTTTCTTTACTGTTCTTAACATTTTCAAATAACACAACTGCACTGTAATTTATTACTTTAATCGCTACGAAAAGTCTTCTTCGATAAAAACGTTCCTTTATTATAATTTATAAATGCATTTTTAAAAGAAAAGAAATTGCAAATTTTCACGCACACATTTCAAAAAACGCTTCTTTTATTTCACAGAGAATAAAATTCAAAATAAATTTCAATGTAAAATTTGGAATATAAAATACTTTAACTAAGGTACTCTAAAAGTCTAAAAAATCAAATTTTCGTACTGGACAAAATGTAATATTTTTACAGGAAAACGAATAACTATAGGTATATAAATATTTTAAGTTTCGATTAAGTCAGGTGAAAGCGGGAGATTAATTATAAATTATATTCCTAATAATTTAATATACTATTTACATGATAAATTAGCAATTATATATTTAATTATTTATTTTGAAATTAATTTTTAGGAAGAAAATTGAAGTTCACAAGTGAAAAGAAGAAACACGACTGACACAGCGGCGGAACCACTGACATAAGGGGAGAAAATTTCCCTTCGCAGGTTCACGATGGAATACCTGCGTAGTTCGTACACCTGCGCAACACTCTCTTTTTCGATCTTGGATTTATGGCAAAATTTAATTCACCTGTTTGCACAAGTCATTACTGCGGTTCCTGAAATTGTAGTCTGCAAAAATTTTTCCATTTTTTAATAGTCTTTCAACACGCAAAAAAAAATTCTATTTGTATATTGAAAGCAAGAAACACGTGTGTGAGTACAAAAATTATTTTTCTGCAAAATTCATTTTCTCTTTTCCTCATTTCGCATAAATTTTAAAACACTAAACTTATTTAAAATTTTTTCCTCAAATGTTAAATTTTTATTTTAACATTCTTTTTTAAAAATAATTTCTAATTTCTCTTTTTGAAAAATAATTTTAAAAATTATAAATAAGATTCATTTTATCGGTTTATCGTTTAAATAATTTGTTTGAATTCTTAGCTGACTCAATAACGAAGATCGTATCGTATATACAATCCGATTGCTCGTAAAAAAGGATTTTTTTTACGATCACTCAGAAGCTCGTGTACTGTAATTTTTGTTATATTTGCAATATTATGCTGCAGTGTGAAAGAAACATATTATTTTTATCTAGAGCCAATTACGAATTTAAATGAATTCTTGAAAGTGAAAAATAAAAATTGATTTTTTGATTTCGCATCTTGTGAATTTAAATAAGAGAAATTAGCATTATATTATTAAACAAGGTAATATTTTTTAGTAATAAATAGTCGTACATTGTACCTATATTTATGTGCACATTAATCATTGCAGATTAATTTTTAAATAGCTCCTTCAAAAATGATAGAAAGCATTTTGAAAATTATTATTATTTTCTATAATCACTTGCTCACTTAAATATAAATGAACATTATCAAATATTAATGAATGTTATAGAAAACGATCATTAATCGTCTTTCTGATTCAAGAATTTTTTCCCATCAGCATAAAAATTTGTTCAGAAAAGTTAGACCATAATTTTGTATTTTAAAAGAAAAAGGTGAATTAAATTATAAACTTTAGTTTTAGAGGAAGCGTAAGGAATATAATTTCCAAATTTAAACAAAAATTCCATTTAAATAAAAATTATAATTTTCCGTTATTAAGAAATAGTTTTTAATTTTCGTGTTTAAAATGTTGAAAATTAAATTCGTCAAAACTCCACTAAATAGAATTTAAAATTTAATGTCCCCTGCTTTCATATAAAATACGAAACTTTTTCAATTCTTTGTCAGAAATTAAAAAAGTATTAATATACTTCGTATGATTATTTTTCCGAACGAAATTGTTCCTATAATTAAACTATAAAGTACATAAAAATAACTTTTGCTATTAAGAGAAATTAAACAAAAGTTTTTTCTTTTAAAGCATCTATTAATAATTATTATTTATTTTTCTTCTGTAAATTATTCGGAGAAAGAAAAAATAGTCGAAAACTGAGTTATGAAATAGTTTCCTTTTAAGTATTCTTTTCTTGAATACTAAAAAGAAAGTTTGAAAGTATCACTTCCTGACTTTTACAATCAGAAAGATTAAAAGCTCCGTTAAACTTTAAGCGATGGAAAATTTACAAAATTTCCAATGACCCTAATGTCTATTTTTAAATTTTAAGCTCAGTCACTTAATTAAAACAAAGATTGTAGATATTTATCAAGATTTTTTCTAATGTTAAAAGTAAGAAAGCTGCTCGTTGAGTAGAGAATTTTATGGGGTCTGGTTGCGTGAGACACGGAACATTCGTTCAACCCTAATATTCGAGGTCGACCTTCAATACACACAGTTCCTTTGGAATTTTCGACTTAATCATGGGCTTTTTTTCTAAGGTCACTCAGATTATTACAATTTGATATATTCCTAACACGCAGAAAATTCAAATCAAATTTCGTAGGCATTGCTTGCCTTTAAATAAAATTAACTGTTGTGTTCACCGTTTTTTGTTTGACATACATTTTTTTTAAATTAGCATATTTTTATTTTAATTATCATATAATATTGCTTTTAGATATGTATAGATAGTTCTCTTTAGTTTGTCTTTTTCGAAGCTAATACTAATGACAAAGTGCGTTCAACGTCCTATTATTTTTTATTAGTTCGCTTTACTTGATTGTCCGATAAGACAAAAAAAAGAGCATACTAATATTAGTGAAGGGTCTATTTTTCTAATTTCTTTCTGATGAAATGAAATTCTCTAATCTTTTATTAATAAATAAATTTTTAAATTAAATTTTCTTTCGAATCAATAAACTATTTTAGGAATATATCCAATTGTTGTTTGCAGAATTTCAAATTTCCCTCATGATTTAGAGAAAGTGTACCTAATAATAAAAATTTCCTAAAAAAATATTTCAAAATTGATTGAAAATAATTCAAATTTCTCTTAATTCTTTTAATTCTCTTAATCCCAGGGGGCAATTCACCTGAAGCAACTAAATACTTTACAGGTCCTAAACTTATTGATGAAATAACGAGGTCACTTTATCGATCCTTACACGATAGTTTCTAATCAAGTTCAAGTGGTTTTGAGCACACTATATCTAATTTTAGTAAAAAGTCATTTAAATACAATTTTTCATCAAAAATAATACATATTGTTACTTTTCGTTATTTTCAAATATTTATTTCCTTTTCGACATGACTAAAAAAAGTAATGCAAATAAGTAAACGTGAATAAATATTTGTTTATGTATTTTTTTAGTGCACTTAGTATAGATACTTTAATAGTAGATCGTTTACAATAATTGCAGATCAATTTTATTAACATTACCACATTACCTAACGCAATTACTTATCTAATCGAAATGTTCTTTTTTAAATTTTCTAAAAATATTTTTTTAGTGCCAAACAGGAAATTTACTTCCTACTTTTATTGCAAACTATTAATTCGCAATTTCTTTTTAAATAGAAAAATGTATTAAAAGTTAAAAAATTTACACAAATATATTTATAAAAAAATTCTATCTAATCATGTTTTAAAAAAATTATTTATTTTTTTATAAATTAATTAATTCTACACAGGTGTGTACTCAAAAAATTCTATTTTCTCGATAAGAATAATTCGAATTACGAGTTTTTCTACACCTCTAATTAATGATAATTGAATAATTGAATTATATTCGCAATAAATGAAAACTTGAGTTCCCATCATCGAATTTAAATATACAACTTTAAATATATTGTTAAATTAAGAGAATTATTTTTCTAGTTTTGATCGTATGTGAATCATTGAAAAAGAAATATTTGAAATATTTGAAATATTTTACAATATTTGTTTGAAAATAAAATGATTAAATTTTTAGTTAATGAAACAATGTAATTGAAAATGAGAGAATTTTTTCTTTCTTTCTCAAGTGTGCTTAATGAGAAATCAAATCCAAATAAAAGACCAGTAAAGAATATTAAATACGAGAAAGGCAACAGGAAAAAGTATTCTGCTCCGTTTATCAATCCATTGTGCAATTTCTTGTGGTGTCATTGTTGTAAAATTATGAAGTCGAGCTAACGTTGGCCTTCTGCCCGCAGGTTTCGGTGGTGGTGGTGGTGGAGGAGATGCTGCAGTACTGTTAATTGTTACTATACTGCCCGCCGAACCGTCCGGTTGTTTTTCATCGTCTATTTTCACTGAAGGAACATTTATCGTGCTTGGGAAGCTCTGAAATTTATAGTAAATTAAAATTCAATTTAAATTAAAAATTAAAATAAACGTAATTGATTAAAATATTTTGATAAGTCAGAGAAAACTCACATGAACAGTTAGATAATTTGTACTTGTGTAATCATGTTCACCAAAGGCGTCATTATCTAATGACGACCAAGACCTGGATCTTTCCAAACCAGTAGTATTCTTTTGAAATTGTTTTCTCGCTAGTCTAGGCGTCAATGTTGATTTTAGGATGTACTTGCTGTTTACTTTTTTCAGAGGCACATTTTTCCTGAAAGAATACGTATCATCAACACGTTAATCGTGAATCATCAAAAACAATATTTTCTGAATTAACATTTTCCTTACTTACTTTCTTCTATAAATTGTGTTGACAAAAGCAAATTCCACCATTGCAGCAAACAAGAAGATTGTACAGCCAAGGAACCAAATTTCACTTGCTTTTATGTATGAAACTTTTGGCAAGGAATTCTCCACTTTTGACGCGAGAGTCATAAACGCCAAAATTGTATTTGTTCCTAGAAAAATAATTTTCATCATTTAATTTTTTAGTATATTATTCGATTAGAATGTGAACAAAAGTAAATAGACAAAAACAAATCCATATTAATATTAATTTATTCATCAATAGTCAATACATATTACTGAAAAAAGGAATTTTTCACAATTTTTTTACCTAAAACAATTCTTGGAGGACTTGCGTCCATGTGCAACCAGAAAGAAACCCAAGAAATGACGACAATTAAAATTGATGGTATGTAATAGTCCATCATAAAGAAACCCATTTCTCGAGCTAATTTGAATGTCACTCTAATTGTACTGAAATTTCCAGCTGAAAATTTTAAATAATAGAATTCTTTCGGAATTGAAAATCTTGTGTGGAAGTGTATTAATAAATTATTTACAATCGTATATTGATATTTTAAAAATAAAAAATCGAATTTACCAAAGTGTCCATAATGTTGTTCGGCTGGGGTGTAGGAAACTTTTGATGTATTTACCCACTTATCGACAAGTCTGTATTCTGTTAAATGTAATTCATCGGCAAGAATTATTGGATTTTCGTCCCAGACAATTATCATTTCTTGAACATTATTTGTCCCTGAAAAATTATTATTGTAAATACATTATTTATTTAGTATTTATCATTTAAATAAAGCAAGGTTGACACAAAAATCTAATTTCTATTTTCCCTGATTTCCAGACAGAATTTAAATTTTTTTCGATTCCTTCAAAAAAAAATTTAAATGAACTTCAATTGTAAAAAAAAGATTATTTTCAGAAGCAATAATTTAATTTAAAACTTTAAGAGTGTGGAAAACTTTCATTCATTATTTTCAAAAATTTCAGTAAAATTTGTTTAAGATTCAAACATTTTTAATTGAATTCTTGTAAATTTTCATTAATTTAAAATTTTATAATTATAACGAATGGTATCATTTATAAAAATTCAATAATATTTGGAAAATAGAACTGAAATATTTTAAGAATATAATTTTTTTAGAATTTGAAATAAACTTTGTGAAAAATTCAATTTTTGAGAAAAATTTAAATTTAAATCTTTTTAAAATTCAATAATATATTAAATATTAAATTAAAATTGTTCTGAAAATTCATTGTTGTTTATATTGGTAAAGAAATTCTTTAACTAATTCAATTAATTTTCAATTTTCAAATCAATTTCTCAAAATTTTAATTAATCTGATAATTCTTTAATAAGATTTTTTAAATTTGAGTATTTAAAAAAATTGAAATAATATTTCTCAGAAACCTTTTTTTTTCACAATTTCAGATAAAATTATTTAAAAAGCTTCTGAAATTGAAAGGGAATTGAAGATTGTCAAATATTTCAAAAATGTGCTTTGGACACAAAAAATGTATAATTTTTGTAGTAATTTTTGAAATTTGATATTTTTCCAGTACTTTTTATAAAATTCCCTGATTTCTCTGATTCCCCTAACATGTGACAACCTTGTAAAGTTATTTTAATTTTTAACATACAGCTTTCGAATACAAGTGGGCACTCTTGAACATCAAAAGGAAATTTTTCCAAACGAAGACCACAATTTAGAATTGCCTCCAATCTGTAAAACAAACGTATCCTTTTAATAAAAAAAAATAACACTTTACAAATAAATAAATAACATTTTTTAATTTTTAACATTAAATAAAATTTTGTTGAGTAAATTAATTTTCTTTTCTGAAATTCACCTTGTATTTAAAATAACCATTCCCGAAGGATCAATGGAGATTAGGAGATCTTTAACACCACTGCCCATAATTGCAGAACTTCTTTCATTTGCAACATAAACCGATGGTGTCCACATTAAGTCGTGTGCGGATTTTCCTCCAAAAATTTGACTCTGATAAGGCGCAATATTTTCAAAACTCAATCGTTTGTCCAGATAGCGAAATTGTAACATCATGTGAACATCGAACTCCTAGTAAAATTACAAAGCTAATATTTGAGACTTTTATGCATTTTCTTCTGCCGAGATTTTTAATTAAGAAAAAATGTCTCTACTTACCAAAGTCTTTGCCATATTAGACTTAATTGTATAAATATAAGCTCTGCAAGAAACTTTCACTGGATCATTAGGGGAAATTTCTCCCGGCGGCCTCTGTAATTTATCATATCGACAATCTTTTGTTAATTCTTGAAGTAAGTCCGTCTGTGTTATTGTTGGTGTTACATTTAACGCTTTACAAGTTTCTGTTCTGTGAAATAAAAAATTAATCATCTTTCAATGCCAATTTAAAAATTTATACCTCTATTAGAATCATTTTTAATCAAGATTTTTCTAATTAATATTTTTCATCTTTTTCAATTATTCTCCATTTATTCTCAGAAAACTAATTTTAGTAAAAGATGATAAATTTAATTGTCTTGAATAAAAATGTATATTAGTTTTATTCAGTTTATTTTATAATGCACTCCAGGAAAAGTGCTTATCGAAATAACGTGAATCACGAGTTTTATTATATGAAAAAGGCCATAGAAGAGTAAAGACATTTTTTTCATGATTCCTCATTTTTTCTTCGTCTTGTCGCGCTCGCTTGTAAAATATCAGGAAAAATTATTATGTCTGTATTTTAAAAACTAAATTAATATTCTTTTCTTGAAACAATTGTATATTATTTCTTGTGTAAGATACAAAGCGCAGATGCTAAACTTCATCACAAGACTCCAGCTATTATTTCAAATTTATTACTTCTCTTAATAACAAAAGTCAATCAACTGAATATTCTTCTTTAATTTAAATATCACTTGTTGCGAAGGAAGTTGTTTTTTTCTAAATTTTAATACCTATAAAATTATTTATAGGTACAATATTGAAAATTTAATCAAATTTAAAAACAAATTATTTCTCTTTAGCGATTGAGATAAGAATAAAACTGGGAGTATTAATAAATTTTTTCGCTAAAGGAATAGAAAACTTTGAGAAGAAATATAATTATTAATTGTTAAACATTTAAAATGTGATGCAATATATTTTTTATAATTAAAAGTTTGCAGGCCACACATCTTGCACGAGACCCTGAAAAGCTAACAGTATAAATTTCAAAGACTTTATCTCGTCCCGAAATTTATAGGATAAAATATTGTACTATTTATACAACTTATCAAGCCTAACTATATTAATGTCGTCAGTAATGCTTGCGACAAATAAATGCTTTTTTCAACTTCTTCTGTTTGCCCTATCTTAGCAGTTGAAATTTTCTTGTTACTAACTTTACAGTTCAAACGATTTGAATAAAAGAAATGCTTAATCAAAAGGATATTACGATTTCAGATAAAAAGTATTGCGGTGACGTTTAATTGAGAAAGCTAAATAACCGAGTAAATTCAAGGAGAACTTAATAATATTTCATTGAAAATAATTATTATTTTTAATAACTTTGATTAAAAAACAATGGAGTTTATTTTTTTTTAATTAAAAAAAATGTTTCATTACTACTATTCTCAATAAATAACCTTTATTACTTCGTCTACAGCTCACAAATAATTAATGTTTTTCATAGCTTTTTTTCTCACGTGATTGAAAATAAATTTTTATCAGTCAGAAAGATAAGATTCAACTTAACTCATTTGACTTTCTTCCTTATTTTTCATTGTGAAGTGAAATTGAAGAAATGCAACAAAAGTTCATTATTCATAAAATGGTTTGAAAAAGATTTTTCGTTATTAATTTTTAATTGTTTTTTTTTTCAATTTTCGACAAGATTGAAAAAACTAAAAATTATTTTTAAGGAACCAGTAGACAAGGATAATCAAAAGGTTTTTACAAGATTGATTGAAGGTTGACGTTGAGAGTTATGCTCTATTAATTTCCAAGTTTTTCTATACCAATGAAAGAAATATAAAGTTTAGGAAAAGATTTAAGAATTAGCGCCAAAATAATTATTTCAAATACTAATTAAATTTTTTCAAGCACTAATCATTCGGTAGCTGTCAACATTGCAACATTTATTAGCTTGTCTTATATCAAATGTTGATAGAATTTTCTGTCATTCCTAATACACTACACTATTTTTCAAAGTATGACATCATTTTTTATGGTTATAAAAATTAATACCCTGGGAAAAATGATTAATATCTTTTGTCATAAAATGTCTACTGCGCTTTAATTTTTAAAAATTAATTCTTGGTAAAATTTTTAGTAGCAAGGTATGTAATAAATAAACATTTCTAATTTTAAATACAAAAAAAGGATTTAAGTCTCAGAATTTCTTTTGAAAATTGAAATTCTAATTCTTAAAAAATGTTAAATGCACAATTTGGAAAATTTATGAAATATTTAAGATTGTTTGAAAAGGAAAGTAAAGTAATTTTACAGACATTAATTTTATTATTTAAAAATATTAAAAGAGAAAAGACTTACGAATTTACTTTAAGGGTGCCAGTGGAAAATTGAATGGACAGAATAAAGCTTGACAAAATAAAAACTCTTCCTCCCAGTGTCATTCTAAGCTTCCTTGGCAGTGAACTGATCTACCTACTAAGTGTAACTGATCCGGAAAATTCTTGTGAAGGTAATTTGCTTAGAGTTGGTCTGCAGTTGCTGTTCCCACCATTGGTACTTGTTTGCTCTTTGAAAGAGTCTTAAGAATTGGGTTGAGGTAGCAGAATCTATCTCACGAAAGATTTATAAATTATATTGTAACAAAAATTCACTCGATGCAAATTTATGAATCCTGTTTTTCTTTGTCACGCACAAAAGAAACAAGTTTGACTTTTTAATTATTCGGTACTCATAAGAATGCGCATTATTTGTGAATGATTAATGATAATTTTGTGAATCAGTCTCCGATGAGTTTTTGTTGACTTTTCACAGATTATTTGTGTTTGGATTCGCAAATAATTTGCGAAATAAACGTCAGTATTTTCACTATGAAATTATTTATGAAGACAGTAATTATTGTAGATTTTATCGAGTGATGTTATTAAAAAATATTTATTTTTAATATTTCTTTCTCTATACTAATCAATATTCATTGGCGTCATATGTGGTTTCATACGATGTACAGTATAATTAAGAAGATGAAGATCTTGTAATAAATGTGTAAGTCTTTTGAAATGTCGCTCCGAATACGGAATCAATCCCTCCAGAGATGAATTGAAACCTATTGCTTGTAAATATTCACCGCCAATTTCATTCATTAATGCGTTTATCACCAACTAGAAAAAAAGATTATTTTGACAATATTTACGATTGAGAGTTATAATTGGAGTTTCGAAAGTGTAACGCTAAATATTTGTTTAAAGAAGATTGGTAGAAATGTAAAGAAATATCGTTTGTTTGAATTAGAGATAGTCTTAAAAATAAAATTAAAAAATTACCTGAGCAGCTTGTGAATTTCGACTGTTGGTGTTCCAAATAACAGCACATTTGAGTAATGATTCCTGTCGAGATGGTTTTAATTCACGAATAGTATTTACTAAATTCTCCTCGTTCTTTTTAATAATACCTATAAAAACAATTAGTGTTGAGAAGTAATTATCATTACAAATAATCGTCATTAAAATAAAATTTCGCAATATTATCACTGAGATAATACTTGCTTTTACCACACTTTGCACTTCATTTATGACGTAAAACTATTCGGTGTAAAAATAAAAACAATTAAAGACTTTACAACATTATAAAATTTATTGTTGAACATTAATACCTGTCATTTTTTGTTAATTATAAATTAACAACTTTTGAGATAATTTAAATTTATTTAAAATTAGTATTTTTTATTTGCATACCTTCAATTATCTTTAAACTCTGGAATGGTTTTTCTAATTTTAGAGAAAGATTTAAAGCTTCTGTTAATTGATCAGCTTTGAGCAAATTTGCCAATTTTTGTTCTTCGAGAATTAACTGTTCCTTTTCGGCAATTAATTTTGCTTTATTTTCCTGAGTAATGTCACGCCAAATAATCAACTTTGAATCGCTTCCTCCACTCGCCACATGTGTTTCTATCTTATTCACTATTAAAGAATTAAGAAGAGAAAATTAAGTTAGACTTTAGGTAAAATAAAAAAATTTCTTATAACAATTTTTCATAAAATCTTACCCTTGAGAGCCCAAACTGCAGATTCGTGTTTTTCCAGAGTACTAACGCATTCAGAAGTTTTGACACTCCATAATTTTACTAAACCATCTCCAGACGATGACATAATCTGCATCCCTCGTGATAAAAATTCAGCCCTTATAACAGAGGCTTCGTGACCTTGAAACGTCTTTAATCGAACAAATTTAATAAATTTTGTACATAAAAGTATTCAAATTTCGATAAAAATGATTTAATTTTTACAATTTTACCTTTAAACAATTCAATTCAGTTAAAGACCAAATTTTCATTGTGCAATCTGCAGACGATGTCAGAAGCACTTGATCAATTGGCGAAAATCTAACACACCAAACACTTCTTCGATGTCCGCGAAATACTCCCAATAATTGTAAATTACTCGCATCCCAAAGCTAAAAATTAAATTCTAAATGAAATAAATTTTCTTTTGATGTAAATTATAATTTGTAACTTATAATTTAAAAAAGATGGATTATTTTGTAAAAAACAAGTACCTTAGCAGTCTTATCTAAAGCAGCAGTTGCAATGAACTTATCATTCGGAGAAACGGAAACACAATTAATTTCTGCATCATGTGCTTTCACCGAGAAAATTGCATTGAGAGTTACAGCATCTGCTAAGCATACAAAAATGATTTTTTTAGACTCTACGGATTTTTGTTTGAAATTATTACTTATTTTTGTACTCTTACCACCAGTAACTAATTTTTCAGGAACGTCCCACATTTTTAGACAAAAATCTTTACTGACAGATGCAAAAAACTTTGCTGATGCTTGAGAGAGTGCGATAGAAGCTACCGATTCTGTATGTCTCACTCCTACGCCAATGCAACTAGCCTGTAGAGATTCTCTGTCCAGTAGCCATAATCTAACACTGTTGTCCTAAAATAATTTTTTAAATATTACTTTCTTGAATTTTACTAATTTTACTAAGCCAAATATTTACTTTCTTATGAAAGAAAAAGTGTAGTAATAAAAATAGTCTATTTCCTCTTACTTTACTTGATGAGGCAAAAAGATGTCGATTGGTAGGAGTACTGGTTAAAGACATAACAAAATCCGTGTGACCACCCAACAATTGACAATTCATCGTTTCCAACTCGTATAATTTTATATCACAGCTATTTGACGCTACTGCTAAATGAGTATCTCCTTCGCCAACGTAAACGAGGTCCAAAATTTCTGCACTGTAACCCACTAACTGTAAACAGAATAGTGATAAAAATTAACATCACTTCATAGATTGCGATTTAAATTAATTAAGTAAATTTTTCTCGACAATTTTTTTCAAAGGTAAATTACTTGTTTTTTGCAGTGAAAGGTTTCCAGAGAATGAATTATAATATTGTGGTCAGCAGACACAATAGCCACGCTGTTACTTTTTGCATTATACAGCAAGTGTGTTATAGATAGACCACCTTCTTCTTTTGCAGGATGAACAAGAGAGTTTTCTTGTGTATAAACTTCACTGCCCGATTTCATTTTCCATATTTTGATGACTCCTAATAATCAAAATTAAGAAATTTTAAAATCATTTCAATAAAAAACATTTCTTTCTCAATGGAGAAAAAAGTAATATTTACCCTTTTCACCAGCACAAGCAGCATAGATTTCCGATTTTTTATTTTTCAAAGAATTCGGTAAAACAACATCGGATGGAATGATAAAAGCCCCTTCGATTCCTTCGTAAACAGGTAATACTTTTAGAGAAGTTCCTTTAGAAATATCCCATAATACTAAAACTTTGTCTCGACCAGAACTGGGAATTCATAAAAGAAATTATAAAATAGTTTCAGAAACATCTTTAAAAGATTATTAAAATTGCTTCTATTTTACCTGACCATATGTACTCCGTCTTGATGAAAAGAAATAGATGTAACTTTACTAAAATGACCATTTAATAACAATTTTTTCTGTCCTGTTTTTATGTTCCAACCGTGGATTTTTGTATCATCACCAGCAGCGAATAAAAGTTCCTTTTCCGAATCTGGATGAAATTCTAAAACACTACAAATATAAATTATTAATAGAAAAACTTATTAAAAAAGTATTATTTAGAAATTAATTTTTGGATCAAATATCTAACTTTTTAAAAAATTACCTAACTACTCCTTGAATACCCTTCAAACCATGAGTGCAGGATTGATGTTCTATATTCCAGAGTCTAACACTGCCGTCAGAACCTCCAGAGGCCATGATAATATCTCCATCGAAGAAGGATATTTGAGTTACTGGTCCTTGATGAATAGACTTCCACATTTTTCTTAATTTTGTCTCTATTTGCAATAAAAGTAATTACAATAATTAACCTCTAGCTCCTTCAGCAGTTTTATTAATAAATAATTTATATTTTAAAAAATTAATAACCTTCCCAACTCCATAATTTAAAAAGACTACTTTTATGTTGTGTAATCAAAGAAAGATTGTCCCTACTAAGGGCAAAACAGTTTATAGGATCCTCCTCTTCCTCCTTCTCTGATTTTCCAATTGTCGATTTAATTAAACCTTTGTTCACCGACAGTACGGATACCTGTCCCTGATTTTGGCAAAATAAATGTTCACCATCCTTACTCCACTGTAATAATAAAAGAGAAAGATTACTTGTTATTACGTACTTGTCAACTACTTGTTATTCTCAACAATATTGTATTAAGCAAATAACAGTATACTATTCACGATATAATGTTATTTACATAGATTTTTGTTTAACAAGAAAAGTTAATGGAAATGAGTATGGAACGAATTCATAGAGAATTTCCAAGTTAATCAAATTTATAATTATAAACATTTTTTTTTTTATAGAATTAAAATCAAAAATTAAACTTGCCAGAATATTTCCTCCTGTATAGAAAGCTCCATGTTCCGACTCAACTTCAAAGCTTAAAAATAATAAATTTATTTATAATACATAACCTCTAAACTATAAATATTGATTTTAGTCGCAGGATATTTGAAGTCAGGTGAAGATTCAACACTCTTGAAAATATGATCTTTAACAATACTTACGCTTCTTTCAATAAATTTTCACCCATGTTGCATTAGTTTAGTCAAATTATAATAAGAAAACACATAAAAGTGTATTTTTTCAAGTAAACACACTGTAACTTATGCGACTTGCGAGTCGCTCACGAACCGGAAGTTGTCAGTCCAAATACTCCAGTTGTGTAGTTGATTTCATTTTCAAAAAGAGTTGTGTAAATATATTAAAAAACTAGTTTGAACAATAGGTGCATTATAAATGTTGCGAATACAAATTTGTAAGATTTTATTAAATTTCTTCAATTTGTTAATTTTCAGTTTTACGCACCCCGGTTTTACTTCCTTGCGATGCCAGCAGAAACTTATGTAGGCTTAGGGTTTTACGGAAGACGGAACCACGTGCAAAAATAGGCAGACGACAAAAGTCACGTGATTTTTTTCTGCGCAAGTGCGTAAACCATTCTGCGCATGCGCAGCCTGTACGAAATTTTTGACAGCTGATGAAAAGTTAGGTTATGTTCTATTAAAATCATCAAAAATCAAAATATTTACATACGGTGTATGTTAATTTTTGCGGTTAAATGTCAGAATTATAATTTTAGAACAATGCCTTAATTGGTAATTGAGTAGAGTTAAATCCTTCCATAATTTAGTTGATATAGTTGTTGAATAAATGATCATGGGAAGGTGTTCCCATGATCATTTATTCAACAACTATATCAATGCCTTAATTGGTTATGTGTATCTGTTTTTTTTACTTTCTTTCGTTCATCAGTATAGCATCAAACAATGACCAATTGAAAACTTATTGTAAATATAATAAAAAGAGAGTGAAGAAGGAAAATGAATATTATGAAGTCATTCAGAGAAACACTTTTAAATTCCAAACATGTTCTTATTTTGAGTGGAAGTGGTATTTCTGCAGAATCTGGAATTCCAACATTTCGAGGAGCTGGAGGTTTTTGGAGAAAATATCAAGTTCAAAATCTAGCTACTCCGGAAGCATTTGCGGCAAATCCATCTCTGGTTTGGGAATTTTATGAATATCGTCGAACAGTTGCGGCTCAGGCACAACCAAATACAGTACATAATTTCTATAGATTTGACTAGGAATTTTTATGGATTTAACTCAGCTTTGATAAAATTAATATTTGTTGTTAAACTTAATAAATTTTTTTCTGACAATTAAATGTCAGATTTTAATTTCCATATCTTTTGCAGGCACATCAAGCAATTGCAGAATTTCAAAAAAGATTAAGAGAGAATAATAGAATCGTTTCTATTATAACGCAAAATATTGATGGACTTCATCAAAAAGCTGGAGCTGACAACGTTGTTGAACTTCATGGCTCTCTCTTCAAAACTCAATGCACAAAGTGCAAAGTTATAGAAAAAAATGAATGCATACCAATTTGTCCTGCTTTGGAAGGAAAGGGGTAGGTTTTCAATAATGTTTTTTAACAACAATATTATTAATATATCTTTATTCTTTTTAAAACGTAGGAAAGATTATTAATGTCTAATTAGAGATTGTTTGAAGATCTCCTGATCCAAATACACTTTCATCGGATGTTGCTGTGAAAGATTTACCCAGATGTAATAAAAATAATTGTGGCGGTCTTTTGAGACCTTACATTATTTGGTTTGGTGAAAACCTTGATCAACAAGTTTTATCAAATGCTCGTAAGTTAATTATTAAAAAAAGTAATAGAAATAAACTTTATTTTTTAATAATACACTTATAATTATGAAATTATTAATAGTTAATAGAAAGTATTAAATTAAGTCAAATATTATTTGTTTTTTGTAGATGAAGCTGTGGATTCATGCGATGCTTGTTTAGTTGTTGGAACTTCGTCAGTGGTATATCCTGCAGCAATGTTTGCACCTCTAGTTGCTCAACGAGGCGTTTCAGTTGCTGAATTCAATATTGAAACTACCCCTGCAACTCGAGATTTTCAGTAAGCATTTAAATACTTATTTACTTTATCGTTATTTTTAAAAAAGAGAAAGTTTACTTGTGAGAGATAGAAAGCTTGCAAAAAAAATTATAATACTATATCTTTCAGATATCATTTTGACGGACCGTGCTCGGTGACAATTCCCGAGGCATTAGCTCCTTAGTAAGATTTATATTTTTATTTTAGTGGTATATAGTGAAACCCTTAACATATCAATTTATAAGGGTGGGTTTTTAATTTTTTTTTAACTATTTGGTCGGAACTACGACCTGGTGATACTTGTGTTATTAAAAAGTTTTAGTATATATTGTAATTTAATCAAGATAGATATTTTTTGAATATTTTATTTTGATATAAAATTTATAATCATAAAAAAGAGTAGAAGGGATCATAGCATATTTAACAACAAACGTTTATTTTAAACTTTCATGAAGAAATGTGAAATAAAGAAAACATTATATAATTTGTTTTTATCAAATATTATATTGAATAGATTAACCACAATGAAGAAAATATACAGTATACAGACAATCGGTTTCAAGAAAGGAAACAATAAAATAAATGCGTTTCCTACCTTAAAAGGTAATTGCAAAATTCGGGATATAAAAGTTTACAGATTTCGTTTTTTTTTCTTTTTGGATCGTTCCTAAAATAAAGCGCAATATAGATTTGTCGCATAAATATTGTCATATACACGTAGAATTCACGTGTTTCAACAGTTACCAATAATATTTTTCATGACGAACATAGGATTTGAAATTACATACAAAGTTTTTCAAGGATTTAAATAAAATATACGCAATACTCTTCTTGGCAGTATTTAAATATTTCAATTGATACAAAATATATGTATATCGATGCGTATTTCAAAAACACGCCATTTTTAAATCTAATATACATTCTGTATATTGGATTGCATAAAAATCTATGTATTTGAAATACAGCCCGCCCCGTTGACGGTGTTTACTGATCTGATGTTTCAGCGTTCGTTTGAAGCATCGTCAGCATTTTTGTAGAAAAAGATATTAACCGCAAAGCGTCTACGGAGATAAACGTATGAAAAGTACGAAGAAATTGTTTAAGTTCATGGGCAGTGAACATTCAATAACTTAACGAAATAAAAAGGCGTTTTTTTAGACAATTCATTCTTATAATCGTTTCATTCATTAGGCAAAATTCCTTCGCTACTTTTATCCATTTACAGCATTTACACCGTTGGAATTCGCAGAAACGTGAGCGCGCAAGTCTAATGTTCTTTCATTGTGAAACAATAGTTCTTACGTTCCCTCGGGACGAAAAACGGCTAGACATATCGTTTACGATTACCTAATACGCTTAGCTGGCTGATATCAATAGTAATATACCTATATGTATTAACATATGTTTTTCTTTAAATAATACAATATCACACTGAGCCGGCTGTGTGTGTCCATCGTGTGCCTTCACTATTCTCACCACTTTCGTGATTAAAACATTTCCATTTTATCGCTTTCAAAAAATCCATCCTTATGCACGTTATTCTCCTTGAGGAAAAGAGGGCGAGCAGCGGAAGTCTCCAAGAGGATTTTATTGCTCTAGAACTGGAAGTTCGATGAAGGGAGGATGTCGTTCCTTGATGTTTAATAACATTTGCGAGAGCATGTGCACTTACGCACTAGGTCAACGTCTTTTGTGTATCGTGTACCATTATTACAAATTAGCCGAATCTGGAAGAAAATTTTCTTTTATAATCATGCTGAGAATTTGCTTATTGTTAGTGTCATTTTACTTTTCTCAAAAATTTTTACCTTGCGTCGTTTGGTTTTTCGTGGTAGACAACAAGCATTTCCACAACTTCCCCAGCACTTGGCGAGTTTCACTGGGCGACGACTTCGACACCCATTTTCACTGTAGTACTCGCGAGTATGTTCTTTTCGACAAGTTGGTGCTGTAAAAATAATGACAAAAATAATTATTAGCTTTATTCATAAATATACTCTCTAAATCTGAATTAATTGAATTAGTAACACTACTTATTAATTGTTAGTCAAAAATGCGAGCATAAATGACTAATTCAGGGCTCGAACTAAGTCTGTAAATCCCGTAAAGGTCCGTAAAGTCCGTAATTTGATTGAAAAAGGATTCAATAATTTGAAAGTTTATTGATAAAATTCTTTATGAGACTTTAATTTTAAGAAACATTCAATTATTCAATAAATTATTTATTTTTGTATTTAAATTTCGGTTTTACCGTTAATTCGTAGTTTTCTACTAATTTAGATTTTGAGAGAGTAAGTTGTCATAATTATAACAAAAGCAATAATTTTTCTTCACCTTTTTCACAATAATGGCCGTACCATCCAAGTTGACATCGACATGTGTAAGTGTTTCCATATGAAGGTATGCATTGTGAACCTTTTTTGCAGTCATTCCCAAGACATGGATCGACAGCTACAGGACTTATAACGCTGTAATCTGGAAACATAAATATTTATTCTAGTTAATAATAAATTTCATAAATTAACATGTAAGCAAAATTCTAATTCAACAATGAAAATTTATAATATTAAGACTACGAGGATTAGAAAAAAGTAATTTGATATCTTTGCTTACCAGAATCTTCATGAAGAACACGTTCCTGTGGCACAGAATCTTCCTTCAAGTCACTGTTTATTGTCTCGACTTCAATAATGTCCTTGCTGGCCTCATCGGCTTCTTCTTCCCCAGCAGTGCAGCCGGGTGCAATGCCGTGCATTTTAGCTGCATTACTAAAGTCGACTAACTTGTGATTGATCCACATCTCCGAAATGCACCCTAGAATAGTTAACATTTTTAGTTATAGAACTTTTCAAATTTAAAAAGCTGCAAGTATTAGAAATAATGAAATTTTAAAATTATCTTCTTTAAAAAATTTAAATTGTAATTTATCTATTTAAAATTATTTACTTTTACCAGAAAATATTCCTATATTTTTTGGTAAAAGCAGATAATTTACGTAAAGAATTTAGAAAAATTTCCAAATTATTTCTAGTTTTAATAATAATAATAATAATAATGAATCTATTTCTAGCTTTGAAATAATGTTGGAATAATTAATAGGTTTAAACTACCTTGGAAGCTGGTGATGTTTCTGAGATGAAATTCTGTAAACGCCACACTGGCGACTTCAGAGACGACGCCTCCGATGTACATCGGTGTGGTGAGTTTTAGATATTCCTTGGGGCCTTGATTAATAATGCTTCTCGCAAGACCTTTGTCTACTCGCATGGTGAAATTCTTCTTTATTGCAATTAACTCGGCCATGTGCGGTTTTCCGTCAGACACCATTTCATAACTGTACATGGTCGAGGTGGGATAATTTCCAACATCATAGGATACTCGCACCCTCCCATTGTATAATTCAACAGCTATGTGCTCGCCATTTTGTCCATCGTAAAGGAGAACTCCGTTTTCTTGAGTGGTCGTGAAGATGATGGTCACATTTGCTTCGGGTCGGGTACGAAGCGGCTCAAGCTCGACCAGCGAGCTGTTATCCACAAAGCTCAGACTTGTCAGGTACTCACACCGTTTACCTGGAAGGAAAAGAAAGAAAATTGAGAAAATTGAGAAAATTGAGAATAATAAATACTGGTCTAGTTGTAAAATAATTATATTTTGTTTGATTTTATTCTTACCGGTATAGCCGGGGTGGCACTGGCAGAGATAATCCGCGGCCGAAGAAGAAGGTTGAAAACAAGCGCCATGCTGACAGTCGTGATGAGCACACGGACTGGTCTGAGGGTACAGCATGGCAGTTGATGGCGCAATCTCGCAGTACCTCCCCGTATAATCCGGCGCACATTTACATTCGTAACTATTTATACCATCGATGCATGTAGCACCGTTCTGGAAAGGAATCTTTCGTTAGAAATGTGAATCTTGTTAAAAAGATGACGTTGATAGTTGATACACACCTGGCACAAATTATCGCTGCAGTCATCCAAATTGTTGGTGCAGTTAGAGTCGGAGAATCCGACTGGGCACTCGCAGCTGTAGTGGGTCCCATGATCGACACAACGTCCTCCGTTTTCGCAGGGATCATGTCCTTTTGTGCAGAAGGGAATTTTCGCCTCACAATATTGTCCCATGAATCCAGAGGCGCAGTCGCACCGGTAGGCCTCGACGAGGTCAACACAAGTTGCGTTATTAGAACACTTGTTGTGCGTGCAGTCGTCGACGTTGTTTTCACACCGAAGTCCTTCGTAGCCGGCAGAACAGTTGCAACTGGTACACAGAAACTTTAGTCAATCGATGCATCCAGCCCAGCTTTATTAAGCGATACGATCCGCCAACGAGCCAGTTTACAACATTAACTAATTTCTACAATACTTTATTTCAAATTCAACGCAGTCACAAAGCAAAGCATGCGTGGGCTTCAAGGTGAAAGCGTTCGATAATTCAAGGATTTGGATATTGATTTCCAATTTACCATCGAAATTCAAAACTACTCGATACTTGAAAAATCTGTTGGATTTCGTGTTCTTCCAACTATTTGTAAATTAAAAAACGAGCAACATGTCTACAGATTAAGCACAATCACGTGCAGACTTCTACCAGATCACCAGCTGCGTTGCTGGATCAACTTTTTAAAGATCTAGCGAAATTATAATTACCTGAATCTTCCTTCTTCCAGTACTTGGCAAGTTCCGGAGTTCCGGCAAGGATTTCCATAGCACGCATCGATTTTATATCCACACCTTTCTCCGTGATATCCTGGTGCACACTTGCAACGAAATTGTCTATCTGGTAGCGCCTCGCAAAATCCTCCGTTTTCACACGGGGCAGTGTAACACAAGTCACATTTAGCCAGGACCTCTGCTGGTTGCTGTTTGGCTGCGCGGAAGAAAGGTCTACGATTAATGAGCAATTTTAGTACCCTTCTGAGGTAATGTACCAAAAAAACAAACTAAAAAGTCTACTGTTAATGAGCATTGAAAAATAAAGTAAATTTTGAAAAGGATATAGTATATACATATATCGGAATTTATATACACAAAATTTGCCAAGCGATATAATACCACAAAACAAAAATTAGCGTTGGAAAATTTATAAATATCTCTGAGCGCGCTAACAAAGTACTTACTTTTACATAAAAATATATTTGCTGCCGTTGTCAGTAGAACTTTGTCTTTCATTGACGGCGGTTCCATGCAGCGAGCAATGCCAGGTTCCACAAAGTCTTTCTTAACCCACTCTGCCAGCCATCGCATACTACAATCACAATAAAGGGGATTCGCTCCTATAGCCCTGGAAAAAAGAAATTCAAAATTAATACTGTTGTTGACTGTTGTTGATTTAGTTTCTAACGAAGGACTGTTTTTGCTTTAAATTCAGTCTATTTACTTACAGATGAGTGAGTGATTTCAAGTCCTTGAAAGCACCTTCTGGAATGACGGAAATTTCATTTCCGTGCAAAGATCTAAAAACAAAATTATTCTCATCACTTTTGTCTATATATTTTAAACTTTTGCTTATGATTTGCGACTCAAAATATTACACACATCTAGTAGAAGAATTTACTCAAAATTTGATATTTATACTTTATACAAATGTATTTCATAAATAACTAAACATTTTGATTCACAAGTTTACCACTCGAATTTAGCTATTTATCAAACTTCTAACGAAACTTACAGTATTCGCAAAGACTTCAATCCCGAAAGAGCGTTCTCTTGAACGCACTGCAATTTATTGTAGCTAATAATTCTGCAAAAAGATTACAAATTTGTAAAAAAATGTTTTATACAAATAAAGCAGTACAAATTTTAAACTTTTACTTACAAATATACTAGATTTGTTAAATTTTTAAACGTATCGTTTGATAAAACGGAAATTTGATTATTGCTCAAGTCTCTGCAACAGAAAAAAAGATACATGTATAGATTATAAAAAACTAGCAAATGTTATGATATTTAATTTATTATTATTATTATTATTATGCAAATTACAAAAAATTTTTTATTTTCAAATATGAATTTTTGAATAATTTTAAATATTAATTAATTATTCTTGTTTATTAATTTTAAAAATTTCAATAAGATTCATCGAAACAATTCAATTCTTTTTTTAAATAATAAAAAATCTTTGCAAAAATTCAATTATTTTCTAAAATTTTTTAAAAATTCAATAATTAAATGTTCAATTTCAATTATTAACAAACACGATTATTTTAAAAACTTGAAAGAAATTGTTCATAAAGTTCAATTATTTTCAAAATTTTTAATTAAAGAAATACTTCAAAAAGCATTTAATTCAAAATTTAATTTAATTTAATTTTTTTAAAAATTCAATTATTTTCCTAAATAATAAAATTCTTCTAAGGAATTCTATTATCAAATTTTTTGTCGAAATTCTCTGCAACAATTCGATAATATTTAATAGATTAATTTAAAAATTGAAAATATTTAAAAAGAAAAATTATTAAAAAAGTTAAGAAGCAATTGCTAAAATTATCAAAGTTGAAAACTCTAGGAAAAAAAGCAGTTTCTGAAAATACTCACAGCCTTATTAGAATTCTAAGATGACTTAATCTCTCTGGTTGAATAGTTGTTATATCGTTTACATCTAAATAAAGCTCAGTAGTTTCTGGTGGAATTCCACGTGGAATTTCAGTGAGACGAGATCTCGAACATCTCACGACAGATCCAGCACAGTTGCATTGGGGAGGACAGTAGTCATCTCCCAAACACCCAAGAATATCACCTAAAATCATAGAGATACAATATAAATTGTATTATTATTTATAAAAAAGATATTAAACAAATTCAATTGAAAGCAGCTTTCTTACTAGTGCATTTAAATTCATGATGAGGAATGTCTCTAATAACTGCATTTTTCAATCGTGGAGGATCGTGACAACTTCCAGTAACGTTTATAATGTCGTGTTTTTTGAGCCATTCCGCGAACCATGCAAGATGACAATTGCAAGATAAAGGATTTCCTTGCATGTTGCTAGAATAAAAAAAAAACAGTTTAAATTCTCGTCAATTTCTCTTTTGGAAATATAATAAATTGAGATTTGTGTCACTTACATGGATCGTAAATGAGGTAGTCCTTTAAATGCGTCCGGCATTATGCAAGTAATGGTGTTGAAATCCACATTTCTAATTTTAAACAATGAATTATTAGTTTAAATAATGAAAAAGCAGAAGGTATAAAAAAATTTAAATGTTTAAAAAATAAACTTACAGGCTTTTGAGACTAGATAGACCAGTGAACATTTTATTGTGAATTTCTCTCAATTTGTTCTCGGATAGAAGTCTAGAAAAAATTGCAACGATTAAAATATTACTCAATGTTCTATATTTTGATTAAAATATTAATTACAATTTTATTATAGGATTTTTCGAAGAAACGGAAATTTTAATAAACAATATAAATAGGTGACTCACATTTCGGAGATTTTCGGAGCTCCTTGAAAGGCAGACGCTTCAATCCGAGTAATTTTATTTTTCCTTAAATCCAAATGCTGCAAGTCTGGTAATTTCTCAAAGAGTCCATCGGCTTTTATTTTGTCGAGCGAATTATTCCTCATGATTCTAAGGATTGTTAAAAGTTTAGAAACAGAAATCCCTCATTTTCGATGCAGTTACATTATTTTCTACTAATTTTACTTACAAATGAGAAGTGTAGATTGGAAGATCTTTTGGGATTGATGTTAAATTTTTTCCTGAGCAATCAACCGTAGCTCCGTTACAAGTGCACGGAGAAGGACAATATCCAGGAAGAATACATTCACCAGCTCTCTTTGTCAGAAGTTCTTGATCACCTGTAGCATTTAAAAAAATAATTTTATTAAAAAAATTATCCCAACTCAAGTTATTCTACGTTATTCACACAATCATCAGGGCATACAATCTTAAAAGACTTTTTCAAAGAATTGAAAACACTGCAGGTCAAGTTTAATTTAGAGATATTCAAAAATAAAATACTATCTTTCTAATATTTTTTTCTTATATCAAATATTTAAGATCCAAGTCTGAAAAAAATACTTTTGAGAAAAATGGTAAAATTTCAACTTTATAAAATGAACCTATAGATAGAAGATTTTTGGTGAGATTCAAATATTAAGAAAGTAGGAATAAAATGTGAAGCAGAATTTGAAAAGGATTGGGTTCGAATTACCGACCTGAGTTCTTCCTGTCCTTATAACAATATAGATATCAGAAATCAAGTTATGCTTACCCTTACATTTGAACTTTTCATCTCGAACCATGTCGATCTTTTTATTGTTCAATTTCTTCGGCGACTCACATCGAGGACCAGAAGTTTCAATTCGATGCTCGTGTAAATAATTACTCAGCCATCGTAGATTGCAATCGCAAATAAATGGGTTCCTCGCCAAATGCCTAAACAAAAATGAATTCTATTTTAGTTTGCAATGTTTTCTTGTTTTTGAACACTAAACAAACTTGAAATTTGAATTCTACATCCATACTGGAGTCTATAATGGTATACATAATCAAGTTCAAAGTGTAGCCACTAAAGCCGAGTTTAGCGCTCGTTTAACTTGAAATTATGGATATACGTATACTAACATGACTTTGATGTTGCGTAGGTGTGCAAAGGTTCCATTGCTGAGAGACTTGATATTGTTGTCGTAAAGGGATAGAAGCTCAAGGCTAGTCAAGTCTCGAAACAGGTCAGTCCAAATGCAGGATATCTCATTGGCGTTTAACAGCCTGGAACAAATGTGAATTATCGATTAAGTTTATTGTATCCATAGTTTGATTGATAAATTTCGCAAGGCTTTTCATAATCTAGATCCCTTTCATCATTAACCTAATGATGAAACCGATGAAACATTTCATTTCTAACCAATAAAATATTCTTTTCTTTTCTCAAACTTCGCACCCTTCGCACTCATCTACTAAAACCTACTACATATTTAATACTTTTTTTACGTTATGCTACTATTTGGGCACTTTTTTTTAAATTTCAGCCATTAAAAGCTACTATTTCTGTTTTTTTTTTTGAGAATTTCGACTATACTTTAAATTCACTAATACTAGTAGAAATAAAAAAACTGTTCTCAAAAATTATAATCAAATTCTTGAAAACGATTCAATTATTTTCAAAAAATATTCGAAATTCAACTATTTTCAACATCTATAGTATTTTTATAAAATTTCGCAAAAGAATTCAATTATTTACAAAAATATTCGAATTTTTCACAGGAATTAAATTATTTTTAAATATTTTAATAAAATTGTTCAAAAGAAATCAATTATTAAATTTTATAATTAATTTTTTTTTTAAATAATTCAATTATTCTTTTAGATTTTAATAAAATTCTTCTCAAGAATTTAATTATTTACAAAAATAATAATTCTTCGAAAGAAATCAACTATTAAAGATAAATAATAAAATTATTTCCGAAAATTCAATTATTTTTAGGCATTTTAATTAAATTCTTTGCAAAAATTCAATTATTTTCATAAATATAACAATATTCATAACAAGAATTCAATTATTTTTAAAAGTAATAAATTTATTCTTGGAAATTCAATTATTTAAAAAAATTCTAATAAAATCGTTCACAAGAATTCAATTTTTTTCCTAAATAATAAAATGCTTTTTAGGAATTCAATTATTTAAAAAAAAAATTAATAAAATATCACATGTACCTACATTCAATTATTGTCAAAAATTTTAATAGAATTCTTTGTAAAATTTAATTAGTTAAAAACTTTTCGCAATTCAATGATTTTTAATATCTACTATTTTCAAAAATAGTCTTTGTAAGGAATTCAATTATTTTTATAAATATTTAAATTCTTTCATGAATAATAAAATCCGTTGCAGGTAAATTCAATTTATTAGCAGGATAAGAAAGAAGTAAATATTTTTCATGAAAATTAGAAAAAAGTGAGAAAAATAAAATATAGAATGGAATTTTCGTCAGTTTTTTTTGCTAATTTTTACTACTTAAAAATTAATTATCGAGTGCGAAGTCTGTTTTCTTCATTGATACTTACAGTAGTTTCAAACTGGTCAGTCCGTGAAAAAGTCCACTGGGCAATTCTTTGATTTTGTTTCCATAAAGAACTCTGAAATAAATAAATAAATTAATTAACTCTGAAGTGCATGATATGATTTATAGCGAACGAGTTCAGAAACTTTGTTTTATTGTCGTGTAAAGTAGATTGAAAATCTAAATTTCTAAAAAAATAAAAAATAATAAAAATCTAAAAAAGTGATGACGCAGTAGGGCGTCACTACTTTTTTCCCTATGACGTCACCAATCAACAATAAACGAAATTTCGAGCATTTGTGGCATAAAAAATACAAAAATTATTGACTACGTACAATGTTTCCAGGGCTTTCAGTCCGTGAAAAGAATCGGCAGCGACTTTTTTAATTTTATTGTGACTTAAGTCTCTGCAAAAAAAATGAGAAATTAATTTAATTTCGAATGTGTACAAAACGAAAGGTACTTTGATTTTTAACTCACATTCTTTGTAATTTTCTGTATGGAGAAAAAGCCTTGGGAGGAATTTCCGTAATTCCATTCTGCTCTAATCGTCTGTAAAGAAAAAAACAATAATTTTGAGACAGGCACCTTTCAATTTCTAAAAGGAAAAATTGATTAAAATAACTTACAATTCCGTAGTGTCTTCGGGCAAATGTGTCGGAACTTTAGTCAATAATTTTTCTCTGCAATCGACGACTTTATTGGAACACTTGCAGGGATTGGGACACTGCGGTTCGGCATTACACTCAGAAGTTGATCGCTCTATTAGGCCGGAGCACTTGAACTCATGTTCCTAAGAAAGAAAATTTGTATCTTTTAGTATCTTTTACTATTTTGCTGAAATACAATGGCACATAGTTTTGGGCTGGCGTGACTACTGTCGGAGTATATAAATTCACTCCATAGTATTCGAAACACAAAAACTCGCGTACATTTCTAAACAATTCCAGCATGCAATTCAAGATGAAAGAATGATAATGGAAAAAGTTTTATATTTGCACGAATCTGATATATTTATCGAATTTGGTACTTTATTTGTTTTTTATCATTCTTGATGGATGGCCCAGGAAACTTAGTTTTTCGAGAGTAAACTTTCTTTACCTTATCTTTTCATATTTTTCTGATAATTAAAGAATGTGAATACTTGAGTTTTTTAAAAAAAGTCTGTACTTTACAGATTGTAAAGAAAATAATTAACAATAGAAAAATCTTTTACTTTTTGATTCAAGGAGAAATATAATGAAATTTATAAAATTTATAAAATTTATAAAATTTATAAAATTTATGAAATTTATGAAATTTATATCTCTGAGGAAAAGCAAAGTTTATCTACTTTTAGGAGTAACATTTTTATACTCAACCTGTAATTCCCCAAGGTTGTGATCTCTAAGATGAGCGGGAGAGGAACATTTCATGTTCTGCGTGAGACGTGGAAAATTTCTAAGATGTCGTGAAAGCCAGCTTAAATGGCAATCGCAAACCAAAGAATTTCCCGAGACCCTCAAGCTTCGTAGATTTGACAGACCATTCAACATTTCCTTTCCGAGTGTTGTTAATTTATTATTGTTCAGTGATCTAGAATTAAAAATGCCAAATTAATTCTCTAATTTCTAATTTCAATTTATAATTTCTCATTTAAAGATCTTATTTTTTCTGCGCGAACATGAACGTTTATTCTTCTTTCCAAGAAAAAACTAAAGAAGTAAAACATTCAATTCGTTTCAGTTGAATTTACGTAACTTAATTAAACTCGTTAGAGAACTAAGTGATCCAGTTTCTGGGAATAATAAATTTCATTCAAAGTCGAAACTTCCTGGCATAAAGCTCGAGTTCATCTTTATTTTCTCAAACAACTTATTGTGTCAGTGAATTTATAGTGAATTATATAACTTACAAAATTTCCAAATCCTTTAATTCTCGAATTGCCCCTTCGTCGATGCATGTCAGAATATTATCGTCTAGTATTCTGCAATAGGAGAAAAGAAAATAATTAATTTTCTAATATCACGCATAGAAAAATTTGAATTGTAAAATGCTTACAGATGCTTCAGTGCAGAGATGCCTCTCAAAGTCTTGGGTCCAATCATAGTAATCTGATTATGATTAAGTTCCCTGAAAAAATGTTAAGAGAATAAAATGGAGAAAAACAGATGTGCGAGATAAATAATTTAAAATCGGAATTTAAAATGCATTCTTGTCATTGCATTCCGTCTCAAGTTGCGTTTGAGTGTTTTTTTCCTTGCGGAATAATTCAGCATAATAATGTAGATACAGTTCTTGTGGTGTTAGATTGCCAAGAAGTGGATCAAGTATGTGAACTGCTGTGAGCAATGTTCGATCTACTTTAACAGACAGTCGTGAGTTTGTTCTACTTTTTAAATCAATTATTCAGGGACTCAAATACCTGACAACGGGGCAGTGACCGTTGAACCGCAGGCGCAGCTAGCTACAGATTACGTGGCGATACTTTAGCTTTAGATGCTCAGTTTATTCAATAGTTTCGAGAGGTCATCAAACGAGGAACAAGATATTGTCATGCAAGAAAAACTCTTCAATGAACTTGAACTTTGGCGAAAGTTTGGCGCTTTCAGAGGAGCTTCTCCAGTGAAGAAGTTGAGGAAACTGATCTTCTGGAATGTTGCTCCATTATTACTATCTCAGACTAATTTGCCCGATATAATGAAAATTTTCATTAAAACTTATTTTCAGGTTCATCTGATCCTGTCTGGAAAGGAAGAAACTCTAATTAGAGTTTCTTGTCTGACAAGAGAAGAGACAAGGATTTACTGGAATCCTTTGTCTTTTGAATGAGGTCTAATCAGACATTTCTGATAATAGGTTGTATTCTGGGAGCTAGCTCATCGGTGGGCATCTATTGCTTCTAAACTCTGGATCTGTAATTATATTCCATAGAAGAGAGAGAGAGAGAGAGAGAGAGTGGTCTTTGCCATCACAAGCCTCCAAGTATACTACAGTAACACAAGACTAGTGGATTGAATTCCCAGAGCTAGTTTTCAACCCAATCCAGAAAGCAATTATCGAATTTCGACGCCGAGCACCTCGACACCAGTTAACAGTGTCCTCTGTCATGATAAGACATCAGGCTCGCCTCTCAGTTGCACTCGCCAAACGAAATTAAGGAAAGGAAGGAGGGAGAAAGGGAGGAAGGGAGGGAATTCAAATCTAGAACAGATTCCTTTCAGTGTTGCCCAACGGATCTTTTTTCAAAACTGTACATGACAAGAGTCTCTCAAGAGCCACTCGGAATAATACAAAAGTGGACAATTTAATCGAGAAGTTGTGTCAGGCAAGAATAATATTTCTATTATTTATTGCCGCTACCGTGGGAGTATTAAATTTGAAAGAACCTCAAGACATATCACACACGTGTATTCGGACCGACTTTATACAATTTTAAAAAGAAGCATACATACATATATACCTCTCTTCAGTGAAATAAGAAACCCTAGAAGAAAACTGTACTTCTGAATGAAAAGGTTATGACTGCAGAGTCACTATCTCTAAGCAGTAGTTACATTCACGAATAATTTATTGCAACACTCTTGACTTGGAATTACATGTTTCATGTCCATAATCCGAGAATTTCTTCAAATATTTAACTCTCGTTGAAAATTAATTTAGTGTAATGAGATTAGATAATTTAGTGTTACGTAGAATATTAGCTTGAATCTTGTTTTCTGTGAAAGGTCCAATTTATTTAGCCACCAGGCAATATGTTTGCGATTATAGATTAAATGCACGTGGAAAGACCTGTTTCTTATATGTATGTTGTTAATTATACATATTTATTATGTATTTTTGGCCTGCAGGTGAGCCCCGTTTTAAATAGTTTCTGATGATAAATAACGTGTAGATTTCCAGGAAAATGTAATAATTTTCTGTATCAATATTTTTTTATTCTCTCTATATACGCATATAAAAGATACTTACAGCCTCTTGAGATTCATCATATTGCTGAAAAGCAAATCGGGTAAAAAACGAATCTGGTTGTTGTTTAGTCGCAATTTTTCCACTCCAACTAAATCTTGAAATGCTCCTTTTTCTATTGTGTGGATTTGATTGTGAGATAAATGTCTGCAATCAAAATGATTTATGTTACTTGAAGATTCTTTGAAAAAGGACAAATCACTATAGTTCAATGGCGTTTTTGTTCAAAAATAATAAAATTAATTTAAATTATTAAAAATTACATTAGGTACAGTTTTTACAGTCTTCATTTGATAGGTATCCTTAGAAAAACTAGTGGAATTAACTCTATTGATAGAAATTTTAAAAGTCACTTACAGAACATGAAGTGTTGCCATGTCCTCAAAATCAGTTTTGAAAATAACTGAAATATTGTTCCCTTGCAGGTCTCTGAAACAAAAGAAAAAAAATTCTAATTAGTTTATTTTAAAATTAAAAGCGTATCTTTCAACAAATTTTATTAAATAACTTTTAAGTATTTTAAGTTAATATATTAAAAAAAGCTCAAGGAGAAATATGAAAATGTCAATTTTTTCTATTTCGATGACATTATATCAATATTGGAAAATTGTAATACTGAGATATTAAAATATGACAGTATTGGCATGGGACATAATGAGAATAAATCTCTCCAGTTTCCATAGTGAAGAAATGATGAATAAATAATTCATGAGATTGTAGAATCGAAGATTTTGGTTGACTTTTACCCCGCGTGTAACTTTTACAATATCATTGCAGTTGTGACTCTTATTTATGCAAGGGTAGATAAAGGGCTATCACTTTGGGTAGATGTAATCAAAGTTTGCAGACAACTCAGCCCTTCTGCCTTTGGGAAGTTATGTCAAAACCAACTGATATTCGCATCCACCCTCGTCAACTGTGGTTTCATTTAAAATAAATAGAACACAAATATTTTATTTATCTTTTATTTGTCGGTAACATTTCTTTTATATAGACATTTATAAATTTTGAAAGAGGAAAAAGAGAAACTCTGCAAATAGCTTTGAATTTAAGGTGCACGCTTGAAATGAAACTTAAAAGGCTGCGTGCGAAGAATAGAAGCTTTCTGAAGGAAATCAGGCGTCTAAATCTAAACGACGCAAGTACACGACGCCTCTCGCGAAGCGTCGACTAATTACCGTTAACGCGACTTGCTTAATTAATGTTGCTACATTAACTCATCGTTTTGACCTAGAAACCATTTTGAAAAAGGTACGTGCTTTTTGATAAAACACCACCTCTTTTATCGATTCCTTTCTCAGAAACATCATTTTATTTATGTACATATTATATTAGCTTTCAAAAAAACTGCTTCTTAATTAAAAACAAAAAGCTCAAGTAGTGTCGTAAAAGAAAGAAACTTGGATACATAAAATACGATAAATCCCTTAAATGGAAAAAATTTACATGCAACTATTTAAAAAGTCCCAGTTCTCGATACTAAATAATTAAAATGAATTTTAGAAAATATTGACTCGTAAAAAGTGAAGAAAGGAAAACAGTTAAAAGCGCATTGTGCCGTATACAAAATCCAGTCATGAATGGAATGCGATTTTCAAGTTATGGAGCTTTTGCAGTTGATCGTTGATAAGTTTCACAGAAATGGGATCGTAAACTTAATGCCTATATTCTTTTGATCAATTTTGAAAATTAAATTTTAAAGTTGCAAGAAATTATTTCAGATTATTAAAAATTTTATTTTATTTTTACCTTAAGCATTATAAGTGTCAAAAGTCCTTGAAAGGTCATTAATCTACACTGTGAGGTGCAATCGAGATTGACGTATTAAGATTCCATTAGTGCGCGGACACTTTTTATAATACTGAATCCTGCCAAGATATTTAATGACAGAGCAGCCAAGTTATCTCGTTCTATCGTAATTATGACTGTATAATATCATCATCTCTGTTATTATTATATCGATATGTGCATGCAGTGCTTGAGAATGCGGGCAATTAGTTGTTGAAATGTATTAAAGATAAGCCTTTTGTTTTTCTGAATTCTGTTTATTAATTCATGGTTGCCGCATGTCAGGAAAATCAGGAAAACGTCATGCAATGTTGCTTCACAACAATTCTGATACATTAATTTTTTGTCTCAATTTGATATCCTGAAAAAAACTGTGTTATAGAAAAACGTGTTCTTAATAGAATATTTAAAATTCTCAACTAGCATATTAGTTAAATTTGAGAAGCTTCGTCTTCTTCTTTTGTAGTTTTCTAGAATAACTTTGTTGTATATACACGAGAAAGATGCACTTTGAAGATAAAAAGGAACCTGAAGAGTACGGTCTGGCAGTTGAGGAAGTGGAACGGAAAGTAGCGTTATGTCATGTTAGATGTTAATAAAGTCCAGCCTAGCCGTTGATCTTTTGGAAATCCGCGGCATTCGCGGCGAGGGCGAGGGTGCGGGTGCTGTGTCGGTCGACTCGACTCGACTCGACTTTGAAGCTTTAATTAATGAATGCCCGCGAGGTACCGTCACGACACCCTCCCTCAAATTACGTCGCATCCTTCGCGCCCAGTCGTCTACACGAGTCATACGCTAATAAAATTAGAACCTCTAGTCATTTGTTACAATCTTCATTCATTACTATTCACACTGACTGATGAAAATCGTAATTTTCAATATTGTCCACCTGCTGAGCCAAAGATAAATTGGTGACCCTGAGTTTTGTTTTCTGCCTATAAAGCAATAGCTAAAACATGAATTTCGAAATTTTTCAAAACCTGTCTTTAGTTCCTTCATATTTAATTAGAAAATACAAATCAGTTTTATATTCATTAAGTTACCGTATCAAGTATAAATACTACTTTGTGCGTATTCTTTTTCATTGAAAATAAATCAAGTTTAATAGTAAACGCCCTCTTAAGGAAAGCAATCATCGTTTACGTCGATCGAGTGATTGAAAAAGAGTTAACAAGTAATCTTTATTCAAGGAAGTATTCAATAGCGCTTGTCACGCATTTATCGATCAACAACAGTTTATGTCAGCCAGCAATATCAAGTTGCGCATATATTGATAAATAAAATGCATAAAAAAGATAATGAGCTGAGATTTGCAAGATAAAAGTAGCTGCGGTATAATTATAATAGCCATAATGTTAATGGGCCAATGCAGGCAGAGTGCATTCTCTTTTCTTTCAAAATTACTGGTTCACGTTTGCTAATTTCATTGTATGCTATTATAGTAAAAACTGCAAAATTCCCTCTCTGATGATATCTTGATTATTAAATACTATTTGTAGGATGAATATTTAGAATGCGGAATTTTGTTCCTTTACGACTGCAATTTAATAATATGTCGTGATTTTTGAATTAAAAATTGCACATCAAAAAGATTGAATGGGCATAAAGAATGCAATGAAAGTGAAGAAAAACTCTATTGGCCTAAGGAGATGAATAATTGAAGAGAATGTTTTGGCATCTTGCAAAAGGCATCCTTTGATTTGAAAGTGGTTTCCTTTTAAGTTAAGGAAGTAACTATCTGCAAATGTTACGAGTTTTAGGAGTCCTGCATATACATATATTGGAAGAAGGCTTCTGAAACTAGAGTTTCGAGGACCTGGAAGCTTTACGTCAAAGGAATTTCCTGTACTCCCTTTGGATTATCTCGGTGGATTATCGGAGGCAAAATAGGTTATGATTCACCATATGTAGTTCGGAGGGTTCACTTTGAACGCCTAGTAACGACTCGTTACAGGGGAAGACGACAATGATGCAAAGTGACTTCCGATTCATACAATGCCTATGCCGTACGCATTCACTAAAATTGCTCATTCATTATTTAAGAGGAAATTGCATATTCGAATCAATAGTCTAAAATTTGAAAAATCGAAATTATATGTCCCTCTTTTTTATGCCTTCGGAACCAATGTCCAATTCGAAAGTGGAATTCAACATAAAAGAATCTTCATGTTACCCTTGGGATATTATACATATATAAGGAGAAAGAGAAGTGGTGGCGAAAAATAAGGGAGGAAGAAATTGGCTGTCAGCTCTAGTTACAGCTGATGTTTTCCTAATTAAGTGGAGAATAATAAAATGAAAAATGAGTTCTTGCATTTGAATATGAATACCTGAATTTGAAATGAGAATATGCATACATAAATTGATTGTTTCTGGATTTTTTGATGGGAAGATGAATCGCTTGTTGTAAAACGGTTTTAAACTTGGCACTGAAATGGTAATTAATGGGAGAGGAGTCGCCGCTTTGCGCAAAAATGAGTGCGAGAGAAAGAGAAATAATTAGCGGGTAGGGAAAATGTGAGAAACGAGTCTGCTTTCGGAAGGACGTGAGAAGGAGGATCCAAAATGTAAACCTGACCCCCGACAATCAACCACACATCCTCGGCCCATTTGCAAATACTTTCTTTTCAGTGCTTCTCAAACGTTTTTCGAAATTATCCAAATTGAAGATGCTAAATAATTAGGTTTTGTTCTAGGTCACCGCCCGTGCAGAAATCGCCACTTTTGTTCCCGATTACCGCCCTGGCCCCGGTCGGGTTTTCATGATCTGGCCCCGACTTCGTGGCCCCGACCAGGACCAGGCCGGGTTTGCCCAAGGATCTACAAACAGCGCACAATGGGATTTTTTTTACAATTTACTGTTCAAAACTGTCTACAGCCTACAATTCTTAACCGGTTTCAGTATTCTTTATTTTAAATTAAAGGCGAATGAGTTCTTAAGACATCCCTTAAGGTCAATTCTTTAGTTCTTAATTGTTTATAATTTTTATTTTCAATCAAAGTTAACAAATTAATACAATTTTTCAAAAAAGGAGGCTTATTTTCTTATTCCGTTGCTGCATATGATCTGAATCAGTTCAAATTAATACAATATGACCACCACACAATTAATAAAACAAAAAGTAATTTATATCAATTGTTATAAACAATATTAATTAACAAATAGTTAACTTTGATTTCTCTCCACTAAAAAATGTATTTTTCACCTTTTCTTTTTAATTTAAGTTCATTTAAAGAATATTTGTCCTTTTTGATTATAAAATAACTTATTTAAATTGTTATAAACAATATTAATTAACAAATAGTTAACATTGATTCCTATTCCACTAAAATTTGTTTTCACATTTTCTTTTTAATTTAAGTCTATTTAAAGAATATTTGTCCTTTTTGATTAAAAAATAACTTATTTAAATTGTTATAAACAATATATTAAATAACAAATAGTTATGTAACTTATGTTCCTGTCCACCAAAAAAATTTTTTTTCACGTCTACTTTTTAATTTAAGTTCATTTTAAAAATATGTGTCCTTTTTGTTTAAAAAATAACTTATTTAAATGGTTACAAATAATATTAATTAACAAATAGTTAATTTTTGTTCCTTTCCACCAAAAATTTTTTTGTTACGTTTACTTTTTTATT